TAAACCCAGATTCAAGAAGAGGGCTAGGATTCCACCACAGGGACTTGACTTTCAGACTGTTCAAATGCAATGATCCCTCCAGAAGAGGCCATGCAGGGTCAAGATCAGGGAGGATGATTTATATATCTGTATAGAGATGTATGAACTATAAACCATCACTATTCAATATTCCTCAAGGTAATGTCTTCTTTGAAGGACAGCTGTAATGCCCTTTTGACATTTACATGAAGCCTCTAGTGGAGAAGAGGAGACTAATCAAGATCACATTCAAAAACCTAATCTTCACCTGGACTCTTTCATGCTTTGCTTCATTATACTTGCATTACAGTTTGTGTTACTGAGTACACACAAGAGGGCGGCTGTGGCTCAGTGAAAATGTCCATTATCTACAGTATCGATTACAGGGTTGGTGGTCAATCCAGGGACCTGCAGTCTACATGTGGAAGTGTCACTGAGCAAGACGCTGAATCCTAAAAGGACTAGAAATTGCTAAATAAGCACAGTACAATTACAAGTTATAAATTTCCCCCTTTTTGTTCTACAAACAACAGTTGCTCCTATAATTTAAATCTGCGTCCGAATTTCATGGCAGACAGACTCAAACAGCAAATATGGACCTTATGGTTACACTATGGAAGGTAAATAGATCCTCAGTATCATCTGGGAACCATGAATGTCAGAATATAGTGCCAAACCATCATCTCTGTTGAAATATTACTGTCGTTTTAGTTCTCTGAGAAGTCCTTACCACTTAAAGGCACAGTTCACACTTCAGTGATTTAATACCCTCTGCACTCAAGCATAGAGGTGTGAATGGACTTGGACGACTCTCTTTCGTGCTCTCCTGTTTACAATTTACTGCTGTGTAGGGGCAGATGAGAAGCCTGGCACAGCTTGATAAAGATTAATGGGGGCAGGAAATCATTAATTCCCAGCTCGGTGTTCGATCAGGACACAGCTGTGCGTCCATGAGTGCCAAAGTATTGAAAACGTGGGCTGATCCAATCTTAATTCTAATTATTTTGATTTGTAGTTAAATAGAAGAGATTCGATGAAAACTGCTGAGGATGTTGGGCACATTTCCCCTTAATATGATCAATTCTTCTAGGCATTAAAAAAAATGGATGACTTCAAGAAAGAGATGATTTTCTAGGGATTTCACACAGATTAAATTTCCTAGAGATTACATATTTTATAAATAGGAACAGTACAAAGTTTTTCTGGAATTATTTTTATATAGATATGTCTTTCATATTTGTTATGGTAGCTTCCGCCACCTCCTTAAAATATATACAAAGTTCCCCCCAGTAAAAACGTCAGCAATATGTCTTGACCTCCAACTCTACCTCCTGGGTAAAATAATTCAAGCATGGTGTTGCAAAATCAATAGCTTTTAACATTGCTACAGTTCAAGCTCAGGTACCCTGCCAACATCAACTTTACAGAGTGCATCTTCTTTCTGCTTTCGGCAGATGTAGACATAGGGGAAAAAGTTTGATATTTCTTCTCTTTATGAAAAAAAAAATTGTTAATTATTAATGTCTTGAATAACAGATAGAGGCAAGAACACTCAAGGGAGTGAATCTTTTTTCCTCCTGATACAGAACTGACATCAGCCTAACAACAGTTTGCATTCCTCTCATCTGCTGCAGCTAGCAGTGCTCCACTCAGCAGAGCTGGGCCTGACTGTTCAGAGGCCTATGCTCATACCTACACTGATAGAATAAAAACAAGATAACCACTGCAGGTTGCATACACTGTGCTGATGTTTCATTTCTTTATAAAAAAAATAGTGAGCACTAATGGTCAAAGGGGTTTTAATGGCCAGAGAGAATAGACAAGAATATAGAGCTCACGACTTCCAATCATCTCAACACTTTCTTAAACCCCACCTGCTGTAACCATCTCTTAAGGCAATAAAAAGAAAATGTAGACACTTTCTTTCAATTTTGTCACAAATCCTACAAGAATTTTGTTCTGCACATGGTGTTCCACTTGGTCCCTTACTTGGTCCATTCCTTTTGTTGCATTTAAATATACCTCCATATTGCTTTATTATGTTCAATCAATCAATCATTATTTGCCAATTCAGAGAAAGTGATATCTCAAGATGCTTTACAAAAGAGCATATGGGATGTGATGCAGGAAGGATTTCTCCTTTGTATTCATGTTCAGAGTTGTGCAGCCTAACAATTTGAGTAATCATAAACTCCCAACACCATAACACTTGTTGGTGCTCAGAGAGGTACAATGCACCATATTTGATGCTTCTTGTATCTTTAAGAACTGCATTTAATTTAAGTTACTAACCATATATGTTCCTCTGTATCATCAGTGTGGAAAAACAAATATTGATATCAGCCTTACATATATAATCATAATAATGCATTTGTGGATATTTCATTATCATTACAGTTGCTAATGTTAATATAAGTATGATCGGTCTATTATCATACTTTGTTGTTACTGCTACTACTACACATACTTTGCCCTAACTACTAGCATTGTAGCTATAAATATATCTTATTGTTGTTATTGTTATTGTTTCTGTCTCTCTATCCATGTCTCTCCATCGAGTCACTTTCAACCCCAACACAGTTTTGGCAGACGGCTGTTCAATGTGAGTCTGGTTCTATTCAGGGTTTCTGCCTGTTAAAAGGAAGTTGTTCCTTGTTCCTGTTACTTTGCTAAATGATGCTTCGTGCTCATGGTGGATTAACATTGGGTCTTTGAAAATAATACAACAAAGAGAACAGTGCTCTTTTTGTGAAGTGTCCTGAGATAACATTTGTTATGAATTGGCACAAGAAAGTTTTATTGCTTGATTGATTGGTTGTTTTGTTTTTTAATATAATCACAAGCTTACACCCTCCAAGCAGGCGGCCTGTTTTCATGTCCTGCCTTTGCTCATTTCCTGCATGTGATTCACTCTCTCTCTCTCTCTCTATCCCCGATTTTCTGACTGTTCACTGTCCTGTCTCTACATAGGGGTTTTCTCTGCATCATTGTAAATGAGGGTCACCCTCAATGATCTCTCCGAGAACTTAAATAAAGGTTGATGATGATGATGATGGGTATAAGCAGCCCAAAAATAAACTTTAAAAGAAGTTGTAACAGGAGTATTCTTTTTTATTTCAAAGTGCAAATGGTGTTCTAAACTATCAATGTAGTGCATTTGATAGGAAAAGCCATGTCCACCAACTAAGACATACATTATCCTAATTTTCCTCAGCAATACATGCTCAGAACATGAATATTATATTATATTATTATAAATGAAAGACTCAGTAAACACAGTTACTTGGTGCCAAAAGAGCAGGGTTTGTGGATTTAAAAGATAAAAAATTATAAGTTTTAACTTTTACCTGTCCTTTGACCAGTTTGAAAAAAGCAGTGCTTATCTTCAAATTATACTTTATTTTAGTATCCACTAATATCTTTATCTCACCGGCTAAACTTAAATGACACACTAACACTGTTCTGCAGAGGATGGAGTCAGGATGAATTGTAAAAGATGAAAGCTACGATGGCAGTATTAATGCTGGAAGGTTCGTAAGGGTAATACCACAAGTGAAAATGAGACTATTTGAATGCAAATGCTGACAGTGAAAAAGTCCCCAAAAGACCTTTCTGTTTTGTCTTTGCACTGTCTTTCCTGCTGCACAGTGTGATGAGGATCTTGCTTCACGCCTAAAGGGTTCTTCACAGGAATTCTTGTATGCCAAATCTTACTGGAACAGAATCCAAGAGCTTGTGTTTCGGCTCGTGCACTTATTTGTGAGTGCCTGCCATAATCACATAGCAGCGGAAATAATTAGCCTACTGCTTTCAAAAAGTCTCAGATGGCCAATCTCACAGATTGCTTTCCCTCTCTGCAAACTTGACACAGCTCTTGAGCACTGGTTATTCTTGCTCCCTTTGAGGATGCTGCCATGTAACACATACAGCATACAGACATAAATTACTCACACTTTTTGAATAATGATAAACCAGCATCAACTGTTTTTTTTTTTTGGTTTGAAGTGAACTTAATAACTGAAGAAAAATAGAAATAAGTATTCATTTGAGGGATTTTCACACGAGTTTTTCAGGGCCTGTGACAAAGGTAATAACTGTGAAACCTGGCTCAAGAGAAAAGTTATAAAGCTTGAGATGGTCACACAGCTGACAGCAGCACTCTTTTTAGGTTCTGCACTTTTTATAGCCCTGATAATGCAGCAGGGAACAAGAGAGAAAAAAAGAGATAGAAAGGGGGGGATGATCTAAGGTGGATCCTGTGGGCTCTGCCCTGCACTATGTTGCCTTGCACACACACACACACACACACACACACATTTTGACAACCTAAGCTAAGCTCACTTTACTCGCCTATATCAAAGGCCCCACCACGTGGGGATAGACTTTTGTTCTTGGCACTTGGCAGCATGAAAAAAGAGAAAACTTTATGATGTTTATTTCCCCCTGGTTTGATTTCATTCAGGTTTTGTTGTGGGGGAAGTGTGCTAGTTGAGTTTACAGCACAGGGAGTTGCTTCTGTATGTCAGTGAAACATTTGTTTGGTTTACTCTTAGGATGACAGATTACTTGTTTATTTTGACTTTTTAATTGAAAATGCAGGTTTTTGCTCAAACCAAATATCAAAAGGCAGAACAAATTAGTTGCTAGATTGATTGTGATTTTGTGGTCTGCTTTTAGCTGTAAAGCTATATGACTTATTGGAGGAATTTAATAGATGACGTTTACACCTTAACACCTGGTTAATTCACATTCCAGTGTTCCTGCTAAACTGACGCACACAAAGGGATGGCTGCATCCGTGTTTCTGTGAACATCTTCAGGAACAATAACGACTAATGTTCAACAGAACGCTGCCCTCTACAGGCAAAATGTAGAATAAGACTGTGAGTTACATCATTTATCATGGAAAACATGGGAAAACATTGATGTGGCTTAGACATGAAGTTTTAAATATTCACTGTAAGTCCACAGCATGAAAACAAATCTATAAACAAATAAATACTTAATTTATTACACGAACTCAAAGACATTGTGTCAGATATACAAGCCAAAGGTTCGGTGTTTGTGGAGCATTGTGCCCTAAAAAGTATTAGTCCAAAGCATACATTACTTAAGGTACACTAGAAAACAATTAAAAGCAAAGGTTTTGTCTAACTAAACATATACACACATGGGCTCTTCAAACGTAACAGTACACTATGCTGTGGGTGGCAAAATAAATATTTCTGTGTAAGTAGCAGTGTATGGTCACATAATTCAGAGCATTACAAGCTGGATGTACCAACCACAGTTAAAAATGATAGAAATATATTTTCCTTGTATGTCTGCCTCTAACAGCCACTACAAAGACATTTAGAATTAAAGACAGTGAAGAGTTTGATGATCATTTCTGTGCAGGACTTGAGTTCAGCACAGTTGAAACACAGTTTGAAGCAAAGCTCAAAGAACATATATGTATACAAATGGCCCTGCTGCTGTAGCAGTGCACTACATTTTAAGATGTAAAAAAATAAATGAATGTGTTACTGAATTATATGGACTTCACTTTGCATTGTAGCTTAGCTTTTCTTTACTTGTTTCCTTAATACTGCAGCCAATACTTTGAAAAAAAACAGCTTATAACAAATACAGTATTTTTTTAATTGAATTGAAAAAAATGTATGTGAGAAAATCAATGTCTATTAATCTGAAACTGTTTCTGAAACTGAAGTTTTTAGCTTTCTAGCTAACCTGCACACATGTAGTATCCCAGTGTAAGCTAACTTTTCAAGGAACATATAAGAAGTATTAACAAGACTTAATTTGTTGAGCCAGCTCAAAAAAATGACCAGTGAAATCTTGTGGCAGTGAATAAAAATGGATACATGTCTATTCAATACTTTTAAGATGTGAGTTTGGAAGCTTGAACTTCATCTACTGTAAGCTGCAAAAGTTTTGAACTTCCAAAGCTGCCTGAGGGTCTGCTTTGTCCAGTGAAAGGATCTTACAACCACTTTCTTGCACAAACACATTAGGAATGTCTCTGTTTCAGATACTGTTTGAGACACATTGTGGTCTGGCAGTGGGTTTTCTTTGTGCTCTTGCTGCTAGCATTGATATCAGCATAAAGTCAAAGGGGGAAGAGGAGTGGCTCAGGAGGAGACTGAGCCTGAGTCTTCAACATCCGTTGAGTCATATTCGTCAGCAGACTCTGTGAGGGCCGGGTAGGGCCTTGGTTGGTCCAGGTTGACGTAGGTAATGTTCAGACTGATGTAGTGTTCTCCCTCCAGGTCAGAAAGAATGGTGGACACAGCTGACACCAATGTAGCAAAGCTGGGCCTCAACTCTGGATCAGGGTCCCAGCACTCAAGCATAATGCTGTACCTGGAAAAACACAGTGAGTCTGTTTCTAAACAAGCATTGAATGTCATGTTTTGATTGGCTAGCATAAAAATGATGCATTTTAATATGTAACGTTAAGCGGGCATTTTACACAGTTGGATACTGACCCACGCTATGGACCTTTTTTTTTCCTAGCAGAAGTGAAATACAGGATCTTGCAAAGTGTTGTTTTTTTATCTGTCTAAGGCCGCTTGATGAAAAAGAAAAAACCTGCACCCACAGTAAACACAGGTGTTGTTTTGTCATTTTACCTAAAAGGCCTCCTGTAAGGACTGTGTGGGAATGTGAAGACTGTGCTTGATTGACATTTAACAATAGCTCTGTGAGTATGCAGGAGGAGTGTAAAATGTAATACAATGAATACACTGAAGTGAGTTAAATAATGCAACCATGTAAAGGAAAAGTTCAACCATGAGGAAAATTCAATCATTTGATTTTTTGCTGCAAGTTCGATGCAAAGATGAAACTACTCTCATATATGTACGGAACATTTTCAGCGTGAGACAGCAAGATTTTGAGCTTAGTGTGAAGACGAGGAGTGGGGAACAGTTAGTCAGGTTTATAATATACATATACAATTTCATTTTTTTACAGTTGTCAGGACACCACGAGGTTGGTTCCTGACAAGAAATAACTAAACACATAACGTGGATTCTGGTACCATTACACAGAGCCAAACTAGCTGTTTGCTTTACATTCTTCATTCAATGCCATGTTACTGGAAACCATTAGGTTGGCTCTAGTTTATTTAAAGTAGAAAGAGTTGAAAGTGTAAGATAATTTTATCTCCTGCTTATTTGACCCTTTACCCAAATTGGATGTGTAACAAAGCCATAGTGGACAAGAGATATGAATGGTTGATTTATTCTCCATCAATCTGTAAATTAGTGGGAAAAGTTTCTGGTCCGTGAGATTTATCATTATCAGTCCAGAAACATTTGTGTAAGAAGTTTTGCGAGCATGTTTGTATGTGCGTGTGTGTGTGTGTGTGTGTGTGTGTGTGTGTGTGTGTGTGTGTGTGTGTGTGTGTGTGTGTGTGTGTGTGTGTGTGTGTGTGTACATTAACTCCTAACCTATATTGCCTAACTGTGTCATAATACCAAGTAGTGGACAATTGACTGGTTTCACACTACTGAGTGACCATAGAAACATCTTGTTCTTACAGCTTTGACTTTGGGACTTTGTACCTTTTCTCTTGTTGCTGAGGGTCTGCATTAGTTTCATTGTAGTAAAAGTATTCATACTAAATTAGTGATTTATTCTTCAGAATTTTACAAAGGGTGTACGAGACATAAACAACAGCGAAAATGAACAATAATTTTTTGGTCCAATTCAACAGGTATGGGCTAAAAATGATATACTTCTATTACTTACAAAGGGTCAGGGCAGTACTGAGGCTGGGGAAGTCTTCTGCCCTTCAGTAAGTAATGTGTTATATCATAGGGGTCCACCTCTGGGTAGGGGCTGGCTCCTCTGGTCAGCATCTCCCACATCAGCACACCAAAGGACCACTGCATCAAGAGAGGCAAAGGTTACAGGAAGTACTGTTTCAAAGGCTCAGAAAGGGACTCCCAATCCGTGTTGAGTTGAGAAAATTACAAATAAAGACATAGACAAAACTTTCTTTCTTTATTTGACTTTGTTATTATTATACATATTTGAATTATTAAGTCCAAAACACCTAACTGACCCAGTAGCTCACAAAACTCGATGTTAGCTAGTTTTGTTTACGTTGGTAAATATTTGATTTAAAGGCAGCAGAATATAGTTTAATTATCAGTGCCATACCCTATCAAAATAATAGTTATTAAAGTACCATTTAGCAGTAGATAATAATTTGCTTACAACATCAGACTTGGAGGTGAATTTCTGTGTCTGCAGACTCTCGATGGCCATCCACTTAACGGGCAGCTTGGCTTTCCTGTGATCCTGAACGCTGTAATACTCTTTATCGAAAACATCTCTGGCCATGCCGAAGTCTGCAACCTTGACCGTGTATGACTCGTCCAGCCTACAGAAAAAGAAAAAAAAACATTATAACTGAGCACTTTGACGTAACAACCTTTAAGAAATATGCACCATGAAATGCCTCTCTACATTTATTCAAAGAGGGGTTCCTTAAATGCTGATTCCTCCACACATCTTGGTGACTCACATGCAGTTACGTGCTGCGAGATCCCTGTGCACAAATTTCTTCTGAGCCAAATATTCCATCCCTTTGGCAACCTGCAGCCCAAAGCCAATCAGATCCTTTACAGTGGGGTTCTGCAAGAAGACAAGAAAACTGACTTAGGATGTCATTGGACACCTTTTGATAGCATATTTGATAGTCAACAGTGAGCTGTGTATAATTCAGATGAATGTTTTAACGAGCCTCACCCGCTTCTCGCAGCGTATAAAGTGCCGCAGGTCCCCATGCTTCATATATGGTAGCACCACTAGAGGGAGCCCTTCCTGTGGCAGGAGGATGCCAAGCAGAGACAACACATTACTGTGGTGGAAACCCTTCATTATGATGCCTTCCTTCAGAAACTGCTCCACCTCCTCAACATCTGTTATTCCTAAAACACATACACATAGATAGACATTATGGACTTAAATAGAAAAGAGGATACTGACAACTCAATTTAAAAAAACAGTTTCGAAAAAAGTACTCAGAAAACATTTCAAATCCTCGGCCAGTTGGTCCCACAGCAGATAAACTGAATATACTTTCAGTATACTTTCCTGAGAATGGTGTATATGTGAACACCCACTAAGAAGGTGGTACTCACTATTCAAAGACTTGACAGCGCAGTGGATTTCTCTGTTGTTGTGGTCTTTGAAGTAGCCGTGATAGACAGTCCCAAAATGACCTGCAGGAATGAGACTGGAATACAGCTGGTTCCAAAATATGACATGGCCTGTACGAGGCTTTCTTTAGACAGTTTTTATTTTTAGATAGCAGCCTGGGTTCCTTACCCTTCCCTATGATGCGGTGGTGCTGCACAAGAAGCATCTCAGCAGGAATAAGAACGTCCTTCACCTCCTCCAGCAGCTCCGGCCTAAAGCTGGAGATGGAGATCTTATCTGTAGGCATGAGGGGAGTGTGGGTAGGATCAATGTTACCTGCAGCGTAGGCTAGCCTGGGGAACACCACCGGCCCCACCAGTGGGGAGGGAGGATTCAGGGATACTACTGGTAAAAACCAAGAAAGAGGAGTTTATTAATGAGAGTCAAGATGGTATGTAAGTCATAAAGAAGTAAGCCTTACAAATATAAAGAGTGGTATATTAAGCGCTTAGCAAGGCAGTCACCTCTCCTGTAGTCTCCAACTGGCGACAGCTCCACATTGTTTGTAACTGAGCGGTTCACACTGTGAGACAAGCGGCTCTCTACCATTGAGGCTGAAAAATATTGAACAATACTTTTTAATCATCAACCCTAGAAGTAGAGCACCTGTACATATTGTGCTACACCAGGGCTGTTCTAGTTCAATGACTTGTGTAGTTCAGCCCAGCAATCCCCACCACTGCTGCTAACTGTTGTATAAACAGGTGTGATCAAGGTCCACAGAGCACAGAAGAGCCCACCTTTCTTCTTCTTCCTTAGGTGTTTCATGACAATGAAGGCCAGCACCGCCCCTGCCACCAGAGCCGCCAAGATCCCCAAAACAATGCCCACCATGTAGTGGTTGCTGACCCTCACCACAGCTCCAACGTTGTGGACCTGCCCGTTGATGGAGATCTAAAGAACAGTCCGTCAGAGAAAATGAATACTAGTGATGCTGCATTACTAACACTCTTTGACTGCTCGAGCTGAACTCTTAAGTTTTTAACTATTAACAATAACTCTTATGTATGTGTAAACATAATGAAGAACAGGTTCAGGATCTACTTCTGCATAAGCTCAACTGTGATATTTAAGACTAAGTTACCGTTTTATTTTTATAAGACAACTAAAACAAAAAACATAAATCCAGATGACAGACTGATGATTAATGAAAAGATGAATGGACTGATGTTTAAAACACTACTGGAATCAATCTTGGTATGATAGTATTAAAAGTATTCCAAATATGTTGTTCTATTCCTGGAAGTTCACTGATTTTGATTGCTTGCATAACCTAGCTCTAGCCCCTATATGATGGCTTCTCTCCAGTGTGTTTGCACAATATTTAAGAATGATTTGATTCCTGTTTACATGCTGGGTCCAGGTAAGTCAGTGATTCATTCAACAAGACTTACCTTCACTGGTAGCCCCTCACTGGGAATGGTCATGTTTTTGGGGATCCTGCAGGTGATCTCATTATCCAGGACTTTTGCATCACAGTTAACACCTGCCACTGTCATAATGATGGTCATACAGGAGCTCACCAAATTCAGCTTTTGATGCTGGAATCAGAGATAAAGGTTGGGATTTGAAACCAATTAATACGTTTAAGAATAAATCACAACTTAGCAAAGCGTTTTTTTTTTCACAATTAATTGCAAATATCCTCACAACTATTCCTTACATGTAATGAAACTTCGTCAAACCCGGGGTACAAACTCAGCACATGTCCCTCTGTTTCAAAAGGGATGGGCTCGCCATAGGGGTGGTAGGAGAACTCTTTGTTCCAAAGTCCCAAAGCTCCATCCATGTCAAAAGAAAGCTGTCCTTTCTCCGTCTCATCTCTATGGAACACAGGGGAGAGACACTCCATCCTTGTAGGCAAGGACTTGCCTATGCACTCCTAAAAAAACAGTGTAATAATGGAGCTCAGCGCAAGTTCAAGCACATTCACACACATATTCAGTACATTCTTTTCATTCAACTTAGCCACTCCCTCTCTACCACTTCCTCCGTCTCCCTGCTCTGGTGATCAATCGATTATGGGTGTTTACTCTTCAAGTTATAATCCAACCAGATTCTGCTACAACCTCTCTCAACCAATCATCCTGCTGCTGTCAAATTTTAAAATCTGTTTTCTCTCTTCTGTAGTCAGTTTGTCATTTCAGTGTGATCGCTGTGACCCTCCTCCGCCCGATTCACCTCCATTCCAGCTCAGCAGAGTTCAGATACAGCCTCAGAAACCCACACCTCATCACCCCCTGCATTCTTCTATCACCATCACCACTAGACTCCATAGGGGAGTATCCTATCCTGCTGTCAGCATCGCTACCCCTCTAAGTGCATGAAGACTAATTGCCAAAGACATTGCATATTTATCTTTTCCTAAACTGTTAAATAAATAATTGTAAACTCTTACTCCAGTCTCTCCTGATTGAAATAGGTTCATGCTTGGCCCAGACATTAAAATAATGGCATATGATAGTTAAGGGTATCAGGTGTTCTAAAACTAAAGACTTATTACAGAAAATGCTTTTGAATGTATCTACTTCAAATTAAGATGATCACTGTACCCTTGTCACAGGTTTTAAGTGGCTCTCATTGGGTTTAAAGCGGATGATGGTTCGGTAAACAGAATCCAGGTTTTCCCCCTCAATTACAATCTTGGACCCCCTGCAATACAGACAAATGTGAGAGACAATAAATGTGTCAGGTGAAATGATATAATCTCTTTCACAGTTAAATATGTGAAATGAAAAGATTTGTTTGAACAGGAATGTTAATGTATAGAAAGTACATTTTTCTTTTTTGTGTTTTCTTTGTCTTGAGTTAAGCGATTTGTTTTCAAATCAAGAAACATATCAGCTGTTTGTACTGGAGGTCTCTGTGGCCTACCTGTCAAAACTACAGCCCGGCAGGATGGATGTAATCTTTGGGTTTTCTCTGTAGTAAAACACCTTTGTTGTTAGGACAGGTGACTTGTCGATGAAAACACTCAGAGGAACGTCCCTCACCTCTGAGATTTGCTGGGACAGACAGATGATGGAGGACACATTGCCTTTAGCCTTTGTGACTCTGGGGAGAGACCAATGTATGTGAATGACTGTAACAGATCAAAGAGCTTCAAGCTTTGAAATACTTTTTCAGAGTTCAATAAGATAACATCAACAGCAAAAACAAAATATCTGTGTTCTGAGTCAGGCTTTGAGTACCAAGGCCTTTCCAGAAGTCAACCTGTAGTTTTCCAAACCATGATTGTATAATCAAGTTTGAACATGTTCCCCTAATTGTGGCAATGAAAATGTTTTGAGCAGCAACTCATCAACTTTACTTCTCGGAACTAGGGCATGTACAGAAAGCTTTTGGTGGGAAATTTGACATGAAAACAGATAAAGAATGATATTATTCCAAGACCTTTTTATTGGACAGGGCATGTCATTCAGAGTGACTCTCCTTGTCCTCCCAGCGTCCAAGTGAGGCCCTGACACTGTGATGAGTGTGCCCCCAACACGAGGCCCGTAGTTGGGCTGGATTTCTGTGATGTTTGGAATCTGACGGAACAGTTCATTCTGGTTAATAAATTGCTCATCATATTCCTTGAAATCTTGAAAGCTTAGTAAGGCAGCAAAGAGTACCACAAATGTGAATCCTGGAATTTCTGCCTTCCCATCGATAGAGTAGCGGCCGTCCACCTTGCCCTCATGCACCTCCATTGTAATGTTGACTGGTTTTGACAGCTCGGTGGCTCCAGAGCGAATCTTGCACACCAGGCTTAAAAGCAGCACAACAAAACACACAGAATGTCAGTGGCACGTACATTCACTGCAACGAAAGTGACTTATCAGTTCTATTAAAAGTATTGAACATATTCAGGAGATAGCTAAAATAAAGCTATAAGTAAAGTTCCTCTCTGTAGAACAAGGTATAGCTGAATCTATGAAAAGATAAAGAAATCAGCTCTTAGATGTTTAATCAGTTGTAATTTTACACCTTAAACTGTAATTTCACAAAGTTTCATCAAAACGAATGTCATTCACAACATTTGTACTCAACGTCAGCATGAGCACGATGACATTTGCCATTTAAAACAGTATGGTTATCTTTATGTCTGTACACTACCAGTCTTGGCTGTGTATTCTGTTTGGGAAAATGTGACATTTACTTTGTTACACTAAGATATTGGTCAAAAAGCTCCAGCAACACTTGTACTATAAAGATAAACTTTATTAACTTTCTTAAAGTAATGCGTTTTGGCTTGTGGCCTTCATTGGATGACCCTGATGAAGGCCACAAGCCGAAACGCATCCTTTTAAAGAAGTTGATCTTCATACTTCCAAGTGATGCTGGAGCTTTTTGACCTCTTTAAGCCTTTCACTCTTCATGCACCTTGGTGGTTGGTGTGCCAGAAAACTCTACTCTGCTTCTTCTTACTCTGAGATATTTACATGTATTAGTGAAAAGGCAGATTAGGTCATATATAAAGTTTTGGTCCCTCAATGTCTGGACTGGATATTTTGTAGTTATGTTCAACAGTCAGTGCAAAAGAGTTTTATGTAAATTATTAGGGGCCTGAATAGATGGATATCTGTGCACAAAAAAATAGCTTTGTCACTTCCTCAGAAGACTTCTTGAAAATGAATTCAGCTATTTTTTTTTTTCAGTGGAAGTATATTCCAAAGGCAGGATTGTCCAAAAAAATAACAACAGTATGAAAGGTTGTTGTTGAATCAGGACAAACCCTGCAAAGACACTCACTGTGTCGTATTGCTTTTGGCTGAAATCACAGCGCAAGGTGTCTGTCCCAGTCGGACCTGGTGGGTTCTGGAGGTGATGGCAGGCCTTAAAGGCGACTGGAACTCCCATCCACACACTGTAAGCTCTGTTTGACCATCAGGGGGAGCAGTCCGTGGAAAGAACTGCGTCAATAAAGCAGAATATACGGTGCCTACTTGAAATGAAATGTTTAGTGGCACAAAATGACTTTGTATAGTGCCTTACTGAACAAATCTCACCCCAGTGATCACTGGTGGGCAGGACTCGTTCCTCCAGCGCCTGTGACACTCACTCTTCCAGGAGCACACTCCAGAGCACCAGCCACAGCCCATAAACTTGGGGGCTGTCAGACACATTGCACAGGTGAGGAAGTGTTGACAGCCTGGCCCTCGCTGGGGAACCTGGAACATCTGAAAAGGAGAGAGGTCACAAAATATGCTCTTTCATTATTAATGCGGCAATTAACACAGCTAAATAGAATGACTGAAGATTACTCCTCAATAATTTATTTATTTCAACAGTGAGATGTTAATTGATACTGGGCTTCAGTACCAGAGTGATACTGTAGAGGTCAGATAACCAGCTTCTTTTTCCAAAATGAAGTCCAATAAATGTATTCAAATAATGACCCTATCTATATCAAATGTTCAACATCAAATTGTCTTCTCTCTTTGGTTAAAACTCCACAGCATTGGATAACATAAATGTTGTTAACTGTGTTTATCTGACCAAAGAGATGATAAACTGTTGAGTTTTGCCTCCTTTTTTGTCCCAATGTCAACAAAACGTAATAATCCCATGTGAGTATTGATCCAGCCTCAGCCTCTTATATCCATCCTGTCCTAAACTACAAGGTTATATCAATTGCATTGATTTTGTTTTGCCACTTATGCATTCTGCTGGTCACAGTAGTCAAACCATATCCCAGCATCGATTGGGCAGAAGGCAGGAAAACCACTGTGGGTGGAACGTTGTCCACAAGATCCTCCAGCACTCAGAAGGAGATAATATTCACTAAGCCACAAATATTCATAGAATCTGTCCAGAGGGTTTGCTTTACTTAAAATAGAAAACATGGGATTGCTCTCTTACCTTATCTCCAACAACAAAAAGAAGATACTCTGATGAGTAGACAGTAGCAATTGATGACACTCTCTTGTTCTCAACCAAAGAGTAATTGGCAAAGATAACAGGGCTGGATCTTGTCAATACAAGCTGCCAAAATAGACACAATACATGTTTTGTTGGTAGGATCATGTGTTTAAGTAATGAAAGATTAAAGAAAAAAAAGACTGATATTAAAGTCAATAATGTTGAAATCAAGCCATATACCTGCAGCAGGCGTCCAGTAGAGGTGCCGATATGAGCTACAGTCTTGTTCTCTATAGTTGTGACCAGCAGAGATGTGAGCAGGACGTCTGTCATCTGCCTGTTGAAGAGGTCAACTCTATAGTAAGGCTTTGACACCATCGTAGGATGGTCTCTGCATGTGGCATTGTTCTCCATGCTCTAGGACCAATTCCACCGAGATCCAGAAAAAAACAAGAATAATAAAAAACAATAAGTTAGAGAGAGAAGTAGAAAAAAGTACATTATTTTAAGTATAATATCAAACAAGTGCAGTCACATTATGGTCAACATCTGGTGGCGGTATGACACATATTAGTGTAGGTAATAAGTCGTCACTTCCAAAGTGCCTAGCTGATAAACCATTACCAGGACATAAGGTCTTTATGACAAAAGTCCCCAATAGAATATCACATTTTCCTTAATGCTGCTTTAAAGCCAAACAGTAGGAAATTACTCAAATTAGCAAGACAGCTGAAGGAGGTTTTTTAATGAGTTCAAAATGATTTCTACATTCGTAGACAATAATATTTTCTTACAGCTGTATGGTGTTGGCTTGTCAGAAATGAGCATGTTATGAGCTGAGCTTGTCACCAGGGTGACCATGAGAATATCTGATAATATGATCATTTTGTTATCTCGTTGGCCATGATAAATGATAATGTGCTTCATAAGAGACAGGGGATTGCCTTGTAGCTATAGACACAGAGCAGGGTGGAACGCTGTTTGATTAAAGGGTGTCTTTGTGTAAACACGGCTTAATATCCTTAAAACCAATATATAAAAATAACAAGAAACCACAAGTGTTTTCAGACATATAAAAGAGAAAAAGGGATACTGCGCATAAAATGAAAGAGGATGAAAAAATAATTGTACATGCATCCTCTGCTGTATGATAAAAGCCTGGAGTACTAATTACTGAAGTCATTCAACTGCAAATCTTAGGGGAGAATAAAAGCTTGGCTTAAAGTCAGTTTACTCAACCCTAAAATTCATTGAAATTTGAATACTGAATAGCTTAAAGACACTGCACGTTATCAATGAAAGAAAACAAAACAGCAGCCAAAAGCCACAAACTACAAGAAATATTGGGAGAAAAGTTTTGCTAGTCCAAGTAAAATAATATTTATTTGTTTAAAACTAACAGGTTTGCATTAGTTATAAACCTCATCTTAGAATTAAACACAGGGTATATTTTCCAGCAATACATATACCTGAATGAAGTCAAAGTGTTGGAGTCACATCTGTTTTCTAACAGGTCTAACCATATAATCTCACTCTCCAATGTAAAATGTTCCCATTAATAGGCTACAAACAAATGTGGGAAATCCCTCTCCCTCTCTAATCTTAGAAACCACTCACTTGATGCAATACATATAAGGCGCTTCTGAATAGTGATAAGTGTGACACTGACTTTTTCATTTAATTATTTTTCAATCTGTTTCCTTGGAAAAATCTGATTGCGTAAACGCTGATACAGGTGGTTCTAGTTGCAGGCTGCAGCATGAATAATCTCAGTATTACAAAGGGTTTCCCTTCATGGGCAACTCAACTACAAGCTCTGAGATATGATGAAGAGGATGTTCATTTAGTACATGATTATTCACAGTCCAAAAGAAAATTGTAATACAATGTACATATCATATATCAGCCCTTGCCATCACATTAAAAATGTCTTCACCATGATTTATTGACAGTATTTGAGAAATGTTCAGTGGGGTTTCTTATTTTAATAAACTCTTTCAGTAGTATGAGGCTAGAGCCAACAGGCAGTCGGCGTAGCTTAGCAGTAAACGCACAACAGACGAAAACAAGTAGCAGCACTTATGAAGCTCAGTTATTACAACCAAGTACTATTAATAATTCTCTGCAGGTTGTGTCAACCTCACAATGACGTCAACATTCCAGAAAATGACTGCTCCCGGCCATGTTTTCAACATTGATTGTTTGTTTTTTTGATAAGCCTAGCTAGCTGCTTCCACCTGTTTCTAGCTATGTTAAGCTAGCTCCTACAGTAGGTGTAGCTTCAAACTAGGTGCATAGGTATGACAGTGAAATTATCAATCTTCTTATCTAACTCAGCAATACATGTTTTTCAACTAAGACCCTAAGTCTTATTGTAGCTTCAAAGAATACAGATTTTGTGTTTGTTTGTGATTGGGGATTTTTTAGAAGATACACCAAGATTTTTGCTCCTTGTAATTAATTTACACAACTGCAACAGCAGGTGGACTGCTCTAAAGACTTTAAATGACTTTGACCTGATGACAGACTCTCAAATTAACTAACAGCAGCAGTATTATGGAAAATGTGAACAACAGTTCATTGACGATCAGGGATTTATTTTCAAATATCTCATATTATAAGTGGTAACAGATCATACAACAAATATACTTTATTGTTCCAAACCCTCATTGTAAGATGTTTTACAGGCCCTATCAAGATACCTGCTGCCTGAGTCAGCCAATGGTTACCGCCGTGAAAAGATGTAAACTAGGTGTTTTCTATTTTAGTGACAGTGCCTAATCTGAAAGTATAGATCAAACTAAATGAATCACCTGGAATGGCTGTGCATGGACGTATGCTCTTACCTCGTGTGGACAGCTCTCACAGGGCTGAAAATGGCAGAGCCCTCTGGAGAGCTGTTCTGGGCCAGACTCACAGCAGTCATCCACCCCGTCTACGATTGCTTTGTTAACATTATCCATCGGGAAGGCGCATAGTGCTGAGTCATGCTCCGTCACCCCATTGTCATCAGTTACAGCAAAAACCCCGTAAAGGATGTCATCTTCCTCCTCTGCCCCTAACTCCTCTGCCAGCTCCCTGCCAGCCCTGCCAAAGTGGGCTGCCTGAACCACATTGTATACCACATCTTTATAAGGTTCACTGACAACGTTCCTTCTACGGCGCTTTGGTTCAAAGCGACACTCCAGGATCACCTCACGATACCGCTTCATCTCCCATTCATTCCGTGGGAGACGGCCAAGACGAGTCTGAAACGGAGATGAGCCCTGATCAGGGCTCTCTCTCTGAACAGAAAGGAAGTAGACAAACTCCTGAGTGAAAAAGCTGTACACATATTCTATATTGTATGTCCTCCGTAAACCTGGAAGAACAGTTAGGCCACGCACGTCACTGTAGAAACCATCTTCTGTTGCCAGTGGTCGACGCACTGATATAGATTTCCTTCCATAACGCTGGGTCACACTGTCATTAACAGTTGTGGCAATGAAGAAGTAGACAGTCTGACCCTCTTCAACCATTGTCACCTTGGTGCCCAGAGGGCTAGCCACACAGTCAGGACAGTAGGCAGCAGAGTTTGAATCCTTTCTGAATAAACACTTCGACAGAGAAGGCGACTCTCCATTTGAGGTAAGTTGGTGAAAATAGCACACACCATACTGAGAACTTCCACAAGAGTATAAATACATGAAGAGGGTATCCAACAGCAAGATCTGATTGTTTGTGTCCTCCAGAAAATTTGGATCTTTGTCAACATTGCACAAATTGCATATCTGACACTCTGGGCTTCCAACTGGCCCAGTGCGAAGCTCCCACACCTTCTCCAAGCTTCTGTTGACAGCTTCAATCACGTTCTGAGAAGCAACATACACCTCCTGGTAAAACGAGTTGTTGACTATGTTCTGGATCGGGCTCCGGGCCTGGAAAAAAGGCATGGTGTACACCACAGAGTAGTTGACATTGCTTGGGGCAAGTGAGGAACAGTTGGCCAAGGCAAAGGCCATCAGGGTCTGGAGCCAGGCACATGTCCCCCACTGTGTGGTCCAGTGGACCATCTCCACTCCTAGATACAAGGGTTGGTAGCAGCACAGTCGACGTGGGGTTACCTCCAGGTTTGATGTTCAGACAAAAGCATCCTCATACAGGCTGCTGATTCCTGAATGAGGAGAAATTACAAAGGATGTAATTAATGTAATTAAATTCACTTTGTGGATGGTTTCCAATGGTTACAGGTCTGTTGTCCTCAGCTAGGTACCAGTTCTCTTGGCACAAGCTTCATATTATTAAACATAGAGATCAAATTAAGGTATCAATCTTCACTTCTCACAAATGTGTGAGCTGGTCCTTTACTTACTAGATTTTGAAAAGCTCAAATAAATGTTATTGTACTCAAAAGTGAACCAGGATTTTTTTTTAAATAACTGACAGAATTATACAGATTATTTTTTCAATGGAAAGGGTGCTTCAGATCAGCCTTCAATACTCTGCTCTGCACTGATTAAAAGATCTGATGCAATAAAACACATTGTGGTTGACCCAAATGATGATAAAAGCACATGTGGTCATAAAGTCTAATGTTTCTCGGACTCACAACAAACAATGAAAGGAAATGTTTACATTATTAAGAGAAGGCTGTGTTTTCCAAGGTAAGAATAGCAGTGTTTCCCCTAGGTTCACAGCGCACACACGCCGACACGCTGACACACCGACACAAACACTTGAAGGAATCTTGGTGTTCATGGGTTACTTTTAATGACAGCTGTCCTTTTCTATTGGAAAGGTATCCTTAAATTACTTATTTCCCTGATTTCTGACTCTATCATATCCCTACAATAAAGGCACAAAAAGCCCAAAAATGAATCTTAAAAAAAAAAAATATGTGTGTGTATATATATACACATTTTTTTTTTTTTTTTACTTGACCTTCAAGGGGGGCGGGGGGGAAATGGTAGGGGAAACACTGAATAGTAAAACATGGATAAACTAAGTTTATTGTGACTTCCTGCACAAGACACTTATACTGTACGTGCTACTTCATGTTTACTCTAGTTTAACAAACATCCCATCTTTTTTTCTCCCACAGGCTGACTGGACTTTTTACATTATTGCACCATTCTATTCAATGAAAATAAACATTATTCATGACTCATCCTCACAAGTCCTCATACAGCAACCAACCATATGGAACTTTGATTCCAACGCAGAGCCTTTACATCCTGAACAGACGCTTATTGGTGGATCATTAACTAGACACATCGTGGAAAGGCTCAGAAAGAGCCTCAGCCTCTCCACTTTGCATTCCTGTCACAACCGCTACGTGCCTTTCAGGGGGAAAGACATGCACGGACTGATGGTCATAGACGCTATGTGCCTTATTAAGTCCCAGGTGAAAAAGAAACAGCTCCTCTGCTCGTGTAAGAGAATCTCATCAGCGCTGATTTTTTTTTGAGAAACAGAGGAACTTCCCGCTTGCAAAACTTCTTTCAAGAAAGTGACACTTATTCTTGCAAGCAGTCTTATGGAAACATTTCGAGTCAAGAGTCTGATGTCTTTACATCAATTATTCACAGAATACCACTTGTGCAGTGTAACATTCTAACATTTGCAGCTCTTTGTGAACTCAGGTTAAGTTTAGAGAACATGGGTATACATAGTAATGGCACTGATTGACTTTCTTCATGTTCATGTTCATGGTTAATAAAGCTAATGGTTGAAACTAGGTTTCCATTCATGTATCATGGTGTTACTTACAGTCTGGTCAGAAGGCAGATTTTTGCATGAGGCTACAGTGGTGTATCTCTTGACTGTTTATTGGATGTGCAGACTGTTTTTTTGACAACATCATATTCTTTACTTCTGCCATGAGGAAATAATCACAGCAAATTGAACAGAAAGTGATTTTGATTAATAGTCTATGTTTCCTTTTTACCTTAATCATCTTTTTATTGATGTTTCAGCATTTGCATCAAAAAAACATTATTCACCTGTCTGCTTTTCCAAATATACATCACACATGTCTCTTCACAATGAATTATTTGAACAAAGAACCTACAGTGAGGAATTGGGAGATGTTGTATTGGCTGTGGCATGCAGGAGGATCTGTGCCTTGCTCACAGGTACTTTGGTCACAGGTAATTAGTGAGGAAGAGTGCCTCTCTTTCATTATCGAATGCACAAATACCCACAGGGATTTGAGGAGGCAATCCACTGTCCAACAATCGATGGACAAAACATATTGTACCCCAAGGACACATGTATTGATTCAGTATACCTACATTATGCTTCTCAAACCAGTACAGAACCACATCAGCTCTGCTTTTACTTTATTCTGAAAATTCATGTTTTTTTGGTTAGTCAGCTATTTTAAAAAAATTATCCAGATAAATCTCAAGTGGTCAAGTCCACCATAATCATTTTAATTGTGCTTTGTACCTGTTCTTGCCCATTTAGGCATGTTATGTTTTTTATCCTGCCATCCTGTTAATGCTCCTATTTCTTATTCTGTCTGTTAAACCCTGACATTGATTGCTAAAATCCACAAGCAGGATGGTATCTAATTCTATCAGCTGCACAAAACAAAAACCTAATAATACCACACTCACATTATTATTGGAATTGAAAATGCAACTGACAACCCCCTCCTCATATCCTCCTGTTATAGCATCACAAACAGAAATAAAGCAGCACACACGACTCATTAATTTCAAAATCCACAACTAAATCATATTTTTTGGCAATACATCTCTATAATCAAATAAACTTCAGGAAATGTAAACCATTTTAATTATGTGAATGATCATAAGAACTTGACTGTATTTAAAATCGAATCTCCTGTTATGGTATGACTGAAATGTCTCAAAAGAATAACTGTTTTCCTTTCACTTTGTGATTTTTTTTTTGCCATGTTATCTTACAAGAAAAACAACTGAAAAGTTATGAGGTGATAAACGGCAGATTCTTATCCATTTTCCATGGGACATGTAGCTGTGTGTGTAGAGGAAGGCTTACCTGTTCAGGTTAGAAACTGTCCTCTTCGGGATATGGTCACTGCTAGCTTCAGAGCTTCAGAGCACGGAGATTCAAGTTTACACGATAGTTTAATCTCTGCTATAAAACTGAACCATCTCACACCTCCCTAAGCGCCTTGAAGTGTCGACTGTGTTGGTTTCGGATTGAACTTCTAGTACGAGTCAGTATTGTAGATCCCCAGCTCGCTCCTCCCTCTCCGCTGCAGACTGGCAGACAGAAGCGACAAGCCCAATTAACCCACAGGATCTGTTAACAACCTCTCATGTTGGCCAGTCCTACACAATGCAATACAACTATTTGATGCTTAACTAACTTTTATTTAAATGGCTTTTTCTTTTCTTTTCTGGAAAACAATTTCAGTTTACATGCTATTCATTCCCCCTTTCTGCTGTGCTACTCTCAAATGTTTGACTCATGCTGCAAGTATTTCCTTATTGTTTTGCCAACAGACCAGTATGCTTACTGGTAAGTCTTTTAATGGTCTACTAAACTTTTATGGTGTATAAATAGTACACAGAAAATCCCCATCCAAATGTTTGAATCATGCCAACAGACCAGTATGCTTACTGGTTTGTGCATGGTTTGTGCAGTATGCTTACTGGTTTGTCTTTTAATGGTCTACTGAATTTTTCTGGTGTGTAAATAGTACACGGAAAATCCCCATCCTAATATATCAGAAAAGCATTAGTGACAATAGTTGATTGATATATCGACACCACAGTTAGGCTATTGAATTGAAAATATTACAACCAAGGAAACACTAATGTTTGTCAGAGTAAAGCCAGACAGAATCAGGACACAGAATCTGTTAGAGAGTCAGTTTTATTACTTACCACTCAGTTATTCTTTCATTTATAAGCAGCCATAAACCTGCATCTATAATGTTATCATTTATTTATTGGCTTTGTACACAAAAAACAATTAAGGCAGATGTGGCATCGTTGGACTCATTAAGCAAAGCAGGACCCCATGAAATACAGCAAACTTTGATGATTAGTCACAAGTACATAAAATATCACATACTTTTCTCAATTATTATGCTCATTATACTGAATGACAGTAGTGAAGTGTTAATAGGGAAATTCTAACTGACGCTGGGAAATGAATGGACATAAATGTAGTTACATTAATAATACATGTTAACACAATGAAATGACAGTAGAAAACAGGTTACAGTTTTAGGAACACATTTTTCTTGGAGTGCCTTTTGCATAAAGAAAGTGCATGGAGGTAAAATGACAATAGTTCTTACAGTAATTGGTCATCATCAAATGCAGGAATGTGCCTTACCCATATTTTGACAATACGTCTTATGACAAGAGATTATAATTCTGCTTTAGGTGCTCAATTACTTCCAGTTTTTTTAAGTAATTTAGCAGATAGCATTAAAAAACACAGGCAGCATTTTTTTTTAATCTCAGAGGCAAATTAAGACAGTTAAAGTAAAATAATTATGTATTTATAACAACTTCAAAAGCATACAAACGCCACAGTATGTCGTTGTTGATTTGCCATCAATATTGATGATGCGTCTCCACCCTGTCGATATCATACATTTTAAAGTCATAAAAATCTGGCGGATTAAAATACAGCGTTAACTCACCCTGATTACACAATCCATACCGTCTTGTCACAAATCTGTGAATGAAATCCCATGAATCCAGAAGCAAGAATAAAGCTTAGCTTTGACAATCTTTCTCAACACAGAACTGACTAGTGCATTATTGGTCGCTGTTGTTAACACCTGGACTGTTAGCAAAGGCTCAGTATGTGAGAGGACTCAGGATGAAGAGGCGATCCTCCTCCTTCCTGATCCACTTTAACAACTTGGTGACAGCAGAGACAGCCAAGGCCTTGGTCCCTAGTGGACTGAAGCAGAGGTAGAGCTCGAAGCCACTTGTCACCTGTAAAAGAAGGTCGTATTTATGATGGGTATGATAGGGCCTGGTGTTAAAGTAATACAACAATACATTATATTTAAGAATTAAATAAAAAGTTTGCGTTTGCATTTAAAGTGTAAAACTAAAATGCCTCGCTCAGTTCTCGAAATACAAGGCCCTCGTGTTACAACAAGTTTCACTACGTATGAAGAAGCATGCTCTGACTTTATGCAGCATGTGTTTGCAAGAATTTCTGATCTTTACAACATACCAGAGCAACATTAAAACCTAATTAAAATTAACTTCAGCACAAACGGCACACATTTTAGAAGGATGGAAATGGGGAAGAGAAACAAAGGTACTAGTTTCATTTACAGTTGCAGTGACTTTGATTACTGCCATATGTCCTCAGGCATTAAAGGTACAGTACAAACCTATGAAATGTATAAAACACGTTTTCAATACATGCACTGTCAACTGATCCAGTGAAGATCAAACTTAATATTCTCTCTTGAAAGCATGTAGGGCTGACTGTAGATTAAAGCTTAAATCTAAAAAAAAAAAACGATTCCTTGTTCATATATTTTTAAAACAAACGTACACTTAAACTGATTTACTAATCAGTGCTACACAATCCTGAGGAACTAACCCCTTCATGAGATGAAATAACAGTTTTGGCAGTGTCATTTGATGATTGATCAACTTTTGCAAAAATTCAAAAAGTCTCACGATGATGCGCTGGTAAATTTAAAAGTCTGTGATGTATTTCTTAGTTTAGGGACGTTTATAACGTGAAAATTTAGTCAGAGCTAAATTTAAAACACCAAAAAAACTACAAGCATCTCACTTCACAATGCCAAGCTTACCCATGCCATCAGGTTTTCACTTTCAGTACAGCGATACAAGGAGCGAAGAGGTCTGGTTGGATGATGCAAGCGGCTATGAAGGTCCTGGTACAATTCCATCAGCCTCTCCTGCTCTTCATCAGTCTGGTACACTACAGGAAATGCTGGGCTGTAGAAAAAAATGAAGTATTATGAAACGGAAAATGCATGAATACTTGGACAAAGAAGGTTGCTTGACATGACAAAATAAATTGAATTACTTAAGACACTTACAGTATGTTTTTCATTTAATAAACCACCTAGGTAAATGTATTACAAGTATAAAATGATCAAGCAGATGTTCCTACCCACCTGGTGTACAACCCTGAGCTCTTCGATTTATACAGAAAGTGTCTCAGCTCTGGGATGCCAACCTGCTCCACACAATAACTTGGACACTTGAGTGCCTCCTTCAGGGCCTGGTAGGCACTGCGCTTGTTCAGCCTCTCCAGGAACCGTTGCTTGCAGTCGGACATGTTAAAAAAGTCCTCTCGATCAGTAGAGACCAGGATCAGACAGAGATCAGAAGCAGGCTCAAGATAAGAAATGTGAGCGTGGAAAAATCCTGCAGTGTTGAACTTTGGCAAACAGATGGGCGTCCAGCCTTCCCCCTCCCGGAATGACGATGAGGAGCCTACAAGGTTGAAGACCAGGTTCAAGTCTATATGGTGCAGGAATTGGTCCTTTTTCCTCACCAGAGTCACCAGGCGATCCCCTGCCAGCAGGATGGAGAACACAAGGCTTTTGGATTTGGCTGCCTGCAGGCTCGATGACACCACATCCCTGTTGGAGCTGGGAAGAGGCAGGCAGGTGACAGCACTAAGCAGCAGACCGGGGTCTCGGTCCAGTCGATGCAGCAGGCTGTCGGTCAGGTACTCAGAGCCGGCCAGCAGGCGGCGCAGGTCGTAGTTCTGCTTGTGCTGGAAGATGTGGTTCAGTTGGGTGAGTGTTAGCAGGCTGACAATCTGGTAGTAGATGTACTGCAGCTCTCGCAGCAGCTCCTTGTCTGACTGAGAGGTTCGGGACACGCCCACCAGGACCAGAGGGCTCTTGGCAAGGAATACCACTTTACAGCCATCTGACACACACAAAAAATGAAAAGTTGACATGAATTAAGGACATTTTAAGAAACATGTTTCTGACCATTTTATATATTACTTATTAACTGTATTCTAACCTGCATGAATGGAGCGAATGATGTTCTTCTCTGCCTCAACGAATGACACAAGGGCCATCATCACCCCCATGGTGCTGGACAGGGCCTCCTCTGTGCCGTAGCGGGAGTAGATGGGCTTTCCAGCCTCGCTTAGCACAAACACATGTTTTCTGTGGCTCCTCCATGCCTCACTAGACACATCTTCCTCCTTTGTCCTACTCTCAGATGCATTCTCATTGTTGTGCTGGTCCTCTACGCTTTTCTCTCCCACCAGCACCTCGAGGTCCTCTGCAGACTCTAAGGGTTTGTCCAGTTGAGCCTCCCTCCGAACCAACTCCTCAGTCTCAGCAGTCAGATCTTCAAAAGACTGTGCACGGACAAACATAGCACTCCTCTGACCGGCACCTGCATTCAGGGATAGAAGGGATAGAAGTGAAAGTAATAATGAGTCATTTAAAAATAAATGAAACATACACTTTCATTTCCCTATCAAAGGCTACCAGTCATGCGAGCAGTCATAGAGAAATTATCCAACTCTGGTCATAGCTTAACTCTAAACGAAATACAGATAGTAGATAAAAATAAAAAATGAGTCAGGCAGATTAATCTGCAAAGAATGTCGATCTAAAACTGAGCATTGTTTCTCCTGGAATAATTATATATCTTTAAACTCAAACTGAAATACTTGTTCTGCTGTAAATATGCTAGCCCCATGACACAAACACACTTTCTTGGGGGTGCCAGTGGTCTAGTGGTTAGTGCATGTGCCCCATGTACAGATGCTAAAGTCCTCCAAAGTAGGCGTCATGGGTTCAATGGGTTAAACACTAAACAGTGAAGTTAAAAAAAGGGAAGTGAGAGTGGCATTTCAATAGATCCACTGTAATTCACACACACTCACAGTCCTTATCATAAGCTTGAACCTGGATAGATAGATAGATAGATAGATAGATAGATAGATAGATAGATCAAATGAGAACAACAATAACATTTGGTCAAAATTAGCCTTAAGAGATATTACTTGTAATAGCAGCTGTTCCTTTGTTTTAGGAACTATGGTGTACTGTTAACCTTGTTCTTGTGTACTGTAAACATTTAGGAAGTTTTGTAATAAATCCATGGAGTATGGGCCAAAAGGTGTCATTATAAGAGCATATCAAAAGTATCTGGAAGAGCGTAGTTTGTAACTGCTGTCATTAACTTATTGTTGCAACCCAAGGGTAAACTCTAAGAGGGTAAAGTCATGAAGAGTCAGAAGAGATAACATTTCAGTATATTTAAAGCTTTCTGTTCGGATTGATCACCAGATTTACACTGCAGTCCTGCCGGTTGACAATGAAGGAATGGAGACTATGGACCTCACCAGGTTCAGTTCCCTCCACCAGACCTGGTGTGGGACTTTCTGCCCTGTCGGAACGGAGGTGGTCCACAGGAGCCAGATAACCATTCTCCCATGACGCAGTCGGCCTCAGGGCTTCTCCATCCATCACTGCTACTTTTGGCAGGGACACACACCTGACAGAACAGACCGACCAAAACCTTTAAGAAACAAGCCAGCAACTTGGTCACTTAAGTTTGACCGGAAATCAGGTTATGCGCATGCTGTACTACTGTAATGAGACAGCTTCTAGTGTAAAAGGCACTCATACTTTACCGCCTGACTTTAACCCTTTTTGTGATGTAAGACACTCCTGAAGTAGAAGCAGTCTCATTGTCGTTGCTACAAAGTGTTGGGACTACATTATTGACACTTTGGTAATATAACATTCACTTAAGCGTTTACGCCAACTTTTTTTAATACACCTTTCTTGAGTCACACCCTTTCAGTGTGACTTCACAGGCTACTTCGATCGCTAACTTTAGCAGATAATCAACAGCATCGAAAGCTAACTATTAGCTGGGTATGGTCTATAGCGTTCTTTCTTTTTTTTACAACAGGTCCCGTGACTCTTATAAAAAATGTCCAGATCATTACCTTTCATTTCCAGAGCTGTCAACATTAGCTCGTTGAGCTCAACGAATCGCTTGACACATGACGTGCAGATAGGTCACAAGTAGGGACAAGACAAAAGTACTTGTTCTTGCTAGTCAACATGCCCTGTTAAATTGCGGAAGTATGAACTATGGGATTTGTAGTTTTGTGTTACAGAACCACCTGGAGTGGTAAAACTGAGGATTTGATTTTTATTACAGTTTGGAAATATGTTTGCATTGTTGGTCAATGGAGTTAATTCAATAAAAAAATATGATTCTGCTATTTAGCTCTGTCCATTTCTGACCTTTAACGTTGCATTGATAAAACTGAATAAAACAGCAATGCATTCTAATGGCTATGATAATGGATTAAGGCACACGTCTGTTGTAAAAGGGGGGTAGGCTATAATAGGAAACTAGCAGTATTGGGTCATTGTGATATCAAAACCGTCAGGTGGATGAATGACCCTGACCCGAGGACGTAGACTGAGCGGCGATAAGCAAGTTCTAGTTTATCTGATGAAGGTAGGATTTGCTTTAAATAACATTTCAAGAGAATACCCACGTTAACGAGCAGCACCTAAATGCAGCATTAGGGGGCGGGACTTACGTTTGAACGTGCAGCGGGGAAACACTGCCGCAGTTGTGTTCATGTTAGCTAGAAGTGGTTTGTCTAATGGGGCTAATTCAACTAGGGTGTAATATTTACAGTCTATGGTGTAAACCAACGCGACAATATGGATGTTAGCTTTCAACTCAGGGCGGCGCGGTAACTTAACGTATTTGTTTCGTACGCATCGCAAGGCATTAAAGGGCAACGAACCTCTAACCAAAGCTAAACAGCGTTAGCCTAGCTTATTGGTTACGTCACGAGTGTATGGTCTGTAACGTACTGGCCAACTCTATCGTCACAGCTTCAGCCAAACAAACAAAAAGAGACCTAACACTCACGAATATGCTCATGTAACACCTTTTCATCGCCGAGTGTGGTTTTCCTTATCATAAATAACAGGCTGACACTCTTACATTAAGATGCCTATCCGAGCATATTGCACCATTTGCTCTGATTTCTTCGATCACTCCAGAGATGTTGCTGCAATCCACTGCGGACACACTTTCCACTATGAATGGTAATCCCATATGGCCCTATCTCAATCTACAGTTTTGTTTAACAAAAAAAATTAAAATGTATGTCGTGTTTTAAATGTGGTTTGATTTACTTTCATTGTCTCTTCTAAGTCTGCTCCAGTGGTTTCAGACGGCGCCCACTAAAACCTGCCCACAATGTAGAAAACAGGTAATGTAACATCCAAACGCCACCAAGCTGCTTACTTACCAGCAGAGGCTCAACTGGTTGGGTCAAACAGAAGGAAAACGTCAACATACAAACTTATGTCTTTCTGTATAGGTCAGCACCAGACACATTATCAGCAAGCTGTTCTTTGACATTGGTGGAGAAGAGGAGGCAACAGCGGACCCTGAGAGCTTGCAGGTACTGAACGTAGAGCACCTAAACAAAACATCAGTCTTTATTTTAAGATACATTGATTGTGAGGAGGTGAATCATTGTTTAGATTTTCTCTTACGATCAGGCAAGTGATACAGATAGTCCATTACACTTCTCATTATATCATAAATTTGTGTTTCTAATTGTGTTTTTCTTCCTTACTTAGAATGAGGTCGATAGGATGAAGGCAATTTTAAGCTCTAAAGGTGAGTAATTTGACAATGTTGTTAAGCACTATTATTTAAGAACAATAAAGCACATCTTCATAAACTGTCGAACACATTTGTAGAGCGAGACTGGCGGGACAAGCAGAAGGTGGTGGAGGGCTTGAAGGACACTGTGGAGAGGCAGCGGAGAGACCTGGACGGTGTGCGGAAAGACGTTATGGAAAAGGAGATGCTGTGTTCTGCCCTCAGAGTAAGCTGCCAGTTCTCCTTCAAATAAAACCACATTCTATGCTGACTTGTACTGTTTCTGACATTAGGTGTTATTTATTCTGATTTATGTAAATATTTATTTGCTTTTTTTTTTTTCTTTTCACAGAAACAGATGTCCTACCTTGAGACACAACAGAATGACGTTCAGTCAGCCAAGGAGGAAGCCCGGCGACTCAGGACCAAAATGAAAACTTTTGAAAGGTTTCTTTACTCACACAAGTGCTATCAAATTTTGTCTTCAAAGTTCAGCCACACTTTATTTATCTCAAAATTAGGCCTGGGAGATAAAACTATGAAGATAATTATCACAATTTTTTTAATAATAGCAATATAATTTTGATCACACAATTGTAACAAAAATATGATATTTTAACTATTTACAGTCTAACAACAAAAAGAGTAGCGTGCTCTGTAAACTGTGCCGAAGACATGGGCATCTGAAATGGGCAACAACACTAAACCTTTTCCACCATTAGAAACAATATCACCCATAAGGACATACAGAAGGAAAGAAATGACCAAATGTCCCAAACGAGTGTTATTGGACAGTCTGCAAGCAGCAGACCAATAAGTGTTACTGCACAACAGAAAACTGTCATATCAGCGTTTTCCAGCTCTGTGCTTATAATTGAGAAATGATGCTCTGTTCAAGTAGAGTTTGTCAAGTTCTAACAATAGAGAATAATTTAACCACAATTAACCATCTGGTTTCTTCAGCTTTCACTCAGGAGCCGAAATCAGCCTTAAAGGGTTTACTTCACCCATTTGCATTAAGCTTTGTATCATTAGAAACCTGGTAGTATTTTTGAATGGTTGCGCAAGCTCAGCAGCCGAGACATAAGGCCTGTCTGTCGGCGGCGATGAGGAGCCGGGGCCGGCTCGTGCTGGGGCGGACTGGTAGTGTCTGTGCTCTCACTGTTTGCCTATGGACACAGACAGAGTCTGTTTTCTGCCAGGAATTTCCAAGATGCTAATTCCTTCTGGAAGAAATCTCGGAATCAGTAGAGGAAACGGCCTTATGTGTTGAAGTAAATATGTCTGTAAACATGACCTTAGTGGGAGTGGCCTGCAGTGCTGTACATTCTGGGATTTAGTGTCTTTCATCCACATGAGCCAAAAAGACACTTTGTACCTTTTCACAGCCAAGAAGGCACCAACTTCAAAATGTATTTCACATTTCTACTACATACATGACCCAATGTCAATACAGATTCATGTTTCAACGGGTGAAGTATCCCTTTAACATTTCCAAGAAATAATGATTTGACATTTATCGTGATAATTCTCAATATCGACTGATAGGAAATTTTTTATTGTGATAACATTTTTTGTTATATTTCCCAGCCTTACTCAATACATATCATTCTGAAAGTATGAAAAGTAATTGATTGACCCGATTACCTCAATAACATTAGAATGATGGTCCTTTAAGTATTCACATGAGCATTTGTGTATTTGGAGTTCGTGGCTGATATAGATTAACTAGCAGATACAATTAGGGATTCCATTTTTCAGTTACCTTAGAGACTGTCAGTAAATAGATCAAACAAAATTATATTGAAATTCTAATATGCAAACCAGCCTTTCTTAAAATGCAATATACTGAACAGATTGTTAATTGAATAATCTGAAAGCTCCTTGTAGTACTGTAGAACCGTGTCTTTATTCATTGTCAAATAAGGCATACCCATGCCATGTACTAATAGTGTTTTTTTTGGTTTTCTTTTTTCCAGTTTGGAGGTGTTATTACAGGGCCAGAGAGCTGAGGTGGAGTCCATGATCACAGATATGGGCATCAGCCAAGCAGCAATGGAGCAACTCTCTATCTACTGTATCTCTCTCAAAAAGTAAGGAGCCCTCGAGGGCTGTTGATTTTAAGTGATTTTCACATTGTGTTGTTTAAGGACAAACATAACTTTGATGTCTTCAGTCACTGAGAGCGTATCCCCTCCCTTCCTTTTTTAGAGAGTATGATAATCTAAAGGGAAGCCTGAAATCTTCAAATGACATGTGTGAGAAGCTCAAGAGAGAAGTGCTCACCTCAAACAATAAGGTAACTTTATGTTAGAAAGTCACTGCGCTGCGAGAATTCCATTGTTGTATGTGAAATCTTTATAATTTAAGTTTTTTTTGTGTTGTTTAAGTTACACAAAGCCTCACTGGAGGTGAAGCAGACCAACGAGGACATGAAGTCACTGCAGAGCGATTTGGCCAACGCTGACAAAGAGATCTCTGTAAGAGAAATCCTTAAAATACGAAGAGAAATGGATGGATGAATAATATAAAATATGCTTTTACTTTAAATCTGTGAAATTCACTTTTGTATCTCCTGCATGTTTGTCTGTTTGAAGAGTCTGAAGAAGAAAGTGGAGTTTCTGCAGAGGACTCTGAGCACTCCGACACGGACGAATGAAGCCCTGAGTCGACTAGTTTTTGAGAGGTGTGTCTCTCAGCCACCTCACAGAAATGTTCTTACTTTATGTCTTTTTATGACATCATCATACACACATCTGTCTGGGAATTACTGACGATTTTCTCTGTTCATCTATCAGCCCAGCACCAATGGAGCTGAAACAGCCTTATCTCCACCACACAGCAGGTAGCAATGATATTGACCTCAATATGACTTATGACGTCACTACGCCTGATAATGTAGGCAAGAAGCCGATGCAGGTCCCATCAAAGAAGATGCGGCTGGACCCTCCAGCGTAAGTTTAACATTGCTGATTTTGTTTTGTTTTTTAAATTGTCTTATATGCTGAATAACAAAACAGAAACTCTCAATTTCTATATTCAGGTCTTCTATGTCCAAGCACAATGAGAAATGTTCAGCTAAAAGCAAGGTAGGTTTGTGAATGTCACTCACATGGTCCATTTTAAAATCAATCGTGAATGCCCCTGAATATGATTTCTTACCTCAGGCTCGAGATGAGGAGGGATCCATTGATCCTTTTTTGAGGAACTCGCTCCTCTTCAGAAAGAAGACGTTCGGTAGTATGTTGGACCCTCAGAGGAAGCCAGGCGCTGTATGTACTTCAGAGCTTCAGATCGAATGATGCTAAGTGGAAATGATCCCTTCAGTGTTTTGATGACAAAAAATGTTTCTCGTTTCAGGTGAGGACTGGCTATGATGGTTTAGGAGGACGTACTAAATTCATCCAACCTGTATCCTTTTTTCTGTCACTTGGAACATACTTGTCAAACCATTGAGGAATTACGTAAACATTAATTTAGTTAGATTTGACCATTCATCTTGTCAGTCAATAGTTTCATGCTCGATTAGCCATGAAAAAACACTTCTTACTGTCTGCCGGGCAACATATGGCAGACAGAAGCAGTGAGCAAGTAACTGGTAGATGAAGTGAACAGCTAATACACAAATATTCCTTATGATTTTCAGAGGATCCAAACAGAGTTTAGATACTGGACTTAAGACACACTTTACATGTGTCAGGTGTTTAAAACATAATGATTGCTTACACTGCTTTCTTGGCTAGATGTGTTGATACTGTATTTCTAACAGTTGACACTTTTATAAAGTGATATTTCAATGATGCATCTAACCTTCTTTCACTGGTCTGAACTTACAAAAACAGAATGCAGCTTAAAGCCTCTGCACACCCACACAGGTGTTCGTGATTGAGACTATGCTATGACCTCTTCTCAGGAATATGTGGCTGCAACCGAGTTTGTTTGAATGACAGCACCACTAACCTGTTAGTTTTGGAGAAACTTTTCTGACAGGAGGACTTGGTGACCTTTTATCACACTCAGTGCTTTCAATGAATCAAAAGATACACTGTCACCATAGCGCCACCAATCACAAACTGTTCCTGGTCTTATCCGCAAGAATGATTTAAAGACAACTGTGTGGGTGTACCAAGGCTTAAAAAATACACTTTAAGAAAATAGTAACAAGAAGTTTTAAAATCCTACATCCAATTTGCATGAAAAAAACATGAACTTTAGCATTCCTTAACCGAGTGTTTCGATGCAGTCTCCTTTATCAGAGATTCGTCCGCTGATGAAAGCTAAAAGGAAAAAGGTAACCAGGCCCCTTCCCAAGATTGCGACCTGCCTGACATTGGACAGCTTCCTTGAGTAAATGACGACATCCGTGTATCTGGAAAGGGAATCAAAGGACAGATTGCTGCACATGATGAAGCATATTGGTGCTCCTGTGGCACTTATAACCAGCTACTCATCACCAAACAGGACTACATGTTTGAACTTTTATTTCAAAAGCAGTAACTAACCATAATTGTGACACGAGGTTGACTCAGTCAACTTGCTGTATATATTTTTTTAAGTGATGACTAGAACTGATGAATATGTGTGTGGTCAGTGTCTCGACCAGCCTTCTACTTGTTGTTTTGTGTGTGTGTTTCGTATGTGAGAGACAAAGCCAACTTATTTGGGTCCATTTGAATGTCAGTACTCTGTTGTATGTCCTTTAAAATCATTGCTGCATCTGTTCTCTTTAATATGATAAATATTCAGTTATTTTTCTACACTTCTCCTTGAACACCTACATGTGGATATACTGTAGTTTTTTTTTTTTAAAAAAGGTCCTGTCGCATGTAAATCAACTCAAATAAACAAAAGGGTTTTTTTTGTTTTTTTTTTAAATTAAGGTTTGTGTGGGGTCTGCCATCAAGTCCCTCTTTTTTAGGATTGTATTTACAATGAGGTGTTCCAGCCTCAAGATGGCAGTACAGACTGTTTTCTTTCTTTTTTTTTTTTTTTACACAGATGTCTTTTACTTTGACAAATGACCTGCAAGTTGATCCATTTGTATTTCAAATCCTACGCCAGTACAGAAAGAAATTCCCAATAAAAGTATTATTTAAAACACCCTTGATTAAACCTGAGTTAAACATTGTGATGTACTCAAAAGTACACTGCAAATAATAAAATGGCAAATAATACTTTTTAGGGTTTAGCTGATAAGAAATAAACTTTTTTTTTTTTTTTGTAGAAATAGGAATGCAGGGATAGAAGACCTTATCATGGCACCAATTCATTAAATAAAAACATTTACATGAAGCTCTCCGACAAGGTCCCTGTGCCTTTATGTAATAGTAGCTTGTCTGTGATTTAACCATGTTGTCTGACAGGCTGACCTTTGTGCTGATTGCATGGTATTTAAATAAACAACATCAGGAAATCCCAAACTCTGTTTTCTATCATGGAGAAGTAAAAGTACCTAGCAGAACACATGTATCCTGTTCACAATCACCTGTATCCTGTCTGCCGCCATGAATTTACAGATTCCACAATGAAAACTAGTTGGTATAATAACAGTGTACAATACTGTAATTTAAATGAAATACATTGTTGCATTAGTGATTGGATGTTGAACGATTCTCCTGTGAGTGGTTAAAGGAAAGCAATTAATTATAGCTTCCCAGGGGTCTTCATCATAAATAGTAACAGGAGAAGGTCTTGGTGTACTTCAAAAGCTAGTTCCTTCCAGTGCAATCAGAAGAGAAAGTTACGACAACCCGTACAAACAATATTTCAGAACATTCATATACACATTAAACACAATCCATGCAGTGCAACTGGAGCCAGTAAACATTGAACAATGAGCTCCACTGACCCCGAGGGATTCCACACATTTACGTACATCTTCCTGTAGGGCAAAGGTTGCCTTTTTAACTAACATTGTTTTTCCGTAACAGCTTTTTTTTCAGGGAAATTCAACCAAACCATACCTCATTGTCACATTGAGGTGTAAATGTGGATTTGGAAAGTAAAATATCTTTAATGTTGCTGTCCATTCGAGATGGCTCAACATCCTTCGTTCTTGTTCAGATGTGCTAGAAAGTATTCCATTTAAAAGTGAGCATTCGTTTCCATTATCCCTCAGCCAAGGTTCAGCAGATCAGAATCATTCCAATAAGTAGGAAAACAAATATAATCCTGAAATGTCTTTGCTGGTGTTTCAATCGATAGTCCAAAAGAGGGAAAAAAAGTCAAGTCAAACTTAAGTTAATGCTGATTTTTTACACTGACATCCTGTCATTTCAGTGCAGTGTATGCTGTTAGTGTTGAGAACAAGGACCCAGTTTACTTCTTTCTTTTTTTTTTTACTGTGATCTGTCTGGCACAATCTTGGACTCTCCATTCGGTTTGTCATTGGACTTCTGGGACAGATGTGTGGACACAGTGGCTGCCTGAGCCACGGATTTGAAACTGCGCTTTCTCTTCTGGACGTTCTGCTCAGGGTGGAAGATGATGACATAGACCTTGGGGATGTAGAGCATGCCCAGGGACACCGTAGCACTCAGGCTCATAGACACGGTCAGGGTGGTGGTTTGAATGAACATCTGCAACAGAGAAACAGTCGGTCAGGAAGATCATTTTACGCAATATTGCTGAGAAAATCATTGGATTGTGGCATAAGTCTTTGGATCCCCATCAGTATGCAGTCATTATTGATCAAATGATCTTCCACAGCTTCAATAGATACAGAATATACTGTATGTCACCTCATAGGTTGTCACAGCGCAGTCTTTACAATTTTCATCTCAAAGCACAGGAGGCAGTGTTTTTCTCCTAATGAATGATTTATGACCTGCTATATGAAGTCAGGAAAAGAGGCTCTATTTATGGGCTTTGACCAGATCTTCTACTGACTGTTCTTCTCATTGCAAAGCAAACAGTAGTAATTTAAAGTGACTTCTCCTGAGATCTGCCTCCAATAAATTATGAACTCATTATTCCAGCAAACGGTATAGGTAATAAATAAATCAAGCCATATGTGCCATAAATAAGATATATTTGTGCCATAAATAAGTCATCAATTGTACACTATCCTCTGCAGCAATGGCACATCTTGGTATCTCACATGATGATGCCTATATCGTTTCTTTTATCATCTCTTTTATTCCTTTTATTTGATCGTCTTAATGGTCTCCATTTCTATAAAGAAGCTGTAGTGTACAAAGTGGCTTGTATTCATGAACTTGGCCTAAGGCGAGCAGAGACACTGATTCAACAACAGTGAATGGTTCCTCCATATGTAAATACAGACATCACGCAGGTAGATCATTTTGTCCCACACGTGCTCTTACACATGATTGGAGGATAACAGCCCATCAGCTGGATAAAAGTTAGTGTCTATATATAGATCTTTTTTCAGTGATGATTAATTGAATGGGATGGCTGAATTGGTCTACAAGGGGTCCCTACAATCCCTCAGCTCAGCTGACCTCCTTTCTATCCAGCCTCCCTTTTCTTAATTCACTTAACTTCCGTTTGGAGGAGGTGAAAAGACTTTGAAAGCCCCTCGGGCTTCAATTGTTTCAGCCTGAATGATTCATAATACAGCTCTCTATTAGTCAAAGCATATATCTGTTTTTCAAATATTCCCCTGTCAGTCTTGGACTTAGTGAGGGCAGAAATAGCCCACAAGCTAAATTAAACTCAATAGTCCGTACAGTGACGGCAGTATGTCCTGTGAGTACAGAAGGAAGCAAATGCGATATGACAGACAACAAGCTCAGGCTTTCCTTTGAACGTCCGAGGGATTCATTTTCTCTCTTACCGTTACCACATGTTATTGTGTATTGCATAATTCTACAGATCTCTGGGAATTCTCCCCATATAACAGATCTACAATGTGCTGTGTAAGTCACCATTATAAATCTCCAGAGGTTAATTTAAACAAAATCTGTACAGGTAAACTAAACTTACCAATAAAAACCAATTGCCCTATCTCTTGATTGTTCAATCAATGATTGCACAATAATGTGGTGATTAACTGAAAACCATAATTAATCTAAAAATAATAATTTGGCAAACTTTATTTTGCTTGTTTTGATAAGTGGATCCATCGCCACATATCTTAATACGTTAAGCTGTTCATTTTTATTGAATAAAAATCTAAATAAAATGCACAATTTAAATTTTGAAATTGATGTAACAAGTACTTAAACACATCACTATTGGATGTTGTGTTGGGCTATCTCTCACTAATTAAGAGGTTCAATTAAGGGTAATTAATGTGCATATTGATAAATGATAACCTTCTGCACATGGATTGACATTTCTGTAAATCTTACAGTATCTCTATTTTGGATTCATTTTCGATAACATGCCCTGGAAATGTGTGACAGTTCCAGAAGGCACATAACAGCAACGGCCCTATCAGAGAACAGTGGCAACATATAACTGGATAGTTATTAGTGATGCATTAAGTGAAGCATTCATTTATAAGCAGCAGCCTAATGGCTAAACTGGCAATAATCTCAAGTACATGAAATACTGTTGGGTTGATCAGTTTGTAGATGCCTCACATTAAGAAGTCGTGTTTTGTTAGCAAATTCTGGATCTTCCACATGAAAAATATATTTCCCGCAAAAATGACTTGGTGTTAAAATATTAGGAAACGATAAAACTAAAGTAGTCAGGTGATGTAGAAGTTCTTTAAATCTGAGAAGAGGTGGCCAGTAATGATTATATAAATTTGAAATCCCCACCTTCTCAGTTGACTGAGCTGTGCCAAAGAAGATTGGTACAAAAGCAAGCCAGATGATGCAGGTGGTGTACATGGTGAAACCGATGGGTTTGGCCTCGTTGAAGTTCTCAGGAACTCCTCTGCTCTTGATGGCATACACGGTGCAGGTGATCATCAGAACAATACTGTAGCTCAGACAAAATATGAGTGACAGATCGGACATGTCACACTTAAGGAGTCCACGGGCAAACTCTGGGTTTGGAGGCTTTTGCTCCTCATAGTCAATGATGGTGTGGGGGGGCATGACCCCAAACCAGATGAACACTCCCAGAACCTGAAGAGAAAGGAGCATTATTTACAGTGTAACAAAGGATCTAGATGATGTGTGTGTGAGAGTGGCATTTGTGTGAATACCTGCACTGCGATGAGTATAAAAGTGATTATAAGCTGAGAGGTCGGACTGATGAACTTTGGGGGCGTGACCGACTTCTTGCCCTGTTCGAAGATGCGGTAGATGCGGTTGGTCTTGGTGAGCATGGCAGAGTAGCTGATGCTCATGCCAAGCCCCAGCAGCAGCCTCCTGAAGGCGCACACAGCCACACTGGGCTCTGCTATCATAAGGAAGGTAATGAGGTAGATGAGGAAGATGCCCGTCAGCAACACATAGCTGAGCTCCCTGCCTGACGCTCGAACAATAGGCGTGTCGTTAAAGCGGATGAAGGTGACAATGACTCCAGTGGTCGCCAGGATGCCCAGGATTGCAATGAAGACAGGAATGATGGCCCAGGGGGAGCTCCACTCCAGCTTAATGATAGGTGTGGGCCGACAGCCTGTGCGATTCTTAAACGGCCTCATGTCGAAGGGGCACATGTCACAGGAGAACTCATCCAGGAGGTACTGGTAGCCATCACAGAGCTCGCAGTGCCAGCAGCAGGGTACACCTTTTACCATCTTTTTCCTCTCTCCAGACTCACAGGGGAAACTGCACACTGACTCTGGGACCTTACGGTCACCACCTGACCACTGCATGTCATCAGGCTAGAGTGGATGTAAAACACACACATTGTGTTATTGTACTTGAAGGACAGGCACTGGGAACGACAATGTAGAAAGCTAGGCCTTGCTGTCATTAATTCAGGCGGACACTGTTTGGATTAAGCCTTTAAACATTAATTGGCTGTTCCTTACTAATTTTAGAATGCAAACGAATTTCTGCCACATCAGCGTAATCTAATGTGACAGGGAATCAGGGTCAAATGTCAAATTAATTGGCTGAAAAGCAACAATATGGCTCTCATTCTGGATATCTGGCATTAAAATAATGTTTTGTCTGTCAAGACAAGAAGCGTAGACATAGCAAGCCTATTACTGGCTGGTTTCAGACAGTACTGCCACAAAATACACACACTTATACAGACACACAGCCGACAGTCTTTTATGAGCTAACTTGTCTCTGGCTATAGCTTTATAGTTAGCCAACAAACACGACAGTGGTATCTTACCAAAATGTCTAACTCTCTGTAAAATTTTTACCTCAAATAGACCAAAAATAAAAATTTACATCGATTCGGAGGTGGTTTGTCCACTGGCCGATGACCCTGTAGCCAGGGTTGGTGACGTTTGATAGTTGGTACTGGAAGATGTCATAACGACCAGGAGCGTCTCCGTTCTCATTAAACATCACTCCAGTTCCTGCACTGCCTGTTTGATAGAGACAAAGTTTTAATGAGCTGTGTACGTCCAATAAAGCAAAGTAGTGAGTCAGAGGAGATAAGGCTTTTAAGATCTTTAAACTGAATACATGCAAGTTTTGACTTGCCACTGTAACTTTGCTAAATGTTGCTAAGTGCTCATGATGTTGGGTCTTTGTAGAAAACATGACAAAGTGTAAGTGTCTTGAGATAACGCTTGTTGTGAATTGGCGATATACAAATAAAGATTGATTGACTGATTGTTTGATCCCCATCCTCAGTGGCAGGGAAAACACCCACACGAAGTTGAATACAGCTTGTGTTTGCTTGCTTCAGTCTTGTGCAATCGTGTGAAAGCTGAGTGCAGGAAGCTCTTTAGTGAAGGTTCTACACCATGCATACAGTTATCCAGTGCACTCTGCTCTGTTGCCCTAACGTGATTGAATGTTGGTCTTAGGTCCCTGCAGGCGCTCACTCAGGAAATCTTCCATACAAGCCAAGGTCATCCAGCAAGAGGAGAGCAGTAAATAGGATGCTTTCATAGAACACTTTTTTTCTTTCTTTTTCCAAACTGTGATTTTTTTTTTTTTAAATGAAAGACGAGGATGAAAAGCAGGAGCATTGTGTATACAGAAGAGCGAGGAGCCTGCCCTAGGGTAGGGACATGCTTTGAAGAAATATGCTGTATTCTGTAGCTAGGTGCATTAGCAGAAACATTTCAAGGCCTCCGACTTGAAGCTGACCTTCCTTTTCTTTTTTTCTTTTTTTAAATTAGCTCTTTTTCAAACATTCTGTATTGATGAAGACCATCATACATTTCCTAATTGGAATTTCTTCACCAATGTGAAATAAAAAATTTCAAAAATAAAAATAAAACAATGGAGTCTGAATTTACAACCTGCCTAAAAAGAAGAAAAATGTCATGTCGTAAGCTCACCGTTAAAGTTGACAGAGCGAATGTATTGGAGGAGCATCTGTCCCTCCACAGGGTCCATCTTCTCACAGACACCCATGGAGCCAGGACATAAGTCCAGGTGCATGCTGTGTAAGGCATGGGCCATAGCATACACAGCATCTATCACAAACTGTACCTTGCCCTCTTGCTCGTACTGAGAGTCCTGACTGATTCTTTCCTCTCCTGAGAGATGACAAATATCAAATGCAACAATGATGAAAACACTCAACCACTATCAAACACAGAACTACTTCAATTTAGAGTTTAATCTTCAAAAGACTTCCATAAACTGTAGCCTGCTCACCTGTACATTTTCTTCTGCCAAGTTCATACTTAATACCAGGGCGTGTCAATTTGCACTTGAAGTCATCCTCCCAGAATTCTGCAAACCAGATGTTTCTTCTGTTGTTTTCTAAGGATCTTGACATGAAGTACTGGTCGAACGCTAAACAGTTTCACATACAAGACTTAATTTCATGTTTCATTAAAGTGTCATGCAATCTTTGACAGCACATTACTCAGATTCATATTAATCTATAAATAATAACGGTATTATTGAATTATTTGAGGGAGTGGGCAGAAATATCTAGCGTCTATCACCATTAATCATTTCCTTTATTTGTTGCATTGATATTGGACTCATCTATCACTGTCGTTTGTCACAGTCTATTACAGATATTACTTTTGCCTTGAGTTTGTTACAGATACATTTTGATTTAATAGTGTGGCCCTACCATCAATGGATGCTCTTTTGGGCAGGATGGTGACAGCGCCTTCAGCCACCTCCTCCTGGTCTTGAATGGGGGAGTTTTTGGCCCCCCAGCTGTCCGAGCCAACAAACAGGAAGTGGCCTGTCAGGTTGGCCGTTTTGGCCGCCTGCAACACCCGTCTAAAAGAGGACAGATTTTACACTTCATTGTATACCTTCTACCTTATGCACTTGCAAGATACCAAGTGTGGTCATCAAAAAAGAGAGATTTGGCAATTAAACCTGAAACAGTATTGTTAAGCCCAGTTTGGTTTACTTCCTCTAAAGATGATGAGCAGCTGAGCTTGACTCACTTGATGTCATCCTCGTTGGCAAAGATGATGACCCCACGAGCGTTAGAGGTCTCCATGAGTCTCTTGATGATCTTCTCAAACTCTCCTGGTCTGGGCTCTCTGGGAATCTTTATGGACTGTGCAATACACAGCCCACCTGTGTCACAGACATTGGGACTACTTAATGTGGCATAAGTGCACATGCTTGTTTTTCTAATTCACAGCACATAAATCTAATTTAATCATAGCTGAAAGAACATTATAAGTTGCCATGTATTGATATTGCAAACATTTACACTTCAGATCTGAATGAAGTAGATCTGAATTTTCACAAATCATGAAGATGAACCTGAATTTATTCCAATGCCTTGGTTTTTGTCTTAGCATCTAGCAAGATTGACAGTCCCATCAGCATTGTCATTTTTTAGCATTGCTACTTGCTAAGAAAATTAAGGTGGTTAACATTATAAACATTAGAGATGCTTAGCAAGTGCATTGTCACCAGTGAGGTCGCAAGAATGCCAAACTTAGCGTTAAATGTTTGCTCAAAACATCACTACAGCATGAGTGAGTTCCTATCTTGTCTGTAGCCTGAAGGCCTGAAAGTCTGAGTTGACAGATACAGAGCATCATACTGTATCTTAGACAGTGCTGAAACCACTACACTAGTCTAAATTCTGTAAATCAGGTTTTATTACCACATTTTGACATTTTAATTCATCTACAGCAAAACTAGAAAGTATATAATTGTTACTATGTTTCCATGTTACTGATAATAGTACCAAACATAGAGTACAGTCGGAGCATGATAACACTCATTAACCAAAAATAATGATCAGAATTAAAAGTTGTAAAGAAAAAGTCAAGAGCTAATAAGGCTGTGTTAAATCATGAAGAGAACATGAATGTCTGTGTGTACCTCTTTTTAAGGCTATTTAATTGTAATCAAGGATTTTTTTAAATAACTGTGTCGGCACTTGAGGAAAGGTAAGGGGATTATCAAAGAATCCTCTTTGAAATTCAGAAATGTCAAGCTGTGAGAGTGTAAAGAATCCAATAGTTGTAAGATTTTAGTTCACACCAAAGTGGTGTATCAACTACATCACTAGCATGTCCAAAAAAATTGTAGTCTTCAAATGAGCAATATAAATAAATGAGTAATGCCTTAATGTTATGGCAGTGAATTCATATTAAAACAGCAAGATACACAACCTGCTTCACGGGATATCTGGAGGAAGGCATCCACACCACTCTCTCCATAGTTGCCCTCTGAGGCCAAGGTGGAGACATAGTTCCAGCCCATGGCTTTGACGATGTCCACCATGGCTTGCGCTTGGTAGGAGTCCGGAGGCACCACGCGGGAGAAGAACTCATAGCGGCTTTTGTCGCTCAGCTCTGGGGCAGTGGAGGCATAGCTGATCTGGGGGATCTGAGACACGCATATGGGTGAGCGGTGATGAAAGGGTCCAGTCAAGTGGAAAAATTAAGCATCTCTGACTGTAAAGCTGATGTAAGCTACAAAAGGTAAAAAGAATGACTGGAAGAGGCAGTGACCCATGTCAGAGGATGATGCACCGCTTACTCACAGAGCCTTAACAGTGTCAAATGGAGGACTTTCACATTAGTGCTGACAAGTTGCAGTACATTAAAAAAAATATGAGTATAATAAAGATTTATAATATTTTGTAGGGCCTGTGTTCTCCTGGGTTTAGACAACTTTCACAGCACAGTTTGCTCAGGGCCGGTTTGTGCTGAAGATATAACGTCACAGTGAGATACAGATGGTAGAAACCACAGCTGTAAAAGCATTTGTTTGCAGGGAAAATGGATGAGAAGATTAATTTACTGGTGTGCTACTTCTTTAATGACACAGTTTATGTCGATAGTCTCAACCCTGACCCTGCTAATGCCGGTCCCCCAGCATGGCTTAACACCGGGCCCTCTGAAGGGGACGAGGAGAGAAAGGTAGACACAAGGGGTAGTGAAGGGAGAAGGAGAGAGGAGTGAGAGAACCATTTCACAGATTATCTGGAAGGATTATAGGGGTTTTAGTCAAATTACGTTAAGCACAGTGGGAGAGACAGAGATCAAGAGACTGGAAAAAAGGCTAGCATTTCTCAGCTGTAAGCCATACAATATATTTAATTCTGATGGCCATGTGCATCTTCGATCTACTCCTGTGTCAACTTGAAATTACCGGTAAACCTTCAAGTTACGGACAACATCTTCAACCAGGATTGATATTAATCTAAAAAAAACTCCTTCCATCACTTTTTGCCTAGTCCGCTGTCTGACTTGACAAGTGTCCAGAAAGTCATGTGTCAGCAAAGTGCTACGGTTTATTTGCATACAAATTTGTAATTAACAAGGAAACACATAATCCTTTCCATATGAATCCTGTAGGAGCATCTGCACCAATTCACTTTGTAAAATCAATGAGCCGTATCAGTAACAAGTATCCTCTTACTATCCAGCAATGCTGAACTCTTCTCACTGTCAGTAAATAGACAGATAGTGGATATTCTGTAATCCAGGCCAAGGAAACATGATTGTGGTGTAGCCCTGACCTAAAGGCCCGATAAAACAAAACTAAAGGTTAAACATGTGAGTGTGTGAGTTTCAGATGTCATGAAAAGGTGTACCTGGGATGAAAAAATGAATGTTGTATTTTTTTACATTTCAAATCGCTTTGAATTTACAAAAAGACTGGAGGTATGCAGTTTGGAAAACACCGACAACACAGTCTGCATATAATATGATTACAACTTTAAATAGTGCGTTTTTGTATTGGATTATACTAAATTGAATGTATTATTATAAATAGACCACCAGCCATAAATCCTTAATAATATGAATATATAGATGCATGCTGATACATTTTTTAATCTAAAAATGGCAAAGATAGATAAGAGTGCTTTACATCTATATAACCATTATTTTCAAATTGCTTTTTTTTTACTGACCAGTGGTAAAAAAAAAAGAAGAGGAAAAGATATTAATTTCACAGTAATGTAAAAGAGAGTGCATCAAAAAGTCCTTAAATCTTTGTGTTTGGATGTTTAAATTAGAGTACGTATAAAATCTACTGAAATCAGTGACACAGTCACTCATGTTTATTTCATTGCGTGTAGCCCTCTCCTTGCTCGAGTCAGTCTTCTGATTAATGTAATGTTATTTCACCACCTGAGTATAAAAACCCCTGATATTGTTCAAACTTCATAAACTGCAACAGAGATAGACTGCTAATGGTAATAATTAAGCTACAGTTTCAGTTTCAACGTATCAAAGCCAACATGATGAGAGAATGTATGGAGAACGATAAAGCATCTCCAGCTCTGGCTTGGAGCAGATGTTCAATGTACAGTTGATATGATTCTAGAAGCATCCGCGGTCCGGAGAGCAGCACATATGGATAGCAGGAGGAAACACACCATTTAGCTAAATCTACTCCACACCGTCTACGCTACAAGATGCTGTTATCCCAGAACCGATGTCATCCCGCTGCCCTGATGCTCTATTTTCAGCCCAGGGTCCTGAGCTGCTGAAAGGGGCTTAGTGGAGGTTGGGATCTATAATTCTGTAGTTAACATCTGCCTGTATGAAAGCTGTGCTTCTTGGCTCTCAAGCTAACATCCTCACCATAGAGACTGCCTCTAAGAGGAGCACTAAGACAGGTATAGATTTCATACAACATGTAAAAACCAATTTGGCCAATTTGATCCTGACTAATGTTTATCTAAAGACGTTTCTAGATTTCTGGCAGACTGTGTCAGTAAATTGATTAGAACATGACATAATGTGGGATTTACACTGACTCAATGCCCCATCATCACTGTAAGCAGTGTAATCAATTATCAAGGGTCAATCATCTGTAAAAAAAAAAACAGAAAAAAAACTGGACACTGAACCCATTTAACAGATTAGCGTGCTGAGACTAACCCTAACCATGGACTTTGAATCCTGGGACATGGATCGACTGTCGACACGGTAACACTGTCAAATAATTGATTTTTTTAAATCATGTGTTTCAAAACCAGAAGCAGGTTACAAATGTGTCTCTATACGTTGCAGGGAACAAATGATGTATACCAAGGAAACATTGTTAAACTAGGTTTATAGAATCCATAAGTGAACTGCAATTGAACTTCTCCATGGCCATGCTTAAGAATACACTCAATGGTGACCCCTTAATTATCTAGGAGTGGACGTCAAATCAAAGACACCTTTGATCACCTGTACATCTTGGCCATCAGCAGTTACTTAAATCAATAACATGAACAGGTTTGTCAGTGAAACGGGTGATCAAGTTCAGCTAGTTTGAGTCTAAAGACTACCTGTGTTAGTGTGTGTTCATGATATAGCAAGTCCTCTATCTTAGCATAGCTGGTGACAAGGAGATATGTTCAATACTTGATCAAGCTGATCAAGTTGGTTTGCTAATGTTGCAGTTATGTGAAACAAGATCTTCACACTCAGTCACAATGCCACTGCCTATATCTGAATATTCAAATGAATATGTTACATACACTCTGTTGTCAAGAGGCATGCTTCTCACACACATAGGCCCGGAAAACACACATGCACAAACAGGACCTATTGACATGCTTTAATGGAGAGATGTCAGAGTGGGGCTGCTACACACTGCTATGTAGGAAGTACGCCAGAGCTGTTGGGGGGTCCGGTGACTCGGGAAGTGACCTGGCACCTCTCCAGCTACCAGACCAATTTGAATGAATGAAAATAAGAGAGAATATATTTCAAAATATTATATTCAAAATATCATAATTTGGTTTCAATTTTTAACAGTTTTCTATCCCTTCAATCATTTAAGGCCACCTTTAATTTATCTCAGGGTGATGCATGATCTTTTACCCATGTGTGTCTTTATCCTTATTTGGGATTCATTTGGGTAAAAAAAAATAGTTAATGGCTTTTACCTGGATTCCCTCCACTAGTTTACTTAATGAACAGAGTAATTAAGTAATATAACTATTTTATGTCAACAGAAACAAGAAGGAAAAAGAAACTCACAGAAAACAATCTGAGCACGTTGGCCACCATGATGGACACCGAGCTGCCAGATGCCCCGATCACTCCAACCACTCGCTCAGGTTTTGGGATGATGGGAGGCTCTCCGTTTGAGCAGCGCACATCTGATGTGTCCTTCTGAATGAGGGCCTGCACAAAGGTAAGCGACTGTTCCAGGGCGTAGGTGTCTCTGGAGCAGGTGTCAAGGATCCGGGCTCCCAGAGTGATGTTAGGCAGCAGGTCCGGGTCACTGTTTATCTGGTCCAAGGCGTACAGCATGGCCTCCAAACGATGGATCCCCTTTTCTCTCTTGACATCACCGCAGGGCACCCCAGCAGGACCCCGGGAATGCACAGGGAACAGCCCCCCTAAGGTGATGTCACCCTCGATTTTGATGGACTGGGGCTGGGTGCCCTGCTGGGCCCAGGAGCCTGGCCCGATACCCACCAGCAACACCCACATCAGCTGGAGCCATATTTGGTGTCCTGAAGGTGAACTGATCTGATGGGATAAGCAAGCTTCTGATGTCATGATGATGACCAGCAGAGGTACTGACAACATCCAGCCACTCCCTCTACCTTTGACACCTGAGGACATTCAGAGACGGGCCTTAACATTTGATCACAATAACATTTAATGACAGGATGTATGCATTTTTTAGACAGATAAAAAAAGAAGAACGGTAAAAATGATAATTCCATTTATCGGTCTTAATGCTTTCAATTTACTCTTATGCACACATTTCAATTTTAAAGCTGTTTTTTTATTTTTTTTACTTCATCACTTTGTAATCGACTTAGACCTTTCAATAGATCTGCAAGAGGTAAAACAGATATTTGAAGGTTTCTCCCTTTACATCATTTTTGTGCCTTTTTTTGGTGAATTATATACAACTTTGAAAATATCTATGAAAGCCACATGAAATAAAAGCTACATCTTTGGACACCATAGATGGTCTGTAGTTGAGGAGAAGATTTTAGCCCGCATGCAGGATGAGAGTGTGCAGAGGAGTGAAAGTTGGAAGCTTTTATCATGGAGAGCTGAGAGCCCATGATGGAAAACACTATAAATTTTGCAAAACACAAAACATCTATAACGGCTTTACTGAATTTCATGCTCCAAAAGTTGGAGCAGATTCATTTTATCTGCATGAGGATCATTGAAAAAGGATCCCACACACAGTGAAAAAAAGATTTGATCAGGTGTGTGAATATATTTAAAGTTTGGCAGCAGAATTTGGTCATAAAAAAATATTTTGGGGTAAAGGATTTAAGTTAGTCAAAATGTCTTTTATAAAACAAAACCTATATGCCTACAGATTTATTTTTTTTAAATTGCTATTCTTACTGAAAGTCACATGTATGATGTTCAATCTGTCTATATTTACATAATGCTCTGTGAAGTTGGAAAAAGAGAAAAGTCTTGGAAAGATTATTATCAATAAGATCATAATAAAATCTGCAGCAGTCTAAGCTTCAATTATCAGACAACTGTTGCAGAAAATGTACTTTTCAAATCTTTAATTACAGGCAATCTGCAAGTATAGAAATGTCTTCATGACAAAGACTAACTTACCAGTCCATTCTTCATTGACCAGTCTTCAGTTTATCCATCCCATGAACTCTTCCAAACAGGCCTCTGTCCATGGTGCGAAACGTGACTTTATATTTAGAGCCACGACTATCCTCTCCTCACCAAAAGTAAATCCTCTGTCATCTCAGACAGCCGCTGTGCACTCTCCAAAATAACCAGAACACACTGAGAACTGTACCCTAAAAATAATTAAAGACAAAAGGATAACTGTGATTTTTAAAGGCTTTAGGCTGTATTATCATGGCAGAGTCTAGGAAAAGTGGTGGAAAAGTGCAATAAAGCAGCAGTGAGATTCTACAAATCATTGGCAAATCCCTTAAAAGCTCTCTCTCTCTCTCTCTCTCTCTCTCTCTGTCGTTCGTTTTCCTCTGCGTGCATCTCTGTCCAGGCACTCCCCCCAGCATCACCACCCCCCTTTATCTCTCTCTCTCTCTCTCTCTCTCTCCCTCCCTCTCTCTCTCTCTCTCTTTCTCTCTCTTTTGAACTCTCTCCTTGCTCGTTCTGTCAGCACACTAATGGCCACGGATTGGGATTATCATGCAGGCGTCTGTGAAGAAAGCACTAGGTGCACTAGCCCATTTCTTTTTTTCATACAGCTAAACCAAATATCCCCCACCCCCACCGCCCAACAACAGTATGATGGAACTCTGTCACTTTGAGAGATTAGATGTGCAGCCATTTGATTCATACTCTCTCTCTCTCTTTCTCTCTCAAAATGACACACACATACACACAAATAAATGCTAACATGCCTCAGAAAATAAGACTCACACACCTGTCAACAGTGGCACAATGGTAGAGAATATCTGAAGACAAACTGGGCTTCTGCTGCAAAGAATGCAGATGGATTATATTTATTATTGATTTGAGTAAATGCTCTGGGGAAAGAATACCCCAGATCAGTTTGCAGGTCATCATCTGTCAATTATAGGCTCGAACGTAGTAACAGTACATCCACTTCCTACACCTATAGACACATCTCAGAGAGCATTTCACTTATTCCAGACTCAAAAAGGCTTTGAAAAAAAAAACAGACAACGTTTGTTTCCCCTTCACATTACATTTTTTATTTCAAGTAAACCCATACTATTAGAAAAACAGTTTTGACTTATTTAAAGTATATTCAGTAAAACAGAGACTTCAGAGATCACTGGTTTATTAATTGCTGTGTAAAACGTGATTTTTGTCAGTGGCTACCCTAAGAAGACAGACTTCTCTAAACCATCCTCCACTTTGGTGTACTCCAGGTGAGATTTGAAGTACTGGCTTTCATATTGTGGACTGCTGCGAACATATTCCAGGTAGTCTGGAGCTCCCGGGCAGATGACATTGTCGGCCAGCAGGATGCTTCCTTTCCCGAGGAGACCGCACTCCTGATGAAAATGGGAAAGGGGTGTCAACAGCAGGAAAACAAGCATCAACTCGGAAGACAATTAGTAAATACCAAACATACCTCCATCAGTTTTGTGTCAGGAAGGTAGCGATCCTTCCAGTGATCCAGAAAAACCAAATCAAATGTGTTCAAACCAAAGTGCTCCTTCATTTTTGGGATCCAGTCACCAGATGCTCCAACAACTAACTGGACCTAAAAAGAAGAAACATTTTAATTCTGTGTTCACACTACGTTAATCCTGTTTTCATACTTTGTGAAGATATAACTTTACCTTTTCCTCTAATCCCGCCCAAGCAATGACTTGACGAGCAATTGCAGCAAAGTCTGGGTTAAATTCAAGGGTGATGAGCTTTGCATTAGGGGGAAGTAGGCTGGCAATCCGCACAGTGGAATAGCCACAGTAGGTTCCTAACTCCAGCACAGCACCCGGATTTACCTCGGACACCACTGAGTCAAGAATGCAGCCTGTGGCGAAAATACAGTAGGTAGTTACCAAACATATGTGTCAAGAGAGAACTTCTTTTTCAGGGATGGCTTTGCCTAGTTCAGCAATGCAAAGACAAATCACATGCACGTAATAAAACAGGTGATCAACTGGCCCGCCTGCAGTCCCAACTTGTCACCCACTAAATATTTGGTGCGTAGTGAAACATTAAATGAGACCCAGGCAACCCTGAACTGTTAAACAGCTGAAATCCTACACTGAGCAGGAATTAGACAACCCAACCATCTCATAAAACATATGGGTCAAGAGAGGAAATTATTTTACACGTGAAATGACATAAATCATTCAAAATCAGAACCTTTCTCATCTCCCACGTTCATGGCCCACTCCTTCTGTCTGCAGAACTGGTCGATGGCTTTTACCACGCTGCGAGGGTCCCCTCTGGTGGCATTCTTCTGTACTGCATTCAGAAGCCGCTGAAGAGACAGAAAAATGTTTCACCAAAGGTTTCAGCATGTTCCTATTGGACAGACTAATAGTTCATCCATTAATGCTTTTGGTTTGATTGCTTAGCAGACATAATAGACGTGCTGGGTTCTTAACCTCTTTTTAAAAGAAAGACTCAATATGTTGGCGTATTTTCAAAATCTAGGCCATCTTGTGCTTCTGATTGAATGAGCTCTCACGACAAAAATGCGTGTATCCTTTAAAATCCAATCCAAAGCACGCTGTAGGATTTGTAGAAATTAAAATGTTTTCATTCAAGGTTTCAGTATGTGTCTAAAAATGAGGCCTTGTTCACCTTGTCATTATCAGCAGTAGCACATATTTGTTGTGTTACAATATTGAGTTGAATTGGGAAAACAAGGGGAAAAGGAGATGGAAAATGCAAAATGACAAAAAGAAGAAATACTATAATGTACAAATTCAAAGTGGACCTGAATATTTCCTTAATTAAATTACAGATGGTACATTCTTCATCTTCCTGCTCCACATTTTGAAAGGGACTTTCTAAAGATCAATATTTTAAGTAAAATTTGGGAGTAGTGCCGAGTAGATTCAGGCAGGGGCGGATTTAGGTTCAGAACTTTAGGGGTGTTCAGCTCTTAAAGAAATTCTGACATAAAGAGTTCCTGTTCAATCCTCCTGCTGAACCACTCACTTCATGAACAAGACATATTTTCCTCCATGTGAGATTTCCACAACAATAATAGTAACATGTTATTTTTAAGTAACACTACAATATAGTTTGTAAGGAGATGAAAGATGTTTTTGCAAAGGTATTCCATTTGCTACATGTTTATTATCATTACATTAGCCTATTATTTTTATGTTGTCTTGTAGGTGATTCAGTACAATATGTAGCCTAATTCTACTCATTGTTGAGTCCATATTTTAATGCAAATACCAATCTACTTTATATCAAAGTTTTAAAAGCATCTTAACACTGTGTATAAATACTTTTCTTTACCAAGACAATAATCTGGATATTTTTCTCACTATCAAATCACTTTTCTGTTCAATAAAAACAGCCTACAACTTCATATTTTCTCACCCTTAATAACGAACCTATAATTCTCACCCTTAGGTTTTTTTTTTTACCATTTATCAAGTAAGGAAGGGAAAGATGTTCTTCTGCATCCTGACAGGTAATTATTATTTCAAATGTATTGTTTCACAACTACAGTGGTCTACAAAATGCCAACCCACTCACCTACTGTCATAAGATACACGCAGATACACTCATTAATATGAAACATTATGAAACAATATGCTACCTTATCACAGCATTACATTTGCAAGCTAGCCAGAGTGCTAAACCACCTGAATGAGGGAAGGCTAATAACTTTGACGGGTGCTAAGGAATGTATAACTTATTATATCACATGTTTACATATTTTAATGGCCAGCAAAAGCAAAGAACAATTTTGACTTAAAATATAATGGATTATTGCTGCATATTCTTAATAAAAGCTTAAACATATAATTTAGATAATTGCAATAATTCTGTCACATTTCCCCACCACAAAAGTAATAATCCAAAGATATTTGAATAAGAGACTCATTGCATTCAGTGGTAAGAACATGTATGTAGAGGCTCAGGGGCCCCAGAAATGATAGCTGAGGAACACCTTCAATCACAACTAAGGGCCGATGACATCTCTACATTTGTCTTCGTCCTCTATTCTCTATTTTTCTGCAAAAAAAAACTTAGTTGCATTATGAGAAAAGCTGAATATGAAATCAACTGAGAGCTTTGAAAGAAGCACACATCTGTAATGTAAAAGTATTTTCTTAGATCAAAGAATATAGCTCCAACAACTCTATTTATTTTATTAAATTTTTACTGTATGTTCTACTTGAGAAAGAAATTACACCACATTGTGAAGCAGTGGAGAGATCTGTTGTCAAGGTGGATAGTGCGGTGTTCTCCTACATATCTTTTGAAATACCTTTTGACGTATTAGATATGACGGTTAATTTGTCTTGAATTGTACCTCTGAGGGAACACTTGTTTTGTGATTTATTATAGCTGTTTTCTCCTGCTCTTGGACAACCCCTTCAATACATGACGCACTGACAACAGTTAAATTTGGACAAGACAAATACCCCTTTAACATTTTCAGGAGCATTGTCTCTTGTCTGTATCTCTGGTATGTATTTTCTATGGTGTCTAAAATCATTTTCATCCGTTTTTTAGCAAACATTGTGTTTATTCTGTTGGAGCTCGAGCTAGTCTTTGAACATGATCAGTATGTTGTCTTGGCATATAGGAGCGTTATCAGAAGAGGCTCCTTCCCTTCATCAAAATGCCACTACTTAAAAATGGATCCTTGTGAGCCTTGCTGGTCTAGATTAAATGACCCACAGGTTATGTGGAGAAGGAACAGCCTCCTGCAATCTCAGAGGAAAGCTTTGTATGTGTGTTAACATACATTTCTAAATGAAATAACTAAATGTTGACCAGTGTTTTGTGTCTCAAAAAGTATTGTGGTCAGCATTTTCCTTTAGCTTTGTCAGGACAAAGGTGTTTGAAATTAATTCAAGAGTACTTTAAAGGTGCACTATGTTGATTTGGTAGTGACATTTTTAAGTTGGAGAAGTTAAACAATTATATGCTAAATTTTCTGAACTGAATACACAAATTTACTTAAAGAAAAAAATGGGTCCCTGGAACACTGTTTGGAGCTAAAAGCTACCAGGAGAGTTACGGTTTCACTGTTGCGGACACCCCACCATAACTTCTCGCGTATCATTTTATCTTCACAGTGTTACGGGGACCAAATTTCCCTCTGAGGACAGAATTATGAGCATATACTACAGACTCTGTACACTTTTCCAACTTTCACATTTCTCTACCAAAACTCCATAGTGCACCTTTAAGTACCGTATATCGTCTAACTATGGATTGAAATTCTCCATTAATACTCTACTGTACACTATCTAAAGAGTGATGACTGTGATGATGTTCAATACATTCAAGATGGTTATCATTAAGGCCAGGGCTCTGATTAAAGGTATCAGTATTATGTTAAATTTAATTTGTCTACCTATAGTAACACAGCAATTGTTCATAATCTCTTCAAGAAATCCTTTGTTCGTTTGTTTAAAGTTGCTGGCTGTCCAAAGTGAAGTGAAGTGAGTTTGATTTGTTTAAGCTGAAATTAGTTGAACATCCCATAATACCACACCAGTTGTTGTCAGCAGGTAACTGAGTAGTGCTTGGAAAACAGGAACTGTTGTTTTGAATTGTAAAGTTATGTAATTTAATGATAACACTGAATTCTGACTCCAAGCTTCAGTTTCCTACACGAGTTTGGTCTTTGACAGTACTAGTTACAGCTTTGTAACATTACTGCATGGTCACTCTGTTATTAACATAAGTACTCTTACATAGTTGGAGATTGCAGTAACATACCAGAAACAAAACATCAAACTTGGCATCCATTCAAAGCAAGATTCTCTGCTGAATTTACGGTGATTGCAACACTACCAAGCTATATTGAATTTCATTTATTCATTGAATTTTGTCTGATTCTAGTTATAGACCAATACCTGCAAAAATGATTACGAACCCATCAGCCTCAGCTGCACTTTGAGTTCATTGTTAAAAAAGTAAATGTTTTTATTAACATCATTTTTATTTTAAGTATGTTTTCATTATGAAGTTTTCATTTGTCTCAGCACTTTATCCACAAATCAAGTTTCAAGAGTGTAGTCAGTATGTTACAATTTAAACCACAATTATTTCAATTTGTGAAAGAGGTTTCATTCTAAAATAACTAGAGTTTACAATATGAAGCATAAATGCATGTGTGTACACTTGAATAATAGCAGTATATACTTTCAGCCTCCGCTGTGTGTATTTGGCCAGCCTATTTTCGGTCGTTTTCACTTCAGTTATGCAGTACTTCATTGGTTTGACAAGGCTGGCCTCGTAAAAGTGGATTTTTTTTTTATAGAAGGCTGACCTGAGGACGTGTTGATTGGGTCAGTGTGTCCAGCATCCGCTCCACAATAACATCATGCCAGATGAGTGCCAGTCCTCCATGATACTGCACAGCTGCAGGAATGAGCCATCTGTACAGAGCATACAGAAGAGCCGCTCCACCGCTGCAACTGTAAAGAAGGGTCAGCCACATCCTGCAACCAAGGCAGAGAGCAAAAACATCAATTCAGCATGGTTAAGAGTGCTGCATTATGGGATGAGGCTGTGACAAATGGAACGCAGACACAGTGCAATAATAACACATTTGCCTGAGGTAGATGAAAGCCCTCATATCATCTCTCATTCAAAGGCAGAGGTGTCCTTTGTGTGGTGCTAATGAGATGGGTGTTTACTATGCTGAGTACAACATTGTTTCTGCTTCTGTTTTCTGTATCAGCTGCTGCTCACAGGACCAAACTGCACACCCACACACCTCTTTGTGATCATATCACTGTTGGCTATCATTTAATATTGACCAGAATAAGCACTGATAACGAGAAAACACGGTGCTATGTGTATGAGAAAAGAGCAGAATGAAAAAGGGTGACATAATCAGAATACTTAATAGGGGCTCCTTCTCTGGGAAAACAGAAAAAGAGCATGGCTGAAAATGGCATTACCTTCCACTCAACAATGCAACTGTGAAAGACCAGTGGTGGTTGAGGTAATTCCTTTTGATTAGGAGTTTGAGTTGCATGGCAACTGGCTGGGGGTTAAGAGCTGTGTCACAAAAGGCAGAGCCAGGGACTTCAACCTTTACTTTGGTTTCTTCCTAAGGATCTCACAACCTCCACAAGCAGAAGCAGAAATGCACAATAGTCTTGGCATGGATTGATTAACACGCACTTGTGTCTTTTATCATTATGTAGAGATCAATCACAAAGTTACATGTTGTGCAATATCAAAGAGATTTCTATCGTTATGCAAACATTTTAAAATAAAACAGTCAGGAAAACAACACAAAAAAGGTTTTTTAAATACTGTTCTCATGGTGTCCTAGTTCCACAATAATACAACTGCACATGATCCACAGTCTTGGAATTAAAATCGGACTAAGCCATGATCTCCTTGAGCATGAGCAAACACTTGTTGGGATTTAAAAAAAAACATACCTCAGGCAAAGGTTTTTCATTCAGATCTAGAAGACAGAAGGACTTACATGTGTGGGCAGGCAATGCTCCCTGTCCACTTCTCACCTCCTCTCGCTTCTGGTGGAAAATGTACGAGTTCTCTCACAGCCGGACATATGCCCGCATATATATGAGACTAACTCCTCCCTCCTCTTCCTTCCATCCCCCTCTCGGAGCTCTGCTGAATCTGATCATGCAAGGAATGCACAACAGACCCAATCTCTGCAGGCACTAAAGGCAAACACAGACACATGTGGATGATTGAGTAATGCCACAAAAACAAAGATGTAATCCGTTTGGTATTTAACTGTTTCTGGGTAAACTTCTGGGTGAATGTGTTCACCTATATTTGAAGTGACTTTCCTGTGTTGATAACATTTTCATCTTTTCTCCAGAAGGGCCTAAAATGAGGTTTCCATTAAAGACTGTAGTGTGTTGTTTTTATCAATACCACATACTAACTCTCCTTACTTTGGCGAGTGATCAGGGTAATCCTTATGTAAGACAAATCTAAGACTTGTTGTGTATAAATCCATCCCCAAAAGCTCAAACTGCTTTACTATTAACCCCTTCAATACTGCAACTGAAGCAGCAACTTTCTAAAAAATGACACTAAAACCAATCTCATCAGTTTATTCGAATACAAGAGCTTTGTGATCACGTCACAGGTCAGTCTTCCAACAACACAAACTTTTTTTATTATTCTGAAAATGCTGTGCAAAAATCAAAGAGACATGGAAGAACTACAAGAAACAAGCAGTAGCTAAGTTTTAGTCGGGTAAATGACAGGCTCATGATGCCAGCATCAGAATTATTGTTATGTCCCACAGCTGTCACATGTCACTGGTAATGTGTCCAAGCTAGTAAAGTGGGCCCTGAACCAGACAGAACCAGTGTGTCTAGGAGTTGATCCAGGGGTGTTTGAGACACTGGGCAGCTGTGGCTCTCTGCTCTGGTAGCAACTCCAGCATGGTCAGGAGGAACGAGCTGAACTGTAGAGCTTCCTCACGCTGCCACTCGTACTTCTCCAGAAGAATCTCAAACAAGCTCCACTGCTTCAGCTTTGAGATGTGTCGCAGTTGTCCTGAAAAGAGTAAGAAGTAGACTGATGCGACCATCGATCTCACACTTCTTAAAACCAACCACAAAAAACCTTTTCTAAGTATGACAAATTGAGTCGGACTGTGAGTGCATAAAGTGTCTCAGTCCTGATATCAGACGCAGGTATTCTGGCCGCATTAAGTTAGCTTTTTGTTAAATGCTGTTTGTTTTACAATGTCTGCTTTATGTTTATTAAGAAAAATGTCACTTTACCTTTACGGTTGAAGTATCTTTTGGAATTCCTTCCTGAGAGGGCAAACTCAGATGGGAGGGGTCCCAACAGCTCGATTATGTGGGCAATGTGATCTGAGAGAACACGAGCAGATACTGTTTGTAAGCAGATTTAGGAAGAAGAAGGAAAGAGGCGGTCATACAAGACAACACAGACCTTCCTCGCGTGTGAATGTTGCTCCTGATAGAGGGTCAAACAGATAGTCCCCTGTGGCAAGCTCAAAAGCCTACAGTAAAGGAACAAAACATGGTTGTGAAACCTAAAATACACCTTTCAAAAGGAGAAAAAAAGGAACTGTTCTTTTAGATCCTCTGCTCACCATACAGGCCGTGCTCCAGATGTCAGCTGGTGTGCTGTAATCAGCGCCAATCAGAACCTCCACAGAGCGATACTGGCACGTCTGGATGTCCTCAGTGAAGTGTTGGTGCTGAAGATCAAATATATGTGACTCTACTGTACTACTGTAATCAGTCATAACATTTTTCACTTTGATTTCTCTGAATGAAGCTACACATAAAGTATCAAATTTACTACAACATATTTAATGTGTTTATAAGGGAAAAAGATATTAGAGAGGGTTAGTCAGGAAATCATTAAACCTGTTACATTTCAACCTAAGGATGACATAAATTAATACATTCCATAATAATCAATTAAATAGTTTTAGAGACATTTCACCCCTCCCCAAAAAATAAAAAATAAAAATGCAAATATCTTGATGCTACAGGAAAGGTCAGCAGATCAATAAAGTTAGAATTTATATTTTGGGTACAATAAATAAACTTTGGCAATCCAAACTTTACCATCCCTGGAGCAATGCTACCGGCATAGCTTCTGAGATGTTTTTAAAAAGTGAAGTGAGCTGTCACAGAGAGAATTAAATCACAGTCTGTTTTTCTGACTATTTTGTCTGATCAAATGCAATAAGAAGCATAACTGCACCATTGATAGCATTGACAAGAGTAATTTGGTCCACACAGTCATGTCTCACTGGAAACATCTGTTTTCACTGTTGAGTGTAGTAAATGTGCCTATTTCTGAAATGTAATTATTGAATTGTAATTTCATGGAGGGAAAAAAAAGGTTTTGATTTCTTATTAAATAATGACTCACCACCCAGCAGGCATTGCCCAGGTCAGCAATCTTGATGAGAATTTGATCAGCATTCTGGGGATTTAGCAGGTCCAACAGTGCATCGGAGTCACGGACACCTGAATACATCAAGGAAAATGACATCTGAGAAATGCAGATAGTATTACTTTTTCTGAAGATGTACAGTTAGATACTGTGTAAATATTAGCTCATTCACACATGCTAACCAAGCTTCAGATCTTTATTAACACAAACCATAACACTAACCACAGACAGAGGGAGGTAAAGGTGCAGGTGGCTCTTTGTCTGTAGTTGATTTAATAACACTGATCTGGAGCCAGTGGCCGGAGCATCTGTGTTGAGGTCTGGCCATGAGCAGATGGAGTCTCTTTGGCCGTGTGAGGCACAGTCCTGTCCATCTTCAAACAGCATGGTGTGCCTCCTAAATGTGAAGTTAGTGAGAGCTGTGAGCTTTGAGTGACGCTTGGAGCTTGGGGTGCTAGAGAGAGCACAGTCATCAGAGAAAGACACATGAAGTTTGTCTTTTCGATGGTTGTCAGAAGCACCCTTCTGTCCTCGTCGACTTCTGTCTTTCCGGGTCAGTCGCTTCATTGGGCTGCTGGACACCTTACTGGACTGCAGACGTGCAATCAGTTGTTGGAAATGATAAGAAATGAGCAGTGAGTGAAACTATACATCTAAAAATCATAAAATTATCAACTTTTTAACACAATATGATGCAAACTAAAGCAGCTTTATCTTCATTCTGATGCCTCTTAAAAATATTTTCTCATTACATGAAAGATGCAACTATAAATATAATCTGGTATGTACTTATTCCTATTTAATACAGTGCTACAGATGAAATTCAGACATCCCATGTATTATGCATTCCCCTTTTCATATCATTTTCATTTAAAAGTTGGTGTTACTGTCTCAATAACAAATTGTGACGCTTCTGCTTTTCTATTCTTGTTAAATGTCTGATACTCAAGGTTATGCATATATCCATGGGTATGTATGCATATAGGATTAATATGTGCCAGATTGTAGATTTTATAAAGATGCAATTAAAAGACTCGAGCACAAAATAAAATCACAGCATCAATCTTACCCATTCCCCAAGACTGTGGAAAACCCCAGTCAGCTTTCCAAACAAGTTGGACAAACTCTTGGAAAGCCATGAAAAATAAATAGTTCATAATCAAGTCATAGCAAAATTAAAAAGAACAGTACAATTATTCAAATAATAATGAACATAAGAATAAATGTGTTTGTCACACACCTGTTTTTCTCTGGAGTTTCCATTCCCTGAGAGAGGTGACAAACATCAACAGGGAAAGATTCACAAAGAGTAAATACTTAAACCTTAAAAGAAAACAGTAGAGAATATGAAGCTTGCATTTGATTTAGTACAACTGACCTGACGAGCTGCTAAAAGCTGGGGATGTTGGCAGCTCCCACAGCTTGGTGTTTGACGCCAGCTTCTGGATGTAGGCCTCGTCCACTCTCAGCAGGATGTTTTCTGGCTTGATGTCTGCGTGAATAATCTTGCATTTTGTATGCAAGTAATCTAAACCCTGCAGAACCTGTGATAAGAAATGTGAATACAGTACTGCACCCCAAGTCAATAATGAGCAGAAATGGAAGAGTGTTTGTTCAGAATAAGAGCTCAGGCTGTTGTTAGAGACGTGGAGGATAAACACCTGTCTGAGGATGCTCTTAACACAGGGCAGGGGGAGGCCTGTGTAGTTGGATTTAATGATCCACTTTAGCAGCTGGTGGCCAAGCACCTCCAGAACCATGCACACGTCTGGTGAACTATTAAGGACTTTGTTTCACATTGTCACTGCTGAGTTGTTAGATGTTCTCAAGCTTTTAAAGGAGGCAAAAACAAATTGACACAATCTTTCAACCTTTCACTAATAGGATGTTGTTCTTGTAATGTCCATTTGTCATCAAAATAAAAATCCTGCACCTCTAGTTAAACAGCAGAACATTATATAAGATGCCTCTGTAAAGGATACGCTCTCTGTTTACTCCAGTGACCCTGAAGTCATCGATGAGGTGCACGACTCTCTCACGCTTTGGGTCTTTGGGGTCACTGTCCCTCACCTGATGGCATAAAGTGGACATATTACAATGTCAACACATATTCATTCCTGAAACAATCACCGTTCATTCTACAGTCGTTCTTATATCTATAAAAGTGCAATAAAATGGCAACTATTTGAAAACATTGGAAATAATCTAAGCCAATATTTTCCCACCTTTACTTTTAAAAGTGTCACATTTTTATCTCCCAATGATACACTCTACTTTAAGATATTGCTATACAAAACGTCAGAAAAAGCATTTCCATTATCAGCATCACTTATTCAGGAATCTTCCTGCTCCACAGCCACCACTGTGTCAACAGATTTCTCTGTGTTGTTAGTGTCACAAACATTAACAACACTACAGTCAGACATACTACTTGTGGGAGAACTCTTTTATGAATAAAATCCGCTGAGTACACTTCTGTAAAAAAACAAACAAAAAAAAACAATGTGGTCACACTGACACATTTCAGAAGTTTGATCTCATCCAGTGCCGTCTCTGTGAATGTTTCAGCACTCTTCACCACCTTCAGAGCCACAAAACGCCTCTCCCTGAATAAATGCAGACAATTACGGTAGTTAGCTACTGTATGTTTATCATTATCACTAGGTTATGTTTTCCAGTTATATGATTAGGCACATGATCAAACCTTTACTTACACCATGTCCCAGCAGAGCCATACAGTCGAGAAGTGGCCCCATCCCAACTTATTAACCACTTGGTAACGGTCAACAAAAATCTCTCCAATCTCTACATGGTAGTAACCACCTGCAACACAATGCACAGCCAGCATCAAAGAAAATGTTTTAAACCAGTGTGTCAGAGTTTGATGTTGGGATACTAGATACCTATGCCATAATCTGCAGGATTCTCCTGTGGCTCCTCGGAAGATCCCAGAGGCTCAGGTGACTGAGGATGTGTCTGTGCAGATGAGGAGCAGGGGGCAGGTTTGCTAGATGGCTGGAGCTGTTTAGGCCTTCCTGATTTCTTTGGGGGGGGTCGTGGGCTGTATCTGATGACGGAGTTGGCTGTAATAAGGGCTGATATCGCAGCAGCATATGAAGATGACATGTTTTACTGGAGCCTGAAGAGTTTGATCACAGCCTGAGATTGGCCCAGATCCCAGCAGCGAGAAGACAGAAAGCTACAAGAAAAAGCCATTACATAATTTCAATCATGGAGTTCTTATTTAATCTTTCATCTCTTCAACAACTGTTTGTTTTCCTAGTTCACAGATTGTGCTTTTAGACACTCACAGCAAGCGGCTCTATGCAACGACATTTCAGAAGAGCCAGTGAATGTGTATGTTTATTTTTAGCTGGACAAATGGTATGTCAACGTAAATAGCTCCTGACACTGGCCCAGCTGTAACTGAACTCTCACGCTCTGATTTTGCATGGACTACAATGAGGAGGCAACACAGCTGTAAACATGAAAGGCAGACAGTTGAAAAGAGTCATGATCTTTTCAGGGTTAATTGGCAGAAGCAAATTAAAAGTCTCTAGTTTTAAACAATTCAGTAATAAGGCTAGCTCATATTTGTATATATTATACTTTTTAGAATTCAAATGTCAAGAGCAGGCATAGGGACTTCTAAAAGGGATCAAGTCAAATGGCATTTTCTAGAAACGCCAAAGTAAATGTAAATCTTGCAATACAGCTTATTTGTTAACCAATGCAATAATTCTGGTTTAGGCCTATAAAAGGCAACGAAGGGTCGCTGGTATTCATTTGTGTGGGTGGAGGGAGCGAGAGAGAGAGAGAGAGAATGCGCCGTTAGAATTGTTCAAACGGAAGGGCAGACACTATTCACATTTCTAACACAATATTTCAAATTGAAATACTTTGTACTCAAATGTCGAGATTGGGATTGATCCATAACACTACTTAATACTCAAATACAGAGGTTTAGAGTTGAAAAAAGTGGTTTCAGGGTTTAGTTACTCTTTAACTTTTAATTTGTTTAGTGTTAACGCAGTGACATTATGGTAAATGTAGTTTTAACTTGAAGGTTTTAGAGGAAGTGAGTTTAAAAATCTAGCGCTTGACTGAAAGGTGCGCCATAATTGGTTGTTTTGGGATTAAAACGGCGAGAACTTCATACTAGGTTAGTTTTACTCTCAAATTATAATAGCAATCATTTGGTACGAAGCATACTTACCCCTGTAAACGTGATATATCCCGTTCAAATATTTATGACGCTAGAAATGAAAGCTTCTTTACTTCCTCACTCCGGTCTGTGTGACTGAAAAACACTCTGGTCCAAGAATAGCAAACTGTTGCTGCTTCTACTGAGACTATCACTGTGTAGCTACAACTTCTATTTCCAGAAGAGGGCAGTCTCCTATCTGTAGTAATTGTATCTATGACTGTCATATGACAATGACAGTTTTAAGAAACCTCCAACCTCCTAACACTTCAAGCCCGACAGAAAAAAAAACCTCATACAAGGCCAACATTTAAAGATAAAACCCTCCTATTAATTATATTTAAGATCTCAATAATATAATTTGTCCATGTCAAAACTATACAACATCCACTTTTTGACTTATAAATGCAGAACATCATTACTTGGATGTCACACAATAATCACACAAATATGACCCATTGTTTGATTTCAACATGACACTTTATTAAGTAGAATGAATGCACAGTCTCATACATACAGTATAGAGCAGGCCATGTTTAGTCATATCTCATAGGCCTGGTTATAAAGAGAGGAGGAATGGAGAAAACAGCTGCATTTCAATATCTAAAGAAAAAGAATCAAATATTGACACATCACACTTCTGAATGAAATGTTTGAAACACAGAAATTTCCCACACTTGATGAGAGCTACACAAGATAGCTACAACATGGTATATGTTCATAAATATAATATACTGTAGTTTGAATAAACTTTGCTTCAGAGCTAAATGTATATCATTTATTTTCAACTGAGAGTAATTACAGAGTACATAATATGAAAAATACATGTATGACCCCCAGTGCACAGCTGTTTGGTCTTAGATTTCAGGATTTTACTCGCTGGGAGAGGCTGCATGAAACAGGATACTGAGAGGATGTGAACACATCAGACAGCAGAAGAAACCAGGTGAACATTCAACAGTTTGTTGCTGTTTGTAACAGAGTAGAAAACAATTTCACTAAAGACAATTATAAAGAATTACATTCATATGAGTCTCAACATGGCCAAAGATGAAGCACATTAAATGGGAACAAAATAAAAAGTTTCTGTTCACACAAAGACAAATATTTTCATATTTCTTGAGGATATCCATTATTATTCAGGTTTTTCTGAAGTTGTTCACAGAATGTTTATACAACTGATACAAACTCAGAAATACACAATAACAAATAACTACCCTGGATTTTAAAAATGTAGATCTCTTCTTCATAAAACACAAAACCAAGAAGATGGAATGAGTTCAAATCTAACTAATAAACAATTTAGAAAGCATGAATTGTCATTAACAAATTTACTGGTATGAGACCTGCTCACACCGTCATTCACAACTGCAGCAGCCCTACTCTGTTCACACCACCATCCTCACTTTATACAACCAACTACATAGTGCTCATTTAGGGTCAGAATGAGTGGGAGAGTTTATTTTTGATTAAATACATATTGTATGGTTAGTTTAAAAATTAAACTGTTAGTACAGCAATTAAATATCAGCTTGAAACGCATCAGTACAATCCACACTATATACAGACGAACACTCACAATGACCTTCAGTAGATGTTGCCGAAACCCTTTTCCTAAATGTTTCTCATCTCTCTTGGCAACCATTTAAAAGGGATTTAAGGCTTAAGATGTTCATAAAGTGCTCCATATGACACTCAAAACCGCCAAAACTGAATGCAGAAAAAAGACAGATTTTATGTTTTTTAATTATTGTCATACAGTCATATGCTACTGCCACATAGGTCTCAGAACAGCCCTCAGGTTCTTCCTAAAGCTGGTCGAAATCAGTCAGCACAAACAGAGCTACATTTGTTAGCCAGCACCAATCTGGCGAAAACTAACAGAAAGGTCATACATGACTTCATTTCAAATACCCTAATTTAGTGACATCATGACCTGATTTCAGTTTCTGATTACACTAAGCTCAAAATGCTCAAAGCTAGCATTTTAGGTCACAAGAAAGCACTTTAAAGTTTTCTAACCAAGGTTTCGTTTTGATATTTGAACATTTAGGCACTCCTGTCTGCTACGTCTGTATGCTACAGTTCATGACTCCTGTTTCATTATCAATCATGAAAAATACAAATAGCTGTGAAATTAAAATCAGATGAAGACTGAAGCATGTTTTGTGTTTTTAAGAGTATACAAACACATTCACCAGAATGCACTGATACCTTTTAATTGATGCGAGCTCCTTTGTATATCACACGAGTAATGAGCAATAAATTACCTCTTGAATATAACGGTTCTTTATATCTCAGAAGATACAAAATAGTGATTTAGAGTTGTATATATTCTGTAAAAAAGTATATCTTGGGAAACTTTTGGGGGGTTATTAGGAAATATTCTACTGCTTGTGTTGAACCAGTAATATCCATATACAGTATGACCATACTGTTGTTAGATAAGTGAAATCCAGTGCACATCCATCAGAACACTAGGTTTGAGGTTCACATATAGTGGTGAGATCAGTTATAACACAGGGAACTTGCCAAGGCTTTTTCACACTGTACATCTACAGTTGTCATTTATTCCAGTCTCTTTCTGCTGAGGTTTCCATGTTTTGATTTTCTGCTGAGGTCACATTGTATCACCTTATCTGTGTTAGTGTGTGACTATCAGAGTCTGAGAGTACTGTGTGTGTGTGAGGCTACAGTATTTTTACTCATAAAATGTGTGTGTTCTGCTGAATCAGACTAGGGTGCCTGGGTCTGGGCTGGGTTCCTTTGGGGTCACTTCTTGCATCTGTGGATGGGGAGTCTCCTGATAGAGAGAGAACTCCATCGACCTGTAAGGATGGCAGCACAAATCAATACAGCGCCCCACAAACAAGAGGCAGGTAATGAAGGGGGAAACCACAGTGAGAATACATCTGTGGTTACAGCATGATATGAAAAGTATGAGTCATGGTCAGATTGAGAGTAGAGCTTGGAGATGGCTATCCTGAAGGATTATGTAATCCCATCTCAAATTAATGAAAGGGGAAATCCCTTCAGTTATTTGAAGGCCCCCCTTTAATGCATGCTCACATTTTATCTGCTCAATTGTCAAAGCTACATTTATTCATATGGCTGCTTTTCTCTCACTCAGGGCAATTCTAGGAAGCCTATAAGTGGAAAAAAAATACATTTTTTATCAGGAGCCATAATAACTAGGATGCTGGGTATGCATTAGACAGACTGCAATGAAAACTGCTGACCATGACAAAGACTAACAAATACCAACATAACACAAGCAGGACTTTCAAAGTCACAGGACGCTGCATGATTTGTTGGGAATGGAGCGAGAGTAAAGCTTCACCCTCTGCTGGAAGTCACGCTGCCAACTTCCAACGAGAAAGATATTTAAGCAAATCTCAGAGGTAAATACAAAGTGAGTGATGACTAAATGTTTGCAAACAAGCATATTTGTATTTGTAGTTCAAAAACTGTTAGACCTGAGCCTTCCTTCTGCTCTCATTATGGAAAATGATTAGTGCAAATTTTAACAATGTATGAGAAAGTATTCAAATTCACAACTGACGGCAAATCCAAAAAAAAGCTTCAAGACTTAGAATAACTCACCTTCCATGCATTGGGTGACCATGGAAGCTGGCTGACTGGGGTATCTGGGATCTGTGAAGGTTGGCTGTTTCCCCTTGAACAGACTGGGCCTGGTGCACCAGTGGGTGGGGGTGCGAGAGACGAGATATTCCTGCCTCCTGACCCTTTGAGGCTGAAGGAGGATATCCAAGGGCATTTCTCAGGTACCAGTCCCTCAGACCCTCCAGGGCGAGCGCTTTATGCAAGCTTCTCGTCGAGTCTTCTGGGGTAGGGAGAGAGAATTGTGGGGGTCTGCGGCTGAATGCGTGGCCAGACAGGTCTGTCTGGTAGGGATGGAGGTTGGGAATGGAGGATGTTGTGGTGCCAGAGGCAGGAAGGGGAGACTCGTAGGCTGACAGCAGGATGCCATCCTGGGTGTGTTGCTGCAAAGGAATAAAGGGCCCACAAGATTTGGTTCTGGTTACTTTGACCCTGCGCAGCTCAGCTTGGGACCCTCGGAGGACCATGGGGCTGTAGGGAGTCGCAGCAGTGGGGAGGTGCACCTGGGAATGGGAAAAGCCGTTGGCATGGGGAGGGACAGCTGCAGTGGAGGAACGAGGAGAAGTCGCGTCCTGCCAGATCCTGCCTGTGGACTGATACAGGTGGTGCTGCACTTGCATCCTTTGCTGTTTCCCCCAAATATAGTCCATCAGTAGCTCATTGTAGCCGCCGCCGGCCCCTCTGCCGCCCATGGAGAGACGCAATTTGGCCTGTTCCACCGAGCTGCCCGCATGTCTCTCTGGGCTTCCAAGGTGGATCTGTCGCAGCTTCCCATCAGTCAGTGTCTCTGAGCTCTTATAGGGTCCTCCTTTTGGGGGCATCCCGTTTCTAGGAGCAGGATCGTCAGGAAGGCTCGATCTATCCAGCAGGGCCTCAGAGCTGTTACTGCGCCTGGCACGGGAGCTGTATGGACAGCTTCGGCGGTCAGAGGAAGAACCCTCCTGAGCCAGAGGAATCATGTAGGGCACATCCAGACTACCAGACCACTGCTTCAACCCATTACCCCCTGACGTGTCCGACCTAAGACAAAATAAGTACAACAAAAGGGCTACATCAGATGAGTAATCTGAGCCGTAATGGAAAAAGAAAAGAGTGAACGCATTTAAAAAAAAACTGTAACTGTATTTTAAAAATCACTTTAGGGAAACAATTCATAAGCTCAAAAGAAAAAAAACGTTGAGCTCCAACCCTTGCTGATAGCTAAATATGACACTAATCGCTGTTATAACCCTGACTCTGTGTCTGCATTTAACTAAGTCATTAAGCCATTTCCAAGCACACAGTTATCACAGTAGGAGGGAGCTGGAGCTCTGCTACATCAGACAGAAGCAGCACTGTTTCACAGATTACCTGACGTGAACGCTGATTGGAGCAGTCCGAGCCAAAAGAGGAGTGGCTGGAACACTTCTACCTTCAACATTAGATGCACTTCTGGGTAAAGAGTGAGTTGGGCTGTAGAAAAATAAAAGGAACATAAGAGGACATGGGTCTATTTAACATGTACATAGTGCAGTTGGTGATAAATGTGTGTAGTCTCAGGCGCATGTAGCAAACAGCGCAGCCTCACTTACAGAGTGCGTTTAAGAGAGAGGTACCTGACAGAACTTGTGACAGAGTTGCGGCGTGTCCTCATCTCATAGTAAATCTCAACTGGAGACAGCTTCCTGCTGATCCTGTGGTCAGGACTGCCAACAGTGAGCCGAGGCTGAGACAGTGAGCGCTGGTCGGCAGCAACGCTAGGAGACGACTCTTTCGGGGGGGGAGATAACAAAGGTAGTTGTGTTTAAATGAGGGTGACCAAAGCTGATGGCAAACACTGATCACTTTCATTAAAAGCACAAAAGCAAAGTTTGCTTTTTTTTTTTGTTTGTTTTTTTTCAGTGGAAATATAGGTCAATACTCTTATTTTGAATTGACAAAAATAATACATACATCCCATGTATTCCCTGTGTGCTCACTACTGTGTGACTAAGTAGAACTTTGAATGTGTAATGTATGTATCCCTCAGAGACGGGGACAGTTCAAACACAATTTGTATTCAGCTGACTCACCATTGTCATGGGATGTGGAATCTGACATGGAGCTTGTACTCTCTGACATGACAGTGTCCTCTGTAAGACAACAAAACATCCAGGACACAAATAAAGCAGCTACATCTATTATCTTTGCTGAGCACAAGTGCAAAGCTTAGTGTTTATTTGGAAAGCTTAACGTTTCCATTTTTTAATGAATGGTTTATTTTTCTATGAGGGTATAGTTATAGGCGCTTTGTAAATATACCTGTGTGACAACCCCGGTGAACTGTCCTCTTGTTGTTTGGTACATTTCGGTCCGATTCTGAATGTCTATACAGAGCACCCGTGAATATGGCTTTCATCTGCTTCCTTTGGGCAGCCTCGTCCTGCAGCCAGGGACAGCCAGATGTGTTGACCACAAATACACAAAGAGCTCCAGCCACTGTGTACACACAATTGATATTCAAGGTGTTGACTTACCTCTGCCTTGGCATTGGGCGGGATGCCAGCTCTGCGCTGCACCAGTGGGGGGTTCTCTCCCGTCTCCAGGGGGAAAGAACGTGGCAACTTCCCAGTAAGCTCCTGCAGAGGACATCCATTAGCTTGCAGTAAGTAAAATCCATCTTCACACTGACTGTGAGTGCCCAAGTGTTATATTAAATGATACCACTTAACAGATTACTTTAAGCCTTAATAAAAACACCCTTTAAGTATTTTGCTGCACTAAAATGGATAAGCCAAAAATCATTTCATTTCTACCACTATTTAGTTAAAGCTGCAACAGAATATCTGCAGTTGAGCAGTGATCAAACCTCTTGCTACTCGCAAATTAGACAAGACAACTTGTGAATCTAAGAATAGAGCACACAGCAGTGTGTCACAATACATCCGGCTGAAAATAGAGATGAATTAAACAGCTGATAATGAACTGCTAAAACAGCTGTTTCTTCATTAAGACATGCTGACAAGTGTGGAGCAATCGAGCCAATCCCACTATACACCACATTTTCTATGATAATTCCCTATTGCCCAACCAGTTACATCTCAGCTCACAGTTTCCATGCAGAATATTCAAAAATACTGCAAGTCTAAATTGTGCTGTAGGCTCTGAACGTGAAAAAAAAAGTGTTGAAAAGTGAAATTGAAATGTTTTGACCTGAGCCAGGTCAATTTGAGCTACTCACTGCTTCCTGCAGACAGACATGTTTAAGCTCTCCCACTCTGGTTTTGAGGAGAGCCTCAAGGGCCTGCTTCCTCTCTTGCAGCGCTGCAATCCTCTCAGCCTGCAGCTTGCTGTCCTGGCAGCCTTGAACATCTACAGAGCACATCACATCACACATGCATTGAAAAAAGTCTGAAACAAATTGTAAGACTTGCAGTGTCCTACAACTCTAATTCCTAACAAGTTGGGACATTGTTCTAAAATGTAAATAAAAACAATGTGAAAAAAATCTATCAAATGTTGAAACTGAAAAATGTCATTGTTTTTGGATACTTATATTCCATTTATTGCCAGCAACATGTTTAAAAAGAGTTGGGACAGGGTCATGTTTACCACTCTATTGCCTCACTTTTTGGTTAAACAAAACTTTGTAAGCTTTGTGGTGACAGAGACCCCTTTCTGTACCTTTGAAAGTGGAATGTTGTCCTTTTCTTGCTCAGTGTAGACTTCAGCTGTTCAACCGTTTGGAGTCTCATTTGTCTTATTTTATGTCTCACAATACTCCAAACATTTTCAATGAGTGACAAGTCAGGACTGAACGCAGGCCAGTTCAGCACATGTAACTTTACCACTGAGCTTGTTGTACTACAGACAGAGGGCAATTTGATATTGTTTTGCTGAAATAAGCAAGGCCATCCCTGAAAAAGATGTTTACTTGGTAGAATATGTTGCTCCATAGTTATTGTATATCGTTCGGCCATAGTGGAGCCTTCACAAATGTGCAAGTCCATACTCAGGTGATCCCTCTCCTCTTTAGACTGAAGAATGAGCGTCCAGGATTTCCAAAAAATCATTTGGAATTTTGGCTCAAAAGACTTCTGGACAGTTTTAACTTGCATTTGTGAATGATGTGATGACCTGTTTTCACAGACAATGGCTGTGCCCATGTAGTGTTGTCTGTTTTTATTGCAGAGCCGTCTGAGAGACCAAAGATCACGGCCCCCCCAATATTGGTTTTTGGCCTTGTCCCTTGTGTTCAGAGATTTGGTTCTTCAGATTCTTACAACCTTTATGATATTATGTACTCAGGGGCACGGCTTGTCAACAGGCAACGCAGGCAACTGCTTGGGGCCCCTGAGGGCTCACAGACTTAAACTGAAGCAGTGGCCCAAAATGTGCAAATTTTGCAATGACAGTAAGAAACCTCCATAAGGGGGCCCCATCTGACAGCACTCACTCATGTTGCCCTGCTAAGCTTTGCATGCATTATTGCTGTGAAAACTAAAGTTTGTCAATGAAAGTCAACAAAGAAAAATGAAGAAGAATTATCAATCTGTAGGAGAGAAAAAAGAAACAGGTAACATGAGGAAGAGTAGTAAGCATTGGCTTGAAGACATAATGGTGATGATCTCTGGTTGGAGGCCCCCAAATATTTTTACCCAGGGCCCCAACAGACTTTTATGTTAAAAATTATATTCTGAAAGTGTTGCACTCTTTTCCAGCACAGTCTTTGGCAGAGTGTTGAACCTCACCCCCCTCCTTACTTTAGATATACTCAGCCTCCTTGGGGTGCTCTTTGTATATCCCATCACATTACTTAATTTATTAACTGTGACATTTTACATCAGGTATTTTTTAAGCATCTCACAACTTTTCCACACTTTTGTTGCCACTGTCCCAACCTTTTCTAAATCAACATGTTGTTGGCATTTAATTCAATTTGGGCATATCATTTTTCAAAATGTTTTTGTTTTCAGCTTTAACATTTGATATGTTGCCTTTGTGCTAGCTTCAATCAAATACGAGGTTTCAATGATTTAAAGAATCATCACATTCTGTTTCTAATTACATTTTACATGACGTCCCAGCTAAAAAGGAAATGGAGTTGTACTTTTTTTAAGGTAAACAAATCCAATGAAAAGACCAAAACCAACAACCTTATTTAAAAGTCTTTTTTGAAGATATAAAATATGCATCAGTGCAACTGGTACTACTCCATTATTCCAGTTTAAATGAGGCTTTTAGTTTAATTTCAGTCAGCTCTTAAGACAAAATAATCAAAATAAAAGAAACATTGTTTTCATCAAAAGCTAAAAAACAGTTCCAAACAAATGAACACCTTTTTTTTCAGTTTACTCATAACCACAATGCCCTGCTGTTTCAGGAAAATACTGAGCACTTTTTAAAGTAAAAGTGTTCATTTATGACCTCTTCTGTTCAGGCTAAGCAGGGGGGATTGTGGTTTAGAACTATAAACACGGTGAAGAAGTCAGGAGGGAATCATTAGAAATCATTTGGAAGGACACAGACCCGTTCATTGACAGGAAGAGAACGAATATTTTCAACCAATCACTGATGTAAAGGATTCTAACTCTAAAAAGTGACTATCTATTATTCACATTACATTAAGATGCATTGCTCATGTTTCTGCTGTTTCCAGGTGGTGGTTTTGTGTGTGTTTCTGTGTGCTAACAGTTTCTCAGTGCTCTGATAAGATTATCTGACAGCTGCTGAGACAGTCAGTGAACAAAAGGCCTTCACACATGCAGATGTTTTTCAGCTCGCTGTTCCCATGAAAACACTTTTGTTTTCCTTCTGCTGAACTGTGAGAAAAAAACACAAGCTGACAGATTTGCCGGGCCATTTCAGGCTCGTCCAGACATGAAAGTGTCCGTCTTTACGCTGTGAGTCATTAAAAGTCATTAGTACTCACCAGGAGCCCCTAGACCCATGGATGTGATCAGATGTCCTTTGACCTCCATGAGATGTTTGTGTGGGGACTTTACGACTCACACTCCCAACCGCGCCCTCACCTAAGGAAGAAAATAACTGAGATGTGACTTCTGCTGAGACTGGTCAACATTTTTCTTGGGTGCCTCTCGGACCTTGAAGTATCTGCCATTTGTTTTCCCAAAGTGCAGAATCAATGGTTGCTTTTCTTGCCAGTCAGCAATAGATAAGCATGAGTGTCTGATTACACCAGGTACCATGAGGGGGAGCCACTGCACCTCTGTACAGGGGTCTTAAACTGACCTCTTGAAAATGTTAAAATATGTCATCTGAAGAAGGAATGGTGTAAATATATAAATCAATTTAGGGAGGTGAAGTCAATCCCTCATATTGTATTTAAAATAATCTATTATCAGTGCAAAAAAAGCTTCAATAATAGAACTTTCAAAATCATATTTGAAAACATGGAATGCCATATTAGAAATACACATTAAGCCAGTTTTATGGAACATTTAGAAAATGTAAAAAGTTCAATAACAGTCTAATCATAATTAACTTACAGCTTCGGGCATTCTGAATATGAGCACTACTCTAAAATTAGCTCTCTGATTCAATTAGCAACCAATTAATTTGAAAGGAGAAGAAAAAGAGAGACAGGAAAAGTGACATTAATAATTTATGGACCGATACGGAGAGGGAGAAGAAACTTAATCCCTGTGTGTTTATGTCTCAGTAGCTCAATAGCTACTGTTACAAAAGAGAGGGAGCAAGAGGAAGGGAGCCAGGAGGAAAGTGTTGAAATAAATAACAGAGTGGAGAGAAACAACATGTTAAGTAGAGGTTCACGTTTGCTGCAGTCATAAATATTAAGGTTAACATGAAATTGACTTGGCTTTGAACTATGTTTACTATATTTTGAAGCGTCTTTGTATCACATCATCTCTGATCATTCTACTGAGAAAAATACATAAAAAATGTTTCCTTCATCAAGAATAAGGCCCCATTTAAAAAACACAGGACAACACATAATACATATTCTAAATCAACAGTGATTCATGAACACTTATTCCTACACAATGGAGGTTCATTACAAACAAAGCCTGTTTCCTAATACCCAATAGAGACTTGACATCCAAAAATAGCGATCACATTTTCTGCCAAAAGCCTCTCACTCAACGCCGCTCACAAATCGCTGCCATAAACAAGGATCCTGCCAGTCGAGTGCATCATAAATTGACTTCATTCAACCCACAAACTAGATGGAAGCCCTCGAGGGCTGAATCAAAATGTACCCTTCCAAAGACTTCCTCCAGCATCACATCTTTCAAAAGGAACATTTATCTACCAGTAACTCACAGTCACTGTCCTGAAGCTCTACATATAACTGCCCAGCTTTTTTCCTTGGGTCGGTAAGACATAGCGTTCTGTTTTCCTCACTCAAACAACAGAAAGAAAAAGGCTCACTTGAAGACATACTTGAAATACTTGTTCCCAGTTTGCTCCTGTCCTGGAACTGAACCAGTAACTGCTGTTTGCCCTGTAAGTGTGAAAGCCCACAGCATGCTTGACCTCCCACCGAAAGACATGTAGAAGCCTTTCACACGAACAAGGGGCAGAGTTACGACCGACGCTCAGACAAAAGCTCATCACATGAACCCTGTTACCCACAAACGAGGCTGTGATAATTAGATTTTAAGATAATTTAATATTCTGAGAATAACTTTCACCTGGAATTTTGCATGTCTCTGTGGACAAACCCTCAGAGGAGGAGTAAAGAGACGACAGAGACTTTGGTGGTCCTCTGGATGGTCGCTGGGCAGCCAAAAGGCGGCCTGAATGTAGCTTTTTCTGTTACCACAACATTTGCTTAGAAACCAAGTGTTATCCTTTTCACTCACCAAATTGTGCCCTTTGTCTCTTTTAGATCAAACCAACTTTTGGCCTCTGTGCTCTGCATTAACAAATGCTTATATTATGCAGCCATTACCGCTGTAGCTACTTATTGAAGCATAACAATGTAACTTCTGAAAGAATAAAGTACACATTCTTTCTCTTGCAAATGAAAAGTGAAATTCAGTCAAAGTAAAACCCACCTTTGTTCTCTTTAACCGGCTCAGGGCTTTTCTTCTGCAGTCTTTCTCAGTCTGGTATACCAGGAGCTACTGTTGGCTAATGTTAGCGACACTGCTGTATGGCTGGCATTTCTAAGTCAGAGTGTAAACTTAAGGACACTTGTCTATAGACTTTGTACTTTTGTAGTGTCTACAAAGATTAAATGTCTACAAAAACAGCAGTTTTATCACACTGTTTTGCTTCCAGTGTACTACTGGCAAGAACTAATAACACACCGTGTGTATTACACTCTTTGCTTTACCATTATCACATAATTATATGCTGTTCAGCAAAGGCTACGCAGCAGTTTGGTCCTCAACCTAAAACAATCCTCAAGTGTGTGGCGTCAATACGATTATTTTTCTGCTCCTGATCTAGTCTGATCCTCCCTGATCTCGAATCTTAAATATCACTCATGTTTGATTTTTATGATTCCAGGTCGGGCTGCCTCCGACCACTGAGAGTGAGCAGACCGGGCAGGGTCACAAACATGGCAGCGAACATAAACACAACTGTTCCCCGAGCCAAGTGGAATATATGAAAAGAAGATCAGCTTGTGGAATTATGGCAACAACATGTGTGCCTGTATGTTTCATGTGAGAAATACGAGCTGAGGACTTCTGTAGTCATGTATGATGATGCTAGTTTCTGTGCAATCTCATATCTATGGAATCACCACTGTGAAATGGTTCCTACAAACGTCAGGTGTGTGGTCTTGCGTTCTGGGTGAATCGTTGAGTGTGTGCGTTCAGCAGATTATAATGTTAAAACAGTTTTAGAAATGTCCTTACCGTATGTCTGTGGTTATGCAGATTAATAAAATAAAGATTTGAAAATTGTCTCCTGTGTAGCCAGCCTAACTAAACCCTATTATTTATCCAGTCAATTCATGTTTGCTGCCTGTACACAACATCCCAGCTGGTAATGGGGTTGTATTTGGTAGCTCTCTCTATGGAGAAGTTTACAACAACAACTTTTACTTTTTTTTTTTATTAGGAAAAACAGATTTAAAAAACCCATCAACGGACAATAGTTAACCATTAAGCTGCGGCAGGTAGCCCTCTGCCCACCACTGAGTCTAACAAATAACACACCTGAGAGGATCTGTAGACCCACAGGATGAAGTTACACTCTAACTGCTTCAACATCTGGAGTACAGATGTGTGCAGAGCTACAGGTAAAGAAATATGAGAGGGCATCACATTCCAGAGGGAAGCCTGCGGGAGAGATGACGGACAATGAGGAATCAGATAAGAAGAGTCAAAGAGAGCTCCATCAAAGGAAGGATCAGAGGAGAAATAAGCACAAGAGATATGATCGCATCTCAGTCATCAAACACATGTTGACTTAGCATGTGTAAGGGGGATGAGGGATCTCTGGATAGCGTATAGATAGCACTATGGGAGCCATGCTGATTAAAACATGAGCAGTGTGATGAGAATGAGGCGGCCCTGTGCAGCGTGCATCGCACGAATGCAAATCAGCAAGGAGTTTAATATTCAAGTCCGACAGGCTAAACACTGAAGTCCGTAATGTAGATCCAGTCCTACCGTGTCCACACACAAGGAACAGCACTGCTCTATTTTCATCTAAGAAGCCATACATATTAGATGGCAACATTCGTAGCGAAGCTAAATTACCACAGGCAACAGTTTTATATGCAGCTCTCTCATCCCTTGATAAACATGATGCCTCCAAGCTCTTGTTGCTGTCAGCTTTTATCTTACCCAAGACTCCCTAGATCCGGCCCCTGTTGTCAACAACATGAACTGAATATACTCATGACTTACAGAGCAACATGGATTAACATGTAGCAGCAGATTCATACATCAACAACTTTCAATCTGTTGCAAGTGGTAATTCATGCACAACATGCATGCACGTTTCTTTCAACAGGCAATAGAGAGAAGCTGAGATGTTAAAGAGCAGTTGAAATTTCCCCTCCTGCTTTCTACAGACAGGTGAGGCCAGCAGCCCTCATGTTGACGGTTAGTGTTGACACAGCTGCTGCTGTTGTGATCAGACACATGGTAGGCAGTAGGCACAGCAGGGTTACAACTTTACAACTCCAACAAGACTTGTGCAAAGGTCTGGAGACAGTGTACGGGGACTCAAAGCTAGGAAATACTGTTGCAGACGTTTTAGCTTTGAAATATCCACATCAAATGTTGCTATTATTAAGCTGTCAAAGGCATTCTGGTGTGTTTTCTTTAAGCGGCAAACCTCTGAACCTCTCTTTGTTCGTTTGTAAAAGTAATAGTAACAGGACCTTCATCTGCACACTTTATCTGCCATCATCCATTAAACTCCAAGGATGTTGAAATACAAGCGATCCCAAGTGGAGGATTTACTGAACCTCCACCTGACCAGCCCCATCCATAGAACTGTGCAGGGCTTATAGAAGCTCAGATGACCCCAACCCCCTACCTCCCACACTAATATGAGATCCTCTTGTGCTCTCTCTATCCATGAAAAAATGATTTATAACATGCTTATCGGCACAGCCGGACAGCTTAGCTGGGACTGACCAATCATGGCCCTACATTTCTCCTCCCTGGCCCTGACGCTCACCTTTTCACGTTAGACACAACTGGCATGGGTGAAACAAAGCCATCTTGGTGATTGCTATCCACCTGGATCCAGCTAAGCTGAGGGGGGGGGAGTAATAAAGAAAGGAATGTGGCTCCAACGTCTGAGGGGATTATTCCTATACATTTCCCCTTTGCTCTGTAACACCTGAAGGGACTTCTGTACAGTATGCATTCAAAACTCATTTAAAGATCCAGTGTTGCTGTAATCCACCTTGCTTGGATTTGGGAGAGAGTTCGGTGCTGTGTAAAATGTGCAACCACAGCCTTTAAGGTATCCTTCACAACACACGCATAAGGGCCTGCTCTGAATCGTTTGAGCTTTTTGACTGAACAAATGTGGTGGAATTCTCTGTCTATTGCACGGCACTACTACTGCTCTGGTGTATTTTTAAACAGTTGATAAGGTCTGGGATTTGACTCCCTCAGCACACAGACATAAAACCAAGACACTGACTCTAGACGAAGCTAAAAGCATGTTTCTGTTTTAACCAATGCAGACAGGTAAAGATAGAGCTTTTCTGAAAGGACCTGAATCCTGACCGTATGTGAGTGTGTTACTTCTCATCAACCCCACTACTGAACCAGATGCTGAAACATGTCAGTTTATGTCTTCAGGGTGCCGTAAAGAGAGCAGTGACACCTTGCTGTAACAGAAGGGCAAAAGCATATTGTTGTACTTGCACCAATTTGGGTCATGATCCAATTTCTGGCTGTTTGATTGAATTGCAATTCTCAGAGTAGCATGAAAACCACAGGGAGGGCTTTTTTAGAATAGCAGAGTGCCATGCTACCAGAGAAAAAACATCCCCCCTGAATTACGACGAATACCACAACAAATGGTCTGTTAACTTTCCCTGCATTAAACACTTTGATCACATCTCTTGGTAATTGCTTTATCGTCCGAGAAATCACGACCATCCAAAGACAATAACACCAAAAAGGGAATGATCAGCACTTTGAAAAATGCTTGACAGCAGAGTGGAAAATCCTTTTATGAAAACAGAGGTGTTTCCCAGACACACAAAAGGTGGACTATAGTGGTGAATCACCCTGAAGGCACTGACTGACCCACACAACACTATTTGTCTGAGTTTTGTCAGATCCAGACAGCCATCCTTGCTCAGGAATCTGTTAATAATAGGGCTTAACTGCTGCATGAGAACAAGCAGTATTTATGTAGGAGAGCAATGAAATCAATAAAGGCACAGCAGAGAAGCTCCAGCAGTGCTTCTGCTTATTTTGCTCCCTAACAATGCAGTATTAGGGGGAAGTTGTGTATTCCCAATAAGCATGACACATGTTTTACTCATTGGATTCATTGCTTAATGCAGTGTCAATCCTGGCCATCCACGCATATGTTACTCTGAACAGGCGCTGTGTTAGTCTGCACAACACATGTCGTCGATGAAAGAGATACGTTGGATTTCATGTCATTACAGTCCTTTTATTGACAGGCGTGTTTTCTAGCTCAGTGTGTGGAGCTTAAAGCATGTGTTCCCACAATAAGCCCGGCAAACTGAGCCTGCAACAGCAACCATCCTGGACCTGCATAGTCTTTTCGGCAGCAGCTTCTAATGAAACATGCTGGACTAACTAATGAAAGCAACAACATAAAGCAGGTGTGTCACTCACCCGACCATAACGCTTAATGCACAGGCTCCAAATGATTCATAGCCTACAAACGCAAATATCATTTTGGAGTCTCGTCTGCTGGGCCAAGCATTGTAACAAAAAAACAAAAAACAAAAACAAAATAAAGAATCCAGGTTGTGATGACGGCTATTCATTTAAAAACGCCCAGTAAGGATGAGAAGGACACCTTGGAGCAGAATCCCCCTCTTACCACAAAGCATGACCGATGCCTTCGGAGGTCTCCATGGTCCTCTGTAGCAAAACCAAGCCGAGAAAAAAACATTCCTGTGCGGGGACCACAGGACAAAAATCCTCCTCTCCCCCCCCACCACCCCCACCCCCCAGGACAAGCGGATTGAATGAATTAAAACGTACGGTAATTTCTAAATCACGTCAAAAAAAAAGAGCCTCGTTCATCGCGGCTCCGTATCCCAATTGTAATTCACCAGCTGCAGCCTCACGACCTCCGCTGTGCTGAAGCCCTGCGCATCTTGGACAAGAATGCTTTCCCTTTTGCACCGGATGAAAAACCCCTCTATTTCACACAGCCAACTGACTCAACACCGTCACAGGAACGATGCCCCTCCCAGATGTGAGGGCTACATGTCTCCAATGTGCGCCAGATAATCCCCGTGATACAAATATTGCTATAATAAATACAGAAATAAATAAAGGCTTGAACTGTTTATGTTTGTATTGCTCCGACTGTCCCTTTCTCCCTTGTTCTAATCAAATAATATTGTCAAGGCAAATTCAAAAACAGTTTCAGTGTGCAGGGCCTAAGAAAGGAAATACAACGCCTTCTAATGAGAAGGTAAAAAATAACATCCAAAATCAGAAAAACATTTTCACTATTCTCTTGTTTGCAAACAGTTTTGAATTCAGATTACGTTAAATATATAACAATATTAAAAGGAAGCAGAAAAAGGTTTTTTTTTTTTATGAGAATGCTAACCATTGTTAACACCATAAATAAATGTAAATCTATTGGTCTTTTCAGAGATGCTTTACTTTGAACACTGAACTCATCAATATAACATACAGGCCTGGTTTCATTTAAAGGCATTAGCTGTGGTTCCCCCTGAAACGATGCCTAATGTTATAAAAACAGTAATTCAATCAATTACGCTAACAACCCTGACAGTCAGTGCAACCTCAGATTGCCGAGTCAATAACTCCATCAGCTCATACGCACAAACACAGAGGAGAATGAGCTATCAGGTGACACAAGTGGTACTATGGCTGAACAGTACACACATATTCTACTATCAGGATGTGACTAAACCAATTGATCAGATCAATAATAATATGTATACTTTAAAAAAAAACAAGTCAGAAAAAACACTTTATTTGCACATTGCCTTGTAAAAGATAAAGACAGGAAATGAGAAAACTTTCTTTCTGACTCTTTAAATATGTTTTAATTTAAAGTCTAAATAACTAATGTTATCATCCGGGATAATTAGCTGATCCAAAACATTTCAGGTCCAGCACAATTACTTGAGGAAAACAAGATAGAAAAAATAAATCGGATGAACTGTGTGAGAAGAATGCATACACTTTCACATTGTTAAGAGTCCATTAGTTTCTCCAGAAACATCCCACTGGAAATAAGGAGGGGAGAACGTTTTAAATATTTTTACAATTCAACCAAACTCGTTTAAAGGGGTTTTGAAGACAATGTTTAAACACGAACCATCATATTATGGTGGCTTCAAACACATGACAGCATCATGAGCACAGCGTCATATTTGTAGTTTGAGCTTTGGATACACCATCTGTTTGAGTGAAAACACATTACAAGCACACACAAAACAATCTGTGAACTCTGATCTCCATATTTCAACATACGTCAGACAGTGAAAGTGCCTTTTCGAACCAGCTTGCGTCGCAAAAATGTGTTTTTGAATTTGTCAAAGTGTACCAAATGTCTCATCCATTTTGGATTTCTCCAGAAAAAAACACCGTCTATTGGAGGATTTGTTGAGCTTTATTTATAAGTGGTAAATTGTTGATTATCTTTATATAAAAAATAAAAAAAAACATTTCCGGCCTATTTAATGTTTTTTTTTTAAATGAAGCTTTTATGCTGATAATGTGGGATAAAGTTTTCACATCAAACTGATCTTAATTACTACAGACTTCAATTTTGAGACTTGAGTCTTACAATAAATGCTGGAGAGCAGAGGTGTCTTAACCAAAGGACAGTAACATTGCTTGTTTTAAGCCCGTCCAACCAGAGAACTGTCATTAAAATGCTTTTACACCTGTGAGGCAATCACTACCTCAGACATCTTGAGGTTGCTTTAATGGTGGCTTTCTCTTTGACCCCTCTGACGGACAGCTGCAACTGTTCAAGCAACAGTTGTTGTCTGAACATCGTCTCCTGGTGCAGCCAGATCCTGCACATGATATTAAGTGTTCTCAGTTGTTGCAGCTCAGTAACTTGGGTGAACTAGATATTTTATAATCAACATGTGGGATCTTTTAACCGATTGTTTTGTCAATAAATCTTTTGCATTATGCAAAAAGCTTACACTTATATATTTGATGAAACGGATTTCATATCTCAGTACCTTTTACTGGACATACACAAACACTTGGAAGATTAAACATGATGTTTTTGACAGTGTTGTAACATAATATCTGAACAATTAACTGAATGGTTTTTTTTTTTCATCATGAGTTCACTGACAAAGCAACTGCTCAAAACGGATCAGAAAAAAATGATTTACTATCAAATGGAAGAGGTCAAAAAAATGTGTTTTTCTTCCCAAAAACATAGGTAACATAGGTCTGCTGGTGAACTCCAACAGATATGGAACACATAAGCATGAAAACAGTGTGGACATTTTTCATTTGTACAATTTAAGTTTCATTTCTGGCTGTGAGAGCAAAGTCAAAAATAAAAGTGTTATAACCCTGAGGGGTGAGGGTTATAAATTCCTCAAGTTAGAGTGTGAAATAATCAAAAGCACAATCATGATTCAGTAGTCTGATGGATTCAAGATCTACCCATCACACTGACCAAAGTCTGACGTAACAGTCATTAAGAAAAGCCTCAAACCAGCATAACAGAAGACATTAGAAAACAAATAAAATGCCACAGCACCTGGAATGCCTTTGGTGATTCTTCAAATGTTCAAATCATACTATTACAGTCCAGAGGTACGTTGTCAATCTGTAAAATGTTTTTTGTATTATCAGCAGGTGAAGAGGCAGTGGTCTACACTGTCTTCACAGACTTTATTCTGCCTCAGTTGACATTAAAGTCCTTGCAGTGTTCTGCAGTTAGCACAGATGCTCACATTCTTTTTCACTAAAAAGTCACATGTTGATGCCCGCTCCAGTATAAGTGGGTCCTTATTGGATGATGGATCTTTGGGGGGCAGTCCTCGGCACACAACGTACTGCTCGAGGCGCAAAAGCAGATTGACCACTTCAGTCAGCGAGGATAAGTGTGTTGGGTAGCAGTCGTAGAGCGGGTGGGTGGGGAGCAGTGGCTGCTTTTGGACAGTTACCTGATAACAGAAGTCTGGGTCGATCAGCACCATGGTGTCTGTCATGCTCGATTGTTTAGAACACTGGATGAGCTGAAGCTGCGGGCCCTCCACCATTATGGCGGACCATAGGATGGGCAGTACAGAGGTGCGCAGAGAGTGTAAGAGTTTCATTAGCTGGTTTTCCATGTCTGCACCACTCCCAGCCGTATTATCAGCCAGGCTGCAGATCTGTGTGATCTGCAAAGACGTACAGGATGGAAATAATTACACAAAAGAGTTTGCCTCATCAATCAAGACGACTAATATAAAACATCTTAACATGAAATTCACCATGGGAAAGTCTTCTTCTTCCTCTTCTTCTTCTTCTTCTTCTTCTTCATCATCATCATCGTCGTGGTCACCATGTTTCTGACCATGTCTGCCTGCAGGGCGTTCCTCTCTGTCCCATCTGTTTACTGGGACCTGAATTGATAAAAGTAAGGTCAAGAACTATTAATTAGACGTGCCTACAGGCTGCAGTCCTCTAAGCAGGCGGCCCGGGTTCAAATCAAACCTGTGGCTCTTTCCCGCTTGTCATTTCCCACTCTCTCTTTCTCCAATGTCTGACTCAATCCACTGTCCTATATCTAAAATAAAGGCAAAAAAGCCACAAAATAAACCTTGAAAAACAATTTCTCGATTATCACAATTATTTTGATTGAATTTCACAACTTTATAAACCTATGAACTAGGGGTGCAACCGAGTACTCGTTCATTAAATAATAATCGGTTACAAAAACAATGTAATCGATAATCGTTTTGAAGTCCACATTTTTGTAAATGTTTCTTGTTGCATTGTGGGTTCTAGGATCAGCCTAATTCAAAACAGAAAAAAAGGAGCACGAGCGCAAAAAGAAAACAGATGACAAACAAAGCGCTGATAAAGGCTCTGTACTGAAACGTGTCCGTTGTTGATCCATACGCTGCTACCCCAACAAAAATATCCCTTTAATTAACCCCCCTATGAATTCACAATGAACAAAAAGTCCCAAACAAACAAAATATCCAATATGATCTACGAAAGTTCAGTTCAAATTGTCTTTGTAGTCCACAGAAAAAGAAGGACTTTCACTTCGCGATTACCGCTTTACCCCGCTAAACCAAAGACGTTTGATCATCCAGGACAGAGCAGCATAACTAGATGTGTTCCTATATTTTGGAATTTTAGATGATTATTCTTTTAATAACTACAAAATGGAACAATCTTATAGGGAGAAATAGCTCATAGCGGACGGACGAGCGAGATTGAGCGAGTGTGTCATCACGCACAGAGGAGAAAGATGAAACAGACACACTTAAATCGTTCACCTGTTCTATTGTAACTTCATTTACCAGAGTAAAGTGTGCTCTACACTGCAGACTGTAGTCTTTGTTAACAGAATGTTGCTGTCAAAACAGCTTCAACGTGCGATGAGTGCGCATTGATGTCTGCTCGTCCGCTCGCCACACTCACTGCTCTTAATTATAATAAAGTGTTAAAACGGTCATAACACGTCTGTGTGAATTTTTATTTGAGGTTTGCTGTCTGTTGATGTAAGAAATGTCATATTTGAATGTTAATACAAAGGCATCTTAGGCGCAGGCACACTGGTCATCTGTACCGTGCTGTACCCAAGCACAATTGCGCCCTCGCTGCGCCATTCCCACGCTGGCCGGCCCGGCCCGGCCCGGCCCGCGGTCACTCTACACAGGACTATTTGTGCCTAAGCACAATTACCTCTTGTACATAACGTCGAAATACAACACATGCACGCATTATGTTATTATGAAGCGTGCTCAGTTTACAAACAGGCGGACGAGAGAGAGAGAGAAAAAGAGACGCGCAGTCGAGTCCGCGTCCGCACATCAGACAAAAACACAGAACATGACAGCTACTTTACAGCTTATTTTAAGCCATTTCAATCAGACACAGCAATAAATAAATAAAAAAAAATAGATGTGCGGCCGAGTCCGCGCGCGAGTACGTGCGTGAGTCCGTGCGGACGCCCGCACATCGGAGAGCAACAGAGAACATGACAGCTACTTCGTGGCTTATATTGTGTCATGTTAATCAGATACAGACATGAAACTCTGGATTTCTCCATAATGAAGGCTGTCAGCGTTGTTTACCTGCGTGCATGAAGTGTACCGTGCCGAAGCACACCTCTCCAAAGTGTGCCAAAGCCAAGGAAGTGTACCGTGCCTGAGCACGATACAGAGCGGTCACACTGGTCAAACGAACTGGACTTTAGGGTTGAAGCGTGCTTTGGCACGGTACGGATGGCCAGTATGACCGAATCCCGAAGATTCAAATTAATCAATAGATACAGTCGGCATCGCGTCATAGTTGGGGGCAGGCCTCCCGTGAGGGAAAAGAATCAGAGAAAAAAAAGAACTACAAAACGATTACACGAGTACTCGCTTTAACAATGGGAAGAGTAATCGATTAGAAAAAAATTGCATTCTGCACCCCTACTATGAACAGTCTTTATAAATTGAATACATTATTTATTGCTGCTAAACAGAAAGGAAGTTATCAAATAATAAAAAAAAGTCTTTCTCTTCCTTTGAATTGGAAGCATTGTGGAAAATATCTAGTTGGCTTTTTCACTTAAACTGTTGCTGCCTTTTGAAGCATAAAACATAATCCTACACAGTGGTTCTCAAACTATGGTGGTACGCAAATAAATCTCCACAATATAAAAAAAAAAACCTCTTCAGCATAAAACGACACTTTTTATTTTTGTCATACTCTTATCTTATCTGTCTTGTATCTATTGAGTTGTATTTATATGAAATGTGTTTCCCCTCTAAATTAATCTAGTTTCTGCAACAAACAACTTTAATCTGCTCAATTTTTGCTCGCGTGCGCACAGACGTAAACAACAACAGGAGTACGCCTCACGTTTTTATATTTCAGTACTGAAACAACAGCAAGCAGCTGTAGGCCTACATTAACAGATATTCTGTTATTTATTGGAGTTCAGCACACAATCGGTGGCAAGCAGCTGTACATAACGGAGCCAGAAGAAGCTTCAGTTTTTGATGCATGTACGGACAGTCGCTCACTCTCTCTCTCTCTCTCTCTCTCTCTGTCTTGCTCTGAAGCTGATGTGATTCTGCTCTCTTTTGCTGTCTTAACACTCTGCAGGAGTCGAGAGGGATTTTTTTTTAAAAAGGCAGTTTTGCTTTGTTGAACGCAGTGACTTATACATATAAGATAGATAATACAGCGACTCTGTTTGCACGGAGCCTGCACTCTCTCGCGTGCTCGCTCTCTCTCTCTCCCCCACAGCAATTTTATGAATAAATGAAAAATTTCATTAGAACAGGTCGGAAATATACTTGGGCCCAGGTATCGTCTATCAGTGGGAAACACTGGAGATTAAATATTCTCAAACAGGTTGTTGGTATAAAGTCGTCATTTTTATTGTGCTGCACTTTTTTTTGATTTGGGTAAATGTCAGTGTTGTGTGGAGTTAGAAAAGTGCCCTAGCCCTTATTAGAGCCAAATATTTTCGAAGGTGGTACGCAGTCTAAAAAGTTTGAGAACCACTGATCTAATCGATAATAAAACATAATGAAAATTTAAAAAAAGTCTGATTTAAAACAAAAAATCAGAGGTACTGATTGCTAAACCATGAACTCATAAATTAAATTGTCATATCATGTTGGAACTCAACCTAGACATATCACACTGAGCCACAGACCACAGGACAGCGCTGCAGTAGATGTTTAGGTGAAGGGACAGTGCCTTTGAATGAAGGTGCAAAGAGGACGCCATGATGGCGAATGATACGATGGGTTTAGTGCGGTTTAGCAAGAGCCAGAAAAAAGTAACGTTCCTCTAAGTACCCCTCCCACCCTTAAGCAAGACCCTTAAACAAGTAGATTCACCAGAACCAATCACTGAATGTCAACACACTTTTCGGCCAGAAGGACAAAATTATAATTTAGCAAAAAAAAAAGAGAATCAAAATTGTAACTTACCAGTCCAGAGTTGTTGTGGTTGCTGATGTGAGGGATTCTGTCAGGCAGTCCATTCCGCTGTCCAACCTCTAAATAGTTCAACTGCTGATTTAAAACAAAGTGAAGATGCAGTTAAGGTTCATCCATGAAAAGCATTAGTGACATATGCATGTTGATTGCTGATCTATTTTCAAACCTGCATAGATGAATGGTTGTTTCTCAAATTCTGTTCGTATGAGTGTTTGCTACTGGCAGGCTCAGAGCTCCAGCTCATCTACAACAGTGAAACATCAATCGATCTTTATTTGTATGAGGCCAATTCATAAAATTTTTTATGTTGTGACACTTAACAAAAAGCAGGTAAAAGACCTCAAACATAACCAGAGTAAGATCAACAGAAGGATTGGTGTGTTGATGTGTCGTGTGCAGGGATATGAAAAGAACGTCTACTAGCACAAAGTTTAGGCCCTCAAAGCTGCTGGAACTTACTGATTGGAAGCTGTCATCATCGTCATCAGATAAATCATAACCGAGTTGTGGTCCTTTGCCTTTCTTGAAACTTGACTTTCGACTGTATGTGTAGTGAGGTCTAGGCCTGCCAGGCAGCATCGTGCCATCAGCCCCAAAGTCACCCTGCCCCATCTGGAAAGGCAGCAAGTGTCTCTGTACAGAAATATTTAAAGACACACCATAACATCTTTAGGAGAAGAAGAACTTCCTATACCAATCCCACGAGGGGAAATGACTTTACTGTAAGAAAAAAAACAAATTCATTTCAAATTGGTGTTGTGTCTCACCATTGCCTGCCTCTGACACTGACGCAGTCTACACTTCTGCCTCTTCTTGTTGCTGCCTCCAAACTTAGGTTTGTCTATGCAGAAATCACACGTGCCGCAGTCTTTCCTGCAGAGACAGGCTTTACATTCTCCACAGGACCGCCGCTTTCGCTTCTTATGCCACTGAAAACAAGAATTGTTGCAGAATTCTTTACAAGTGTAATTGATTATATAAAATGTCTGTTGACTTTGTAAGAAGAGGCATTTTCTATAAACAAAATACTTGTTTAATTGAATCTCAAAACCCTATACAAAACAAATCCTTCACTGTGCAACAGCGACAGTACCTAAAAAACAGTTCAAAGCAAGTTTGAAAAACTTCCTGCCCCTGTCAACAAATACTACATCTCATGCCAACCCTGCCCTGTTCATGTGTTAGCAGAAGGACCGACCAATTTTTTCTTTTTCCGAGCCGATACCGAAATTGGGGGAGACAAAAAATCCGATAACCGATATATTGGCCAATATTTTTCTTAGATCAATGAAATCTGTAGAGAGAGATATTCATTTACACATCTCTCAAATACACTTTTGGAAAAGACAAGAGAAGATGGTCACTCCACTGGAAAGTAACTGGGCATGTACATGCATCATTTTGACACTCTGGAGAGTGATGATGCTTGTTGTAATCCATATAGCACACTCTGCTGGTGAAAGAGAACTGCCGGTGTAATACAATGAAACTCAAATGAAATGCCATTTGACTGGTGAATAAATCTCGTAATGTCGATAGTCACTGGATATTCTAATATCGGACGATATTATCGGCTGACTGATTAGTCGGTCAGTTTCTATTTAGCAGTATTTTTTCAAGTCTCCTTCTGCTTCCTTTAAACTGTTCTAATATTAATAAATTGTGTTATTATCAAGTCTTGTCTTATAAAATTTCAACTTGCTATTGATCAGGCAACAGCTGGGTATTTCCCATCATGCCCAGTGTTTGCAGTGGGCGGAGAGAAGCTGTGGTTCCAGAGTCTGATTACTGCAGCAGACGAGATCTTGTGATTTCATTGTTGCTCATTTTGCAAGATGCGAGTGACTGTCCGGATCCAGTCGGGTACAAATTGATCCAGTATGCTATTGTGCATGGTTCCTAGTGGATCATTCTGCTCAGGCCTAACTTATCTTCAACATCCCTCAAGGCACACTGAAGATGGAAACAATGTGTACGATGTTGCCATCATGTGAGGTTTTAACTGGTGCTCTTAAAATCACAGTAGCACAGAACTTGCTCATTAAGTTGCATTTCTTAGCTTCTTTAATTGAGATTCGTGAAGTCTAAGGTCACTCAGATGGGAGTCAAGTTCAGTATGAGTAACTGCACCTCTAAAAGTCATCATGAATCTTTTATCCCTGATAAAAACCAGAGGCCTGCTTCCAGTGTGCCAGTGCAGTAAATGATCTGAAACTGAGTAATCAGCCAACATCTGACAGAACTACAAAGACACTGAGCATGCAGACAAAGAGCAGAGTACAGACATGGCTTTACAGACTTGGTGAGAGAAGTTTTGCTTTTTTGTTTGCTTAACTTCTTTTATGAAGGAGAAATCAGACATCTCTCCCTCGCAACTATCCATGTAGAAAGTTACTGTTACAAACTAAGTTGTGCTTGATTCATTGTCTCATTGGATAATATTGTCTCCCCGTCTACAGGATGAGGAAAGAAAAGAAAAAAACTCACATCATCATCGTCGTCTGTTGACATGTCATCATCATCATCGACGTCCACATTGACCGAGAAGTTCTCTGTGTCGCTGCTTTTCAGACTCGGGTGCTGTGTGATCAAAACATTTTCAGTGAGTATGGGGGAAAAAAGGGTCGCAATAATATTGAGGATTATGAATGAAGATATGATTTGATCTTAAATCACTAACCTGAGAGTCTGTAACTTCACTCTGTGAAACAAAATAAAAACAAAATATGTTACAAAATATGTCCCAACTTCCACACTTTGGGACAATTAAGTCCATCAACACTTGGCACAGTGTAAATAAGAATCAGAATGTAAACTAGTAAAAGTTAAAAACACTAAGGAATATGGTTGTAACAATACTTTAAACTCTGATACTAGTAAATATCAAACTGTTTCATAACCATGGCAACAAAAAATAGAAGCCCTAAGCCCCCAATATTGGGTTATTTTTTATTTCTTGGTTTAAATTCTAATAACCCACACACTTGACAAAGGTTCAGAGGGACCGAAACGTTGTGATTTTTCTTATAAATTAGTGAATCTTAGCAAGAGTAGTGTGCGGGATTTTTTCTTTTCAGGTTTAAACAACCATAAGAAAAATGCAGTCCAACTCCTGAACCCTGCCTGAATTAGACTGTGCTGTCTCTCTCTCTTGCACCAGCTTTGAATACATATTACTGAAGATCTGTGGTTCTGTCAAAGACGTGGTTCTTTTCAATATTCATTAATTTAATGATCTCTAGTATCAAAATGTACCAGTAATACAAAATAACCTGTGTCCTATAGAATAGCCATTTGATTTAAATGTGTGCTTTAATTAACACAATGAACCATCAATATTGACTTTACAACCAAGTGTTTCTATTTTTTAACTAAAATATCATGTTTATTGAAACGCAGTGATGGGAATTTTAGATGTTCTTCCTGAAATCTAAAGAAAAGCTCATGAGGACAGCACTTTGAGACCTTTGACCCCCCCCCCAGTGAACACAGGGCACATTACCTGGAAACTCATGCTGTCATCAAATGTTTCAGGAAAGTCATCATAAGACCTCTGCGACAGCAAGCTCCCACTGACATTTCCACCTCCACCTCCACCTCCACCTCCACCTCCACCTCCAGGCCCCTGATGGATTGTGCAGAAAATGTAAATAACATCGAAAAAAAACAAAAAACAAGAAGCATCAAAATAACTTCTGTGTACCTAACAGCTTACCTTGCGAAAAGGACATATACATTTACGTTTCCGGCACAAACGTCTCCGGGACTCGGGGCTCTGCAGCCCATGCTTGCAGTTGGCACACTGCCCACAGTTGACTGTGTTGTGGCATCCGACACACTGTCCACAAGGAATCCACTACAGGTGACAGAAGGAAGACAAGAAAAAAGACTGTGTTCATATATTTATCCCTGCCTGTCATAAACATATGAAGGCAAAACTTACAGGACTTTTTTTCTGGGTGTTGTTAATATCATTTCTCATCTTTTCTACATGCTAGAGGCACAAAAACAAACACCTGGAGAAATGTTATGAATAGCTGCAGGTGGTTCATAATGTGTCACCTTCTCATAGAAAAAACTTAAACGTAAGGTGGAATTAAGGAATCGAGGGTTTAAATACGGTGTGGCTGAAAGGTTCACAGAGGGAACGCATATTAAGAGAGGTGACATTGTTTTACCTTTCGGAAACGGATCATTGGATGCTCTATGGTTTTCGATGCTGCAGAAAAAAAGGGTAGAAAACTGTAAGAAAGTCATCAATTCGACCTCATGTCATCTCTTTACATGATTTTTCCACGTTATTCTTCTTAGCATGGTGATATTGCCCCCTTATCAATGGACATACCCCAACAGGTGGGACAGAAGGGCCTCTTCCTTTGTTTGTCATACCATGTGCCTGTGAAGGAAATACCACATCTGGCACAGACCCTGCAGGAGAGGATAATTATGCTCAGTCCATCTGTATTTAGCAACAATTCACTACAAACAAACTCTTTGGATTACATGGAGATAACTCAAGGTCCTTACAGATTTTATGGGGTCATATGACTGAAATTAACTCAAGTAAAGGACTCACAGTGTGTTTTCTTCAGACCCAATTTCCCCATTTATGGATGGGAGTTTCAGTGGTTTGGATGATGACGAGGGGGGAGGGAGTTTAATTTTAACTTCAACTGGATCTCTGTAAGCGACTTTGGCTGTTGTTAGTGATACACTCTGTGAAGAGACGCTCGTCTGGTTGGGTGTGACGTGGAGATTTTTGGGCAATAGACTGGGGGTGAGCCTGTGGTAGGAGTCCGGGGTGTCAGCCCCCTCCCTTTTGTCAACCAAGCTGGATTCTGAAGAGGAGCGCTCTCGGACCTTTCTCTAATGGATAAGACAGGGAGAAGAAAAATCAACCTTTAGGCATATCCTTCTCCATGTTTTAAGTTTAAAGTGGTAAAATGAGGTCACTACCTTGGCTCTTTGACGAACTCTTACGGTGCTGCTTCACCATCATAAAACTTTCCTGACTTGTAGTCGAAGTTCGACAGGTCAAGCTGACCCACCAACACAGTAGTCAGTTCCACTCTGCTTCTTACTCGATCTCCCCGTGGACTTAAGAAAACAAAACACAAAAACATGATTTGCCATGAAGTTAAATAATTCCTAAAAGCTATTATATACTGAGCGTATTCATTATTTCTACTAATTTATAAGGGCTGTAACTTACAATCACTCATGAAACTAACTTTTGATAGTTAAGTCCATGAACTGTTACAGCCAAACAGCAGCAACAATGACTGGTTATGTAAATTCCATCACTGTGTCCAACTAGTTCAAAATTCAAAAGACTGACACTATTTAAAGAGAAAAGAGCAGCAAACATCACCATTAAAAGATTAGGAATATTATGCTTTAAACAACATCATTATCTATAAACCACAAACACCACTGTAAGAAACAATATGTTGGGTTGATGTTGTCAGCCCTAAAACAACAAAATGTGCAATTGCTAAAAAAAAAATAAAAAAAAATAAAAAACATTTTGCTAAGGTTTTGCCTCTTGAATTTAAAAAAGAAAACATAATGTTAAATATTTGAATATATTAACTACCCTTTACTTACCTTAAATAATATACATCCTTCTGTCCAATGCTACTACCAGAGCGTCGAACCACTTCTTTCCGCTTCCAGCCCTCTCCGAGCATCGGCCATTCAGACCATCCTTCATCAGGATGCGATCGCTTGCGGCGGGGTAAATGAATCCTGAAATAAAAGGGGGAAGAAAACGATAAATAAAATCTTCCCACCAGTTGGGAGAAACTTACTGCACCTGAAGTTACATGTGAAAAAATGAATAGCTCCAAGTATACTGTGTTCTTATCCATAAATATTAAGTTGCTTTTAGAGACTCATTTGAGCTCATCTTTCAATAGTGCTGAGAACCAATTTGAAGTCAGTCAAGAACCCTGGGATTTCTCTGTGTATCACGCTGCACACTTTAAGAGAAATTCAGATATAATAGTGCTCTACATTCTTCATGCAAACCTACCTTTTCCTACACTGGACCCCCTTTATTTAAATAAGCAGCCACTTTCAGTAAAAGAAAAAATGAAGTCCACTTAGCACATATGAAACCCCCCTTCTGTCTGCAAAAGATATTGATGCAGCTCTGAAGCTTGCCCATGAAAATCCAAAGATAATGCTTCTCATTTTGAGAGTACACACCAGAGAGGTCATTGATGAAAACATCTTATGTGACATGTTGAAATAGCACTCTTCTAACACCACGGTTTGTAAAGCAAATCATTCAACTTACTTGTACATTTTTTTAACAGTCTTCTCTCCGCTCGCCATGACTTCACTTCTTTCACTTTCTCCTGCCAGGCTTTCCAGCTCGCCATCGCTATTGGCTTCATCATCGTCCTCAAGTGGTTCAAACCAGTCAACAGGAGGCTCACCAGCTGTAGATTTAGCGTCCTCCTTTGTCTCTCCTGAGATTTCCTCTGCTGTATCTGAGGTGGGCTTTTTCTTTGGCTCGGATAAGTCTAAACAAGCGGAGGACTCCGGGGCAGGTGCTGCCTCTGAAATGTTTTCTGCATTGCTCTTCTTTTCTGGGTTTCGTCCCGCATCTTTCAAGGACTCCGGGGCAGTAGCTGCCTCAGAAGTGTTTTCTGCATCGCTCTTCTCTGGGTTTTGTCCCGCATCTTCCAAGGACTCAGGGGCAAGCGCTGCCTCACAGGTGTTTTCTGCAATGCTCTTCTTCTCTGGGTTTTGTCCCGCATCCTTCAGTCCAGGCTCTCTGTCAGGGACAGGGCTCTCCAGTGGTTCCTCATTCATTGATGCTCTCTTTTTGACAACAATTGGTCCAAAGTTTAGTTTCCTGGTGACCAATTAACTACACACTACAGGTACTCCTGCATGTCAGTAAGATGTTTTACAAAGGGTCAATGGACGTAGACACATGAAGTTGGCCTGTATGGTTTCAGCTTTTCATGACAGAGCCTGGGGGGGGGGGAGATAATATTGTTTAACAACAGAGGTTTTAAACGTAGTGGGTCCACTGCTGAGGGATACTTGTGTTACAGTAACAAATCTTATCTTAAGACAACCAGCCACGTCTTATAAACACCGCTACCTGATGACAATGCGCCGACAGATACTCACAAAATGTCAGCACATAATCCAAAATGAATCACACCTCAAACTAACTGAGGGGGACGACGTGTCTCAACTTGTGTCTCAGCTATAATGTGCTTGTCGTAGCTGCGGCTCATCCGTGGTAAATTAGCTTAGAAACGCTCATCAGCAAACGCTAGCCGCAAACACAAGCGTTAGCATCACAAGCTAACACGGGCTGCTGTAAGTTCCGACACGCTGCTGTGACTACCTATATTTTTTTTTTCATCACATGCTGTTCAGTTATGCGACATAACAAGCAATGCGAATTCAGCAACGAGTGCGTTGTGTTGGTGAAGAGTGAAAGCTGAATGAAACAGCTGAAGTGAATCAGTTAGCCACGACTAGCTACACTAATGTGAATGTTAGCCACATTTAGCAACAGCAAGTTGAAAGCGGTGTATCGCAATCTGTTAAAACAATATATAGAGAGGAAAAAACACACCTGTAAGTTAATTTGTCATGAGATGCTGGCACTCTTATCACAACCAATCCCCACTTCACTTTAAGAGGAAGAGCCCACGTAGCTAGTGAATTACCACGCATATAGCTAACACTGACAGAAAGCGGTGCAGAGCTGTGTGGCCCAGCCTGTGAACCCGCCTCCAGAGGGGGCTGAGGGTTTACATTCAACCACTCAAACACAGTCCCCCTGTTGTATTTCAGGTGATTTTCAAACAGTAGTCCACATATACTACGTCATGCAATTATTCTGCCAAGGCTGGACGTTAAAATTAGATTTTGTACACAAGATACCTTGTCCAATCAGCATTAGAGTTTGGGAGGCGAAGGCGGAAGGGAGTGATTTTAATCATCTCAGCCCACTTCCTACCTCTTTGATACTACGCTTCATGTTGTCATTAAGATGTGCTGCCTTCACGGGTTGGGAAGAAATCCACTCGAGGTAATTACGCTGTGTTTTCTTGACAGTGGAGGCATCAGTGTGTCACAGTACAGCACGAACATCTTAAAAAATAATGATAAATAATAGTCTATCAATGTAAATAGACATCCTGCCCCATAAATTGTGCAGAAAAAATAAGTCCTTTCGTTTGCCCTAGTTTGGGATGTAGCAATTTTTCTGATGATAAAACTGCCATCATAGACTCTTCAGCTGCTCCATAATGCTGCAGTAAGGATTCTGACCATAGACAATAAATGTTAGGGTCTGACCAAAAATAAAAAAATAAACACATCTCTCCTATATGAGCTTCTTTTCTTCACTGGCTCCCCATAAAAGCTAGAATATAATTTAAAATCTTACTCCTCACCTACAAAGCTCTTAATGGTGAGTCGCTGCATCATATTAGAGCATATTAGAGTTACAAAATAAAAATAAAAATGTTACCAAATACAGAGTAAGTTTAGGTTTTTCACAAGCTGATATAGAATAAAACCACGATAGATAGGAGCCTATTCATTAGTCTTTTCTAGAACAGGTGTAAGGCAGCTGGGGCTCATTATTCAGTCTAAAGACGTCAAAAGGTTGAAATTAACTTCTGAATAAGTACAAATAAAAGGTAAAGTTAAAACTTAAAAATCAAGCAACACAAGAGATAAATCATTCACATACACACAAAGTGGAGAATGTTTCAGTATTTTATTCAGGGCAATAATATGAAAAACAGCTGATTTAATTAGCAGTTCATCTACTTGTCAGGGAAATATATATACATAACATCTTAAATTTTATACTCATACAAAGATTTTAAAATAGTTATCTAGTTATAAAATCAGTTTCATCCAAGTGGTAGTTATTGTTGTACAAGTTTAAAGGTATGATATATACACGGATCCACAGATCAAGTTCTGCTACCTGTCCTTGTTACTACGGAGATCGGTCGTCAAGGGGTCGTGCTGAATAGTTTGATGCAGCATCAGAGCGAGCAGACCTGCTCTGTTGGTCATTGCAGTCCTGACATTACGCTCCTGTTCAAAGAGCTCGTCCAGCTTGTACCACTGTGGGAAAAGATCAGAAAAATACTGCTGAAGGATTGTTCTTACTCGACCTTTAATGTGTTTAATATCAGAAAAATGTGATGATAATCAACTTTGCTCATTGAAGGTCAAGGACCAAAAGATGTTGTCTTTGAAAACATTCAATTACAAGTAGAAGACATGCGCGTTTTATAAAAACTCCCTTAGTATCCGTTTGTATAGACACATTTCATTAAACAGAAGATTCTGTGGGATTCTGTCAAAATAAAAACCTAAAGAATTTAAATGAGAAGTATTTTCCTTTAACTTAAGCATGTTTCACTTACAACTCTGACTCGCTCCAAGTCCACTTCTGCTCTCCTAAGCTTTTCCCAGTTGTAATGTTTGTTGCATTTCCTTTTGGGGACCCTGCAGTAATCTCCAGTCAGCTCAAACACATTCTTCACCAGAGGACATCCGCACACCTCGTCCACTGAGATCTAGTCCCCAGACCAAAGAAAAACAAATGAAAAAACGATCCCTACAAACACTGCTTCATGTGTAGTAGGTTAACACTATCTATATATTTTACGTTTTTTTTGTTTAGTTAGAAGCTTTACACGGGACTGTGGCGTTCACACACTGACCTTAGGATCTCTGGAGTGTTCTGGACACAAAACCTGAAGCCTCTTACAATATGTTTTGCTTTGCGGATTGTACACGTCGCAAAGAGTCTGGTTGCCCTGTGGGAAGAGAAAGCGTTAGGAAAACAACAGAATGAGGGAAGAGGACTCAAAACTTTGCCTTAGTCTTTTTCCCTACCCTTCTATTCTTGTAGGGTACATGGAACCAAAGGACGTCTGACTCTCGTACTGTAAGAGAATGATTGGGGAAAAGAGAAGTTAGCCTGTATGCTTTTGTATCTGTTCTTCGGAGGAGAAACAACTATTTCAAATGATTACCTTTGCATAACACCTTTCCATATGTCTCAGGGCCACTTTTGGGTTGATGGGATGGCTACAAGACACGCAGAAAATCTGCAGGTCGGTGTCCTCGCTATCACCTTCATTCACCTGCAAGCATAACCAAAGCATTTTGTGATCAAATGTTTCATGTGTTCTTCTTTAGTAGCCTTAAATTAACAGAGAATGCCTGTGTCTGATATTTTCAAGCAGACTGTACATTTTACAGGATCCCAAGGTTACAAACATTAAAGGCTTTATATGCGAATTTTTGATCCAGCAGATGTAGCCCTTGAGCACCAGCATGAAACCAAAACAGCTTGCGGTGCATTGTTGTGTTAGCATGCTAATGCTAGCGATCTTTATTATGCTCGTATCTTCACACTGCATGTAAATTTACCCGAAATGAGCGTGATCTAGAAACACAGTTAAGCAGTGAGTACAGTATGTTATTCTTCTTTTCTCTAGTCCCTCAATTAAACAACTTTTATACAAGAGGGGAGGAGTCAGCCGGCCATCCCGCAATGTAAACAAACTGAAGATATGACTCTGAAAACTCTGAAAGCATCACAGACAGTGGGACTCGGGTGTTACACCCATTGTAGACAGTCATTACTCAGAGTTATTTTCAGAGGATATACTTGATTTCTATTACATTTAAGTGTGAAAAATTGCATATAAAGCGTTTAAGAGGACCAAGTTATGTAATAGAAAGAACAAGGCGTCATAATGTTAGTGAGGCTAGCTAACCTCCTCATCCTGCTGAACCGCCTGCTGCTTGGCCTTGGCAATGATGCCTTCAAGTTCATGAAAGCGGCGCTCCATGTCGGTGAGGCGCAGTCGGGCGTTCTGCTGTTCCTTTCGGATGCGCTCCAGTTGCTTCTTGCCATGCTCCTCAGCAATGCAGGGACTCTGCTGCCACTGCTGGATACGCTGAGGGAGGATCTCATAGATCCGGCTGTGGATTGAAATGCACACATTTATAAATTCCAAACTAAAAAAAAACGGTTACATTTATATAAAGCATACAAAAGTAATCCAATAAGTTCAACCTTTGAATTAACATGTATGTAATCTAGCACCAGATGGCGCAGTAGTACTGTCATGTGGTCCATGTAAAGGGAAAAAAAAGAAAAGAAAAAGTTCTTACTTGGCAGCTAACTTCATGCCACAGTCCTCAGAGCAGTATTTGGAGTTTGGTCTTGCTGCTTCCACACAGCTTGGCCCCAGACACTGACGCTGCCCTGTGTTATCCCGCAGTTCGCTCTTCTCATTGCTTCTGGTTTTGTCTTTATGCTTCTGCTTCTGTTTGTGGCGTCGTGACTCCTTCTAAAAAGTTGGAATCAAAGTCACGCGTCAGGAGACAGGACGTTACTCGACCATGTTACTACTCATCATCATGTTAACACCTGGCAGCACTTACTTTTTTGTCAAACTTCTTTTCCCGTCTCTTGACGTGCTTCACTTTTATAGCTTTCTTGCGCATGACAGGACTAAAGGGGGGCTCATCATCTTCATCACTACCCCATGCCTGGAGGAGGGGAGAGCAGAAAAAAAAAACTCAACATACAGAGGATGAAGATTTGCCAAAGGACAAAGACAAGAAGAAAATGAGTCACTCAGACCTTGAAGCTAGTCATTTCTAACTGCAATTCTGTGGCTGAAAGAGTGTCATGATCAATACTGATACTTGTCAGTGGTTATAATGACTGTTTTTGAAGAAAAATGCTCTCGGCTTTTGTCAGCTGATGTATTCATGTATTTTAATTATCTTCGTACAGAGTCTGTGTGCAAACGCATGTGTTTAATGGTTTTTCCTGGCTGCAAAACTAATTTTCCTTAGGGACAATAAAGTCTAATTTTTCTTTCTAGAGTAACAGAAAAGATGTTTATTCATAGCAATATGGAGTCAAATTTTAGCTACCATGTTGTTCTTATGTCCTGCTGCCCTGTACTGTTGGTAGAGATCTGCCTCACTGTCGTAGTCCTCTGAATAGCGTCTGCGGTTGTCTCTTCTTTCTTGCATAGAGAGCTCCTCATCCTTCACACGCAGCATTTTCTGTACAAAACAAAAAGCAGCAGGTTGGTCTTTTCCAAAGTAATCACAATGGATTGCACAATTATTTAGAGATGAGGTAGTGCTGATCACTTTAAGGGTTGAAAAACTCTTAATGCTTCAGAACTGAGAGGAACGTTCTAGTAAATGATCATTGTATTAGTTTAAATGCACTGAATTTAAAAATGGAAAGCATCAAAGAGAAACAAGGCAGACGTGTAAAAAATTGTTCAAGAAGTATTTTATAACCTTACCCTGGCTCGAACCTCACATTGCCTAAACCTGCACTTCTGTCGGATTTTATTTGGGCCTCCAAACTTCTTCATGTCTTTGCAGAAGTCACACTGCGCACAGTCCTCAGTCCTTCTGCAGGGCTCACATTCCCCACACATGCGGACTGAACGCTTCACCTGAGAGAATTAAACAATGTACAATAACAGTCAATGCATCCTTAGAGCTTGAAAATGGGGGCGGTTCAGTATTGTTTACATTTTGAAGTCTGAAGACAGCAAAAGATCAGAGGTATGAAAGTAAAAATTATGGCTGAAAATTGTGGAAATGAAAGTGAGGTTATAAAATGTGTCTGTTATGATACATGTATGTTTTATTTGCCTTGCAGTACACCATGTGTATTGGCAGTGACCTAGATCAAAGACACTTACTTTAGATCCACGGCGCCTTTCACTCTTATAGTCCGGAGTACTCGGGGTGCTGTATGATCTTTCAGATCTTTCAGACCTTTCAGATCTTTCAATTCTCTCAGTTCTGTCAGGCTCGGCTTCCTTGTCCCGGTTTTTCTTTGATCTATACTTTATTTCCAGTGAGGAGTTTTTATCTGGTGACAGTGAGAAAAGCACAATGATATGCTGTTTATTTTAATTTTAAATATATTTGATGTTAAACATGGCTTGTTTAAATACTGATGCAAAATAAATAATTATATTTAATCACCTCTGCATCTCATGCAGTACCATTCTCGTATTGCCTTTGCTGACTTCTCTGTGATGTCAATGCAGTGGCCATGAAACCACTCATTGCAGTTATCGCAGCCACTGTAAATCAAGAAAGCATATGAAAATCAAGTTGACCACAGTTGGATTTATTAACAATAATAAGGATATGAAAAAAAATATATTGTTGTTATTAATTTACATCATGAAGCAGCTGATGTCCGGCTTTCTGCAGATACAGTACACTGGTGCATTCTCTCCCTCCATACTGCTCTCAGGCCCAGGAAAATGATCAATGTCAGACATTTCACTGTCCTGAAAAGTACAATATGCATCAAAACATGAATGGGTGTTGTTGAAATGTTCGTTTGTACAGTGCAGCCTATCATTTAACATTTAGAGTCTTTCAGTTGTAGTATAGTGTGCTTAGTATCTGAATTTAAAGACACCCATAACAGTGTAGTGAACTATCAAACATACTGAAGTACACTTCTCTCCTTCCCTACTCCTACATTAAGTGTTACTTTGAACATGTTTTATCACAGTGGGGGTCCAGTGCATAGCATGTTTCTGTACAAAATGATTTTCATAACTCATGTTAACCAAGGAAGTGACACTGCACTAGTATTTTTTTACCATGATGCACAATTTCTTGGCTGGTGTGAAATGCTATCCTGTTTACACGATTAGCCTGCACTGACCTGAAGCATGTTATGATGTGTTAAAACACCTACAGTTAAACCTCCTACGCTAAATGTAACGAGTTGCTAAGCGAGTCGACGTTCATGGCATTGAAAGGCAAACACCGTGCCTTAAAAAGTGGCTTTAAAAGTTTTATCCAAACCTACTGAAATGTTATGCGCTAAAGTTAGCTTACATGGTAGCTAGTTAGCATCCGCCAACTAACATCTTCAGTTGACGCTGTGAGCTAACAGAACATGTTATTTTCCGGAAACTTACCATTTTTGGGATCAGACCAGTCGTGTACAGCACTTAAGTTGAAATGCCGATGCAAATAAAAAAATACAACAGAAAAATATAAACCTGAAAAGCTGGCGTTATGTTTAGCGTTTACATTTGACGGACACTTCGTTTGCAGTCGGCTGAACTCGGCTGAACTCGGTACTACTCGTTGAAAACATCATCGCTTATTGGTCAGTTTTCTTCTTCTGTGGTACGGCAACAACATTGCAATGCGATGTCGCCACCTGTCAAGAGTGAATTCTGTTTTTATGAAGAAAGGAAGCGCCACTCAAAAACTATTATTTATAAAGACCATTTAAATTTCTTGCATCATTATATACTTTACTCCCATTAAAAAAAAACAATGTTATAGGTGTAGGGCAAAAACAGCTGTTCCTGTCACTATCTCTGTACTTATATCATTTACAGTGGATCAAAACATTACATTCTGTTGTTTATTGGACACACACACACACACACACACACACACACACACACACACACACACACACACACACACACACACACACACACACACACACACACACACACACTGTGACTCACATAAAGGGGGTGCTGTAAAAGAGCCTTTATGATGCAGTTTCACCTCCAGTGCTTACAGCTCACAGTCACTGGTGGATGTATAGGAAAACTGGATACTGGTTCACCCACTTTGAAATAAATAAAGGTAAGTAAAATATATTTGCTTTCAAACTTGTGACATAGGCTAGTAACATGTATCATAAGAGCTAGACAATTATTTGACATATTCTTCAAATAGCAGCACTAAAAGTGTTTTCCATTTCTATCCCCAAAGAGCAATGTGTCACATGAGGTTGATGTTAGTGGAAAAAAAATGAATTATTGAAGCATAGCAAATCCAACATCTTCCTCAAAGCTGTCAGGTTATCCATGATGCGCATTCCATCTACATTGTAAATGTTTCTAAAATGGTGATTAATAATAGATTAACTTCTCTGCCATTTCCAAGATGTCCACTCATCACTGAAAGCCACAAAACCTTACCTACAGACCTGAGTCTGGGCTTGTGGTGTCTACAGAGACTGAAATCCATTTCATGTATCATTGTATATCTTAATTGTTAAAGATAAATTATTTCCAAGATTTTATTCGTAATGATCTTGCTACAAAGTTACATCATTTTCTTTCAGATTTACAGGTCCAGGTTGACTTTAATCTTTCTCCTGTCCTACCCTTGTTGTTTTTTTTATTATCTTTTTTTTTTTTTTTTTACTTATCCAAGATAACCAAGCAAGTAGCACCTACAAGTGGATACCACAATGGAGGTCAAGTGGACAGACACAAATGAAAAGAAGCGCAGAATTGACAATGAGCAAATTCTCCAGGACTCACTTGTTAAACCTGACGACTCCATCCCAGGTCAAACAGGTATGTTCCCAGACTACAAGGTGTATTGTGAGTATTGAGTTGTAGTTTATTTAGAAACTGATAACTTCATTGTTTTTTTTATTCTTACAGAATCTTTGACACAAGTAACTACTTTTTCAGAGAAGACCTCCCAGACCACCACTGATGACACCAAAGTATCCTCAACAGTCATCTTTGTGGATGTAATCCCAAAAAAAACAACAGGTAATTGATAAAAATTATATCTAAACGGCTATTTCTACTTGATGAAGTTGTTATAAAGATTATCTGACTGCATTTTACGAAACTACCTCGCATGATAACCAATAAGGCGGAGTGACTGGACCAGAATCCATCATCAGTCCATGCTCCGTGGAGAAAGACCAACCAAAGCCTCCAAGTGCCCCGCTGCCACCTTCTGTGGAGGACTGCACAGTCTATGACGGTAGTGAGTCGGTCAGATTCATCAACAGGGGTCAGGAAAGCCTCAAAACAATGACTGTCTACACTGAGCCAGACGATGACGGTAAAGGCAAAAACTTTTGTGTAGTAATTATTGATCTCTAGTTTCTGAAATACTTGTTTCCTTGACTTGAATCTTTCTTCTGTCTCCTCGCCTCTTGTCTTTGTCACTATCATTCCTTTCATGAGACCTTTGTACTGCTATCCTTCTGGCCTGCCTCTTCTGTCACCCTCTTGACTGTTTACTTTCCATGATGAGGGGGTGTAATGAGTGTGTTTGGACTCTCTGCTCATACCTGTGCGGCTGCGAGCCCTCCACCCTTCAGCCTATTCTGGACATCACCGGCCACTGTGGATGTCTGGGCGTCCACTGCTGCCAGTGTGAATGTCCTGTCTGCGATATCTGCCTCCAGGCTACAGAGTGTCTGGACCTTGCTATGGAAATCTCTCAAATGCTTTACCACTGATGCTGGCTGCCAGTAAAAGACCACACCAAGACAAGAAATCACTGGGAATCATTTATTTGTTAAAATCATCCAAAAGCCAACTTGTAGGAACAAGACACAAATGATGTCCTGTTCATGGTTAACAGTCAGTGAGTGCTAGCACTCAAATATCTGTCAGGGTAAGACAATTCTGTATTGTTTTTGAGTGGAAAAGATGACCATAGGAACATTAGCAGCATTGAGCTATTGAGTGAAGCTTCTTTCAGCCAAGTAGGGAAGTTCTGTTTAAACAGATTAGAAGCCCAGAAAATAATCACAACACAAAAATAAAACAGTTGTGGCTGCATTAACTAGTTCAGCTTTTAGATTGGTCACAACTTAAAACAAAGATTCAACATTAGACTTTGGAGGTTGTGTTGATGAAAAGAAATACAGTGCGTACATGTGAAAGTAAAACACATTCATTTACTGTACATAATGTTGCATTTAGCATTTTACAATTTGAATGCCAATCTAGAGTTGCTGAAAATAACTGTATTGAAGGTTTCACACAACAAACAGACCACATCACTACAGAGGTGAGGCTAGTGGTTGGTTGAAAAGAAGGCTAAAGCCCTCTGAATTCATATTACTATAAGCAATAATGTTTGGCAGATATATTACTTTTATTTTTTTTTAAAAAGCCACAGTCTTAATAGAACATGCTAACCGGTAACTTCACTCAGTGATCGTCAAGGTTAACAGAGACAAACAGTCATGGACAACACAGATTTTAGTCTGAAGACACTACTAATGTTACTATTATTCAAATGTAAAAAACTAATAACCTACAGTACTAATGAGTAAGGAAAAATTGTTCTGCATCTCATACTGTCTTGCACTTTTATTGACTAAGTGTATATATATTAAAAAATAAAATGCTGATCTGTAATTTGTAGCTACACTGGAAGAAGTCCTGCTTTGGCTAACTAGCTGCAGCAGCAAGTGATTTCCCACTGCTTTTAAGGATCATTACAAATACATGCAACCTGGGCATCCACTGTGTGAAATAGTAATAAAAACAGACAAAACTCTCATAAAATGCATAGACTGCCATAAAATAAGGTGCAATAAAATTGCTCAAAATAAAACATTCTTATATACAATATGCAGAAAATATTTCACAATATGCCAATTCATTATACAAAGATCCCTTCTGAAGCTGCTGGTGAAACAACCCAACATGAGCATGTAAATGTTACTAACAAACCCTGATTCCAAGTCAGTTTATATACTGTGTGTTGGCATCTCTTCAACAGTTTTTTATGCCAATGCTGTTGTGAACAACAAAACATCACAGCTTTCTTCCCTAAAGATGAGCACATTCTAAATACAAGAAAACTTTATATCCCTCTTAAATCTCTGAAGAAAATCTTAAAACCTATTTATGAATGTATTTCTTAATGCCATGCTCCTATTATACAAGATTCAATATTTATACGATTGCATTTCAAATCCCAGACATAATCATCTGACCGGCTCCAAACAGGAACTGTAATAATTAGGTCTTTATGGCGAAAATATTTGTTAGTTATGATCTTATTGTTAACTACTTTTGCAGTTCAATTCTACAGTCCTATAAATAGATGTCATTTAAGGATAGACCTCACTTCCTGACATTCTTGTCCCTGCAGAAGTCTCTAACTGCCACTCAGAGCTTATCACAAGTCCTCATCCATTTCAAGGCTGCTCCTGCGACTGCTGGTTTTAGAGGCACCCGGTGACAAAGGAGAAAACAGCGAATCAGCCCCCCTCTCTGGAGACAGGGTGCATCCGTCGTCCATAAGAATGTCTCCCAAGCCCATGTCAGAGTAGAGTGCGGAGGCAGAGTTGTCATCAAGCTCAGCAAAGCTCAGACTGCCCAGGTCCAGGGGGCTGCTGATGGTGACTCCTGCTGGAGAGTCTGAGGAGGGCGGAGACAAGAAGGAGGCTGGGAGAGGCTGTCCGATGGTCGCCGCACCGATACCAAGGAGGTTTTGTGCGCTTACAGCCATAGACTGGCTGCTGTGTTGGACCTGCTGCTGGAGCAGGGAGGGATCAGAACTCAGACCAGGGGAGATGCTGTTGGGTGTGGATAGGCCATGGAGCCGTGCCTGCATTTCCAGCTCCTATAAGCACAGCAGACAATTCACATTTAGAGGACCTTGACAAAGATATAATGATACAACGCCCAGCTGCTGTTGTTGAATTTAAACTGTGAAAGTGAAAACACTGCCTTAAAAAGTTGAGCTATGTCACCTAACTGAGAACTGCTAAAATTTGATCTTCTGTAATCCAAAGGCAATAAGGGCTTACCAAGTCTGGGTTGAGAACTAATAAAAGGAAACGTTCTTGTTAAAACATAACATTCTTTGTGCTAGATTGTTAAGCTAAGTGTACGTTTACAGAGCACAGTGGAATTTCATGCATGTTGTTTTTTTTTTTTTTATATAAAGACATAGCCAAACATGAGGAAGGCTTTAAGTGCAGGCTTAAGTTATCAACGGCTGACATGTTTCCAATCCATTTCAAAATATAAACATTAATTTATGAATATATCAGCATCAGACCATGCAAGTCTGCACAGAGGCAGGCTACATTGCATGATTTCTTACGCTATGATAACTGACTGAAACACATCTTTACAACACAGATCACATTTGCTTCATTGTCTCCAATTTCTGCATAACTAAGTTTTAACTACTACAACAAGTCAAGAACTTCATTGTTTTTGTACTTGAAGTCATGTATATGCCACCTTCTAACTCAGGTGAGACACACACTCACCTGTATGCGTAACATCAGACTGTGGTTTGCCTGCTCCAGCTTCTTCTGACGCATCTCGACATCTTTGGCTCTGTGCTGCTCTTTTTGTAACTTCCTGATGTAGTCTACAGAAGCTTTCAGGATGGTGCCTTTATTCCAACGCATCTCACTGTCACCATTGTGAGATCAGTAAATATGTATTATAAAGGCAGTGAAGAGAGGGAAAAAACAGGAAGAAAAAACAGGATGACAATTTTAATAACAGTAGCTGCAGAGATTTCTACAATTAAAAACACAAATATTTTCATACATATTGAATAATGAATGAAAGGAAAATTGAGCATTCTTAAAATCAAACTGCACTTACGGGTCACTTGATTTGGGTATGAGAGTGCCCAGCTCCTTAATACGGTCATTGATGTTGAATCTCCGCCTCCTCTCAACTGTAGACAAGCAGGAACCAAGAAGAAAGGAGGTGAAGCGAGCACATACACATATCATCTCAAATCAATCACTAGGAAAGAATGTCTTCAAACAAAGTATGTGTTGTCATAGTGGGACATTGCGATATTGTCCTAGAATGATCTTGTATTCATTTTGTACACACACTGATGCAGATACTAACACATATGAATAAATGAAGCCGAGTTAAAGCCTGACTTACTCAGATTATGGTTGTCTTTCTTCTGCCTTTCTTTCATTATTGCTTTGACATCTGAATCTGAAAGACACATTGAGTTTTTTATGCAACACATCAAACATTTGAAAAGAAAGAGGGTTTTTATTAAATGTTAAACATGATTATGAAAAGGAATTTAAATTACCAGTTATTTCCCTTTTAATTTTGGGCAGATCAGCCGGGCAGGAGTTGCTGACGGTGAGAGTAGGTGCTGCCATTCCAGGGCTATGGTATACATCCAACAGATTTCCTGGGAGCTGTAGGAACAGAACAAACAAAGCAGATACAGTATTTATGAAGGTTGTGTTCCCTTTTTCGTCTCAAAAGTTTAAAGCAAGTTCCATGAATTCAACCAAAGCTGACATATTTCACAACACTACGACATATTGCTCAGTTCTAATGTGCCACTAGAAAAAGTAAGCATTAAAATGAAGTTAGAAAATAATTCAAATAACAGATCTTGTTTCAGGATAAAGCATAAATGCAATTCTTACATATTGAAGCTGATTAGCTGATGCTATTTCAAAACTCACAAAATGCTGTTTACCTCACTGTGTTTCCTTTTCTTTTCCTCCAACAGCATCACCATAATCCTCATTTTTTGTTTAGCAGCTAATTTTGGGCAAGCTCTATCTATCTAAGAGATAGGTTGTTAACATGGCAGCTGCAATGTACTTTTATAGGCAGAGTCCACTTTGGTTCACTTCTCTCTGCCTTTTTGTTTTGCCCCGCCCTGGCAGCACTTTTGTGACGAATAATAACCAAGTGCCAAAACTGTATATTTACTACGACGTCTTCAGAATTTCTCACATTAAGGAGACCATCCATTCACAGGAAAAACTATTAATATGAAAAAAATCTGAATGGTAAGAACTGCCATAAATCATTTTTGTTATTCTGAGGAAATATTTAAAAGAAAGTATACATGGTTGAAAAAAAAAAAAAAAACACCATCAGTCTTCTTACCGTACTAGGCAGCTGAAGACCTGAGTCAATCAGGGAAATGATGTCGTCATTAAAACTGGATTCAAGACTAATGATGTCATCTATCACATCATCGATCTAGATAAAGCAGATGACAGAGAAAACACCAGTGTTACTCATTCAATATAAACTCTGTGGTTTCATGTGTGAAAGTTATCAACATATATGTACCGGTATATACCTGAGGAGCACTTTGTAATGTAAAACAGTCAAGTATACTCTGTAAAGACTGAATGCCAGCGATGAACATTTAAACTAACTGTTCTGAAGAGACCTGATTTCAAAGAGAGAGATGTGGGCAGAAGAAGTGCTGGCATGCTTAAACTGGGGATGCAGTATTTAACATCTTATTGTGACAACAGGCCAACAAGGGTACGATAACAAAGGCATGCATCATCATAGTGGGACCTATGGGTCCACCGTTGCTTAGCAAACAGAAAGTAATTACCTAGAAGTAAGCAGGAGGTTAGACATTTAACTTCTCCAAAAAAAAGATGCACACTTAAGAGATTGTGCAATTTGCTGTATCAGCAAACCAAAGTACAAGCAGTCATTTCAAAGCAGAAACTTGTCTTACTTCCTCTTTGTTGGAGCCAATGTTTAGCAGAGCCATGGGACTGTTTGGGGCACTGCTGGCAGTTTGAGCAACCTCTGGGGCAGAACTGGACTGCTGCACAGGGGACACACCCATGGTCTGTGTAACTGCTATGTTGCCCAGAGTGGTCGAGAGGTATTGCTTCACCTGCTGCCTCTGTGCTTGCTGGATGTGGTACTTGGTGGGGTTCTCCAAGTGGGTCTGCACCTGATCAATTAAAGATTTTTTTAAGGGCTAATGTACTCTCACAGTCAGTCTTCACTAACTGGAAAAAAGAAGTTGCGATTATACTAGATGATGCTCTTACTTTCAGCACCTCCACAGGCACCTGTGCTGGAGGGGGACGGGCAGCATTTGGGGGCAGTGTGACAGAGATGGCCGGAGTGGAATCAGAGGCCCGGAGCTGAGAGGCAGAGGCCTGCTGCTGGGCCTCACGTCTCTCCTGCTCCTGGGCTTGTTCTCGCATCAGCTGCTGGCGCAGCAACACGCGTGAAGACATGACTGATGAGCGATATCAAGTTCTAGAGATGGAGCTGGAAATCAAAACACAGAAATAGGAAGACTTTTGATAGGTTATAGGTAGTATCAGCAGTTTTAAGTATATTATGTTATTGTGATATTACACAACTCAATCCTTAAAATTATAATCTGTGGTTATTATGATTTTGGAGACCAATCAAAACATTACCTCAACTATTGGTTTGGCATAAAAGCAACATACACACCATACTGTTAACTTAATAAATCCAAACAACTGTGAGACTGAACAAATACTTCAAATGGCAGAGAAAGGTAACACTGGACAGCATAAATAATTACATTAAAAATATGTTGTATGTTTTTTTTCTGCCACTCAGCCCAATAAGGATTATTTTAACCTCACACCTTCATCTATACCAAATAACTACAACATACCAACATCCTTAAGGCTCAATTCTTTCCGCCGAGCTACTTGTTGGTACACAGTCCTTACACAATCACTTGTCAGGTCGTATACGTAATAATCACTGACTGGGACTTCAGAGTACTTGTTATAGCCCCTACCATTACTCAGTCACTAAACTTGCAAAACAAATCCCATCATGACGTCACAGGTGTAGCCAGCGTTGCACCAGCCTTTGGGTCAGATGCGGGACGGTGCCGATGTTTTGAATTATGAGACTATTACCCACATAAATTAAAAGTCTACTTAGCTCCATGTCATTTTAGAGTTTGGTTAGTTTCATGCGCCGTTTAGAGCGATTTGTCAACTTGTTAACTTTTGTCTTTTATGGTAAACTCTATTTTTATCCAGACACAGCTCAGCGCTGCAAACGGGCCCACATCAGTGTGGACAAACAACTCCCCTTATTGTTTTTTGTTGTACACCGGACACACTTTGAGTTACCTATCAGCCCTCAACTGGAAAGAAACTGAATACTTTTGTTAAAAACAGTGTTGTTTCAGCTGTACCGAAAGGCAGTCGTGAAAAACGAAAATAGGAAGTTGCAGTGAGCTAGTTAGTTAGCACGATTTACAAGTCCTGAAGCTAACGCTGCATAGTAAGACAACTTGTTTTTAGAAAGAGAGAGAAACGTACTGTAGTAAAAGGTTAGTTTTTCGTAACCACAGCCATTAGCTCCCGAAGTCCTCCGTTTTCACGTCCATGTTTAATGCGCTGGAGCTCGTTTAACAGGAATTAACTAAACCGCGGCACCAGTGTTGTTTATCTCAGGCCGACGGGCTGAGGTCATCTAACGTGTGACCCGGAAGTTGTTGACAGCTGTGAGGTTCCTACACTTCGAAACATCTCAGATAAACAACATTCAAATTGTAATAGTTAAACACAAAGCCCTAGTTTAGGTTAAAGTTTATTTAACTCAATATGCAAATCTAATTTCGCAGATAGCTTTAGCTCATAGCCTCGATGCCAGCTATCTGCATTTTGTAATAGAGACAAAAAAAAAAAAAAACAAACAAACAAAAAAAAAATTCTTAACAGCATATAATCTTAACCAACACCAGCAGTCCTTAGTTAAGAGTAGTACTTGGGACAAAGAAAATGTAAGTGTTGCTGGTTGGTTGTAATCGTTTTAAATTAAACCGGCCTAATAAGTTTCAAAAAAGACAAAATGCTAATAATATTTTATGTTCCTTTTATTTCAGCTCTCACAGTTAAAAATCCATTGCAGATGTCAAAGTATCAGAGAGTTTGGTGGCAATTTTGTCTGCAGAAGGGAAAAAGAAAAAACAAAGTTAAATATTTGGATGATTATACAGTTCCAGCTATATAAGCTAACACTTTATTGTTAACAGAAGACTTTGTGTGTGTGATTACATGTTGATTGATTCATGTTTATCATCAGTTACATGGGAAGAAAAATATGGCATAAACTAAAAAAGTCCCCCCCCCCAACTGAGGATGAATGCTACTTTAGTAAAACCATATCTGATTTTTTTTCTGTGAAAAAGGTGAGAAATAATAACATGTACACTTAATTTCACAGACACAATTTAAAACACACAACTAGGAGACCAATATTTATACCAACCAGCTCTTTTCTGTTGTTTTTTCCTTTTCTTGCCGGCTGCTAGGAGTGCTTGGCCCTGCTGCAGAGGATCCACATTCAATATATCCTTTAAACCTGGAGTCTTGGATGCAGGATCCTTCGCTGGAAAGTCAGCCTTTGTCTTCTGAGACTTTATTTCCACAGTCATTGGTCCAAACTAGTTTGAGCAGGACAGAAGGTTTAAGTAAAATATTTCCAGTAAGTGCACACAATAAAATGTAATTAAGTTTAGTCTTTAGTTGTGATGAGGAAGAGTTTCAAACCTCTGGGTCTTGACCATCCTCCATAGTTTCAGTTTCATCTTGAAATTCTGGCTCTTCAGATGCTGTCTCTGCCATTCCCAGGTAAGAGGATGGGTCACTCTGACCACCCTCTGTCATTCCAGTGGTTTCCATGCAGAATCCCATTTGGATATCTGGACAAGATGACTCTGCAACATGGAGAAAAGCAAATTAATCTCTAGAGAAAAACATACTGACAGCTTGAGATTGATGTTGTCATATTAGGGATACCTTCCTCAGCGACCAGTTTTTCATACAGAAAAAAGCCCAAAAGAAAAGTTGACAGGGAGGACTTCTATAGTCTAAATGGTGACACTGTTCCAAATGACCGCTAGGAGTAAATAACAAGCTATAAATTTCCGTTACCTGCAAGAACTTCCTGATTTCCCTTTTCCAGTACATCCCAGTCAAACGCTTTACCCATCTCTGTCACAATCTCAGCACTGACGTGTGTGGGGAGGGTGTGTGTCTCTGGAGGGTGTGTGAAGTAGCTGATCCTCCCCCTAAAGAACAAGAAATGATGGCATGAACAAAATGCTAAAAACATGGTGGCCCATTGTCAATCTCTAGAAAATCTTAAACTTTACGCACCCTGTCCAGTCCATTAGCACACTCTTAGCTGCTTTGTCAGTGTCGGGCAGTCCCCCCTTTCTTAGTTTGCCCTGACGTTTAGCCAACATTGCAAGGAACTCCAGGGCTGTGTGGAAGTCAGAAACTCCATAGTGCTCTATGATCTGTACATCCAGAAAAGATTACATTAATGACAGTTTGACACACAAGGTAACATGTAAACATATTGAAACACTGACTAGATATACCTGTGCTTTGTTGCAGCGTCGAAGAATGGCTTCAACAGGTGGAAGGGGATCTACAAGCTGTTCGATTTTCACACAATTCCTAAGAATCATGGCTGCATCAGACGTGGAAGTAGCCATGACAATACCAGGGCAATCCAGGAGCTTAATGTGTTTGTCCAGGTGCACCTCTTGAAGGCACCTAAAATCCATCAACCAAAAGAAAAGATGTTTTAAAAGTTAGCAGGTTTTCACAGGATCCTGGGATCCAGCACTTATGGAATACTTACTTGGTGACACCAGGAGTGGCTCCAACATTACACGCTCTTGCTCGTTTCAAACTGTTGATCAAACTACTCTTTCCCACATTAGGAAAACCTGTAAAGCAGGAGGTGTATAATTATTGCACTGTGGACGTTGCATTTTACACACAATGAACCTGAAGAATTGCTGGATGTGATGCTCACCTACAACACCTACAGTGATGGCTGTCTTTATGTCTAGATTTCGGCAGTAGTTGCCGAGTAGCTTCATCAAGCAATCTGCACCAATGCATGCACTGCTACTCAGAAGCTCTGTGGTGGCTTGTGTCACCGGTACATTACTGCGTTTCTGTCCACGACATGAGACAGAGGGGGAAAGTCATGAAGGGAAATCACGTCATTCTATAACTTACATTGTGCATTTAACATTTAATGATTGAAATGAGCATATTCAAAAGCATACCAAGTTCTTTGACTGTTGTTGTGTAGATGCTTTGAAAGCTATTGTAGGAAACTCATTTCGAAGATATTTAATCCATTTTTCCACAATTTCCTTTGACACCAAATCTAAAAAAAAAAAAAGTCAAAGTCAAGATTTGTATATTTCACAGTCAAATAAACCCTTAACTACTTTGTTATGCAATCAAATATATCCTGATGAAGACAATTCCTAAACTATTAAAAAAAAAAAAAATCTAATAAACTTACCAATTTTATTAAGCACCAAAACTATTTTCTTGTTGGTTCCACTTTGAATGACTGCCTGCTCCACCTGAGGACATCTACAGCCAAGAGGGTCACGTGCATCCAAAATCTCCAAAATCACATCTGAGGCGTCCACTACCTTTAAAAACAAATTTTAAATATATAATGAGTGGGAGAAAGAGTATTGTCAATTTTATGTCAGAATCGGGCCAAATAAATACGGACATCCAAACCAATTTTGAGTTCGACATAAAAAAGGGGATGACCTAATGTTAACGCAGAATCCAATTGCATCCAATGAATCGCCCTTTAGATAATATTTGGTATAACAAGCTTTCAAAGTTGATAACCCAGTAACATAATAAAGGTTAAAAAATCTACCTATTCTTTTTGTTATTACATATACACCATTGTTGTGTTTTTCAATCAGGTATTACAACACACATTTGTCAATATGCATAATATAATATGCAATAGCATAACATTTTTTAAAAGAAACACAGAAATATGTTAAATCGAATGGCAATAAGTCAGATGTATAATGGGAGCTTCAAGAGAACTGTATGATCATATTACAGAGTGATGAAACTGTAACATACATAGTAGGAAAAGACCAGTTTGTGGAATATTTGACAACCTACATACTTTTTTAAATTCTCTGTAGTACGCCTTTCTTGAGTTTTCATTTTCGAAATTAATATGCTTCTCCAAACTCTGCATCTCTGTCTCCTGTGAACAGAAAGAAGGAAACATAATTCACAACAGAAATGTGCGTTGTGATTCTACAGTAACTACACAACATATCTTTCCTAATAATGTCCACACGTACCCTCTGCTCAAACTGCCTTTGTCGCTGTAGGATGTCATTGTGGAAGCCTTGTAAATTTCTTCTCTTCATCAGCTCTTTCTCTCTAGAGATTTTCTGCTTTTCCTGGAGGTCCTGAAGCTAATTAGGAAAGAAATTAGAAATTATTATGGCATAAAATGTTCATGCAATTTAACCTCAGACAGTAATATAGGCAAGACTATCAAATGTTTACCCTTTGCTTCCGGACTTCTTCTGGGTTTCTTTGGTCTTTGATATGCTGCTGTGGATTCTTTGAAGCTTCACCTTTTTGTCCATCTTTAATCTGTAGACAGGAAGCACGGTCAATTCCTGATAAATTAATCTTGGGAAAAAAATAATATGCAAATGTTTGGTAAAATAATTGTCATTATAGATGTGTACCAGACTTTCTCTGCCAGCATTTTAGTGTTTGTGTGTGTTTTTAACATTTGACCTGTTTTTCGCCCAACAGTGAATGTCTGACAGCATTCAAATTACTTTATTATCCATTAGGAACTTCAGTTGTGAAAAAACATCAGTGCGCATGAATGACAGCACAAAAACAAACCACACACACACATATGACATACCAACATCCAAAGTGCAATCGAAGAGTACTGAGTGAGTGTCGCTTGTAAACCATAACATCTTATGCATTACAGATTAGCAATAAGTAAAGCTAAATATTAATTTAGTATGGGTTAAAAATGATTAAGGACTCGAGTTAACTTGTGAGCTATATTAAAAAAAGCATGATAAACAGATCATGAATATTTTTTTTAAGATTTAAAAGAGTGATGTTGAAAATAAATGCAATGCATAAACATTCATTAGTCTGGTGTATGTGGGCACAAAGCCTGACATGGTTCTCTTCATCCTGAAGGTGGGCGATCTGTACCTGTGGCCTGAGGGTATAAGGTTGTATATATTGTAAAGTGAGTGTGTGGAGTCTGAGGATATGTGTTGTGCCTTTAGTTTTCTCCTCCTGTTCTATCTGATGTACAAAAACTGCAGCTGCTTGGTTTGCTAAGCAGAACGCTAACATTACTCCCAAGTATGGTGAACAAGAAACTGGGACTGAATTTTATCTTCGCCACACATTGGTCCATGGCAGTTCATGCAATTTGTGCCAATAATACTCCCTTACAGTAAAGCCTACCTCAGCATTGACATGGCAAACATGTGACGACATTTTAAATGAAACATTTAACGCTCTGGGATATGATTTTGAGCACTTAAGAGTGGTTAAAATGAGCAACTAGAAGGTGCTCACACTATTTTAATTATGTGCAGCGTATCAAATGGCAAGTGAGTTGATGACATGTAACTCGCCACGG